GAAAGGGGAGTAGAGGAAAAGAATGGGGGCGAAAGAGAATTTGAGTTTGATATGTTGACATGCTTTTTTTAAACAGAATTCGTGTCTTGGAGGGACACAATCAGAGGGAGCTGGTTTATCCAAGCTTTGACAGAGGTTTTCCTAGATCATGCGAAAGATGAGGATGTTCTTTCGATGATGACCATGGTAACTATTCATCTTCCAATTTCAGTGTTGAGAGCAATAATCTTGATGAAAATGGATGCACATGCTCTTTTTTCCCATTTTAAAGACTTGCTAATATATACTGCAAAGAAAACTTCTTGAACAAGTACAATTATGAAAACACAAAACACTACATGTGTGAGCCCGTCCCCCTTCAAAAAAAGTTACTGAGATCCAATGGCCCACATGAAAAATACTCAAGCTTTCCTTCACGCATTGGAGAGTGAGTGGTTGAAGAAATTTGTGATTACAAGCTTTTCCTGTCGGGCGGTTCTCCTTCGGATGATGATGGAGGACGGTGCATACAGTAGGTATACAAGACCTATCGGTAATAAGAGTGAAGCCCATTTCGGGGGCCTGTTCCATTAAACTTGTTATCTAAAAAAAAAAAAAAAAAAGTTCTATATCAAATTAGTCTCAGCCGATCAAATGCCACGATTTCAGTATAGGAAGATCAGAAGAGGTCACAAATCTGTCTTGTTTCCAAAGATAAAGCTATGGTCACAACCAAAAAAAGTAGCCTGTTCGGCGACCGGGCTGCGAGTTTTTAGCCAATTTCGCCCGGGCACCGATCCGAGCGGAGTTAAACTTCGGGCGGCGCCTGCCACTCGCCTAAAATACGCTCGGGGCCTTTGCGGTCACCGCCTGGGCACAGACCTAATCGAACACTCGCCGTCGAGCGAACAGGTCAAAAATCGAAGCCGCTAGGTCACAGGTTGCGGTCGCCGCCCGGTCGCCCCCATCAGTCGGTCACTGGGCGGCGAGTTCAAAATCGGTCGGCGTCCGGGCAACGCCAGCTCGCTATCGTAGTCGTTGAGGTGGAATGCAACTGCATCGTAGACCTTGTTGACCTCACAGACAAGGGCGTCGCTAGACCTTTTTCAGTGGGGGGGGGGGGTGTAGAGGCCAACGATTGCCGACAAAACTAGCCACCAATTACCGACAAAATTAAATGTCCCAATATCTACAAATTTAACCCTTTAAACCCGGGGCCGAAGGCTAAATCGTTTTCCTATGGACTATCTATAGTAATTGCGTATACGCAAATGATCATTTTCCTCGACGACATAAATATACGAATTATTTCGTCAACTTAGTCAACATCAAAGCTATATATTTTAATGCAGGTGCGGAGCTAGGATCTTATTTTAGGGAGGGGCGGTAGTGAGCAAGCGAATCACTTAAAGAGCGCGCAAAGCGCGCTCATAAGGGGGGTGTCGGTGTTAGGCCTCCCGCACGAAGCGTGGAAGCTTAGACGTTTCCTTAAATTATTAGGAAAAGAAGACGATTTATTGTACCGATCTCGACTGTTAATCCTTGTCTGAATGAAGTTCCCCCCCCCCCCCCTCCGCGCGAAGCGCGACAGCTTTGACGTTTCATTAAATTATTATAAAATGTAGACTATTTGCTGTACCGTTCTCGATGTTAATCCTTGTCTGAATTCAGTTTCTCCCACTCTCGCGCAAAGCGCGGAAGCTTTGACGTATCATCAAATTATGAGAAAATACAGGCGATTCTGTGTCGGCCTACTGTTCTCGACGCTTAATCCGTATCTGAATTCAGTTTTTCCCCCTCCCGCGCAAAGCGCGGAAGTTTTGACGTTTCATTCAATTATTAGAGAAAGAAGACGATTCGTTGAACCGTTCTCGACTCGTCTAAATGAAGTTTTCCTCTCCCGCGCGAAGCGCTAAAATTTTTGCCTTTCATCAAAATATAGAGAAAGGAAAACGATTCGTTGTTCTGTTCTCGACTCTTAATCCTTATCTGAATTCAGTTTCCCCCCCTCTGCGCGAATCGCGGAAGCTTAGACGTTTCCTCAAATTATTAGAGAAAGAAAACGATTCGTTGTACCGTTCTCGACTCGTCTAAATGAAGTTTCCCCACAAAAATTTGGCGTTTCACCAAAATATAGAGAAAGGAAGACGATTCGTCGTACCGTTGTTGACTCTTAATCCTTGTTTCAATTAGTTTCCCCGAAAATTTTAAACCTCTGATTTCTTTAGCTGATATTATAGGAAAGTGAAACTTCGAGAAAATACAAGTATTGTAGTTGTAGTCACTCTCGTCGTCACAGCGGATAAAAAGTCACAGTTCGTAGAGGAAAAAAACTTGTCAGCCAACCAACAATATACATCTCACCGACTTCAAACTTCTGCATTGATATAGTACACGAGGATCGAGCAAGAATACCGACACAGCTGACCCGACACAGCAACATATTTACCCATGTCTTTCTTGCTTCCTTGACGAGACGACTCCACCCACAACCCCCCCTTTCTTTTACTCCCACTCCTCCTTTCTCAGGCTCTTACCTCCCCCTCTCTCTTCACCCCCCCCCGTTTCTTTTGTTTCCCTTTCTCTTTTTTCTTCTTTTTTTCCTTTTCTTCCTTTTCTTTCTTTTCTTTCTTTCCTCTTCTCCCTCTTTTTCTTTTTTCTCTTTCTTTCCTTTCTCTTTTCTTTCCTTTCTTTTCCTTTCTTTCTTTTCTTTTCCTTTCCTGTTTTCTTTTCTTTCCATTACCCTCTTTTTTTTCCCTCCCCCTTTTCTATTTTTTCCCGACGGCAGCGCAATTTTACCGACAATATCCTGACAGGTGGAGGGGTGTCGCACCCCCCACACCCCCCCCCCCTTTGGCGACGCCCCTGCTCACAGATGCAGAGTTAAAGCGTTGTTGTTGATGACCAGCCTGGTGAAGCCACATATATACCCAGGTGGGTTGCGGGCCGCCGCAGGTACGCTTACGAGACACCCGTAGATGCCGCGATCACTGGCCGGCCGCCGGGCAATTTCTTTTAAATCAGCCGGTGGCCGGTGGGAGAACGCCCGGGAATCGGTGGGTCATCAGTCGGTCACTGCTGGGACGCCGCGCGGAGAAGCTCTCCTATTTCGCCCAGTTTGTATATAAAATCGACCGGCGACCGACGGGAAACCGACTGGGCACCACTGGAGCTTTACAGCCTGCTTGACTTCTCCAAAATTCTTTGGGCGATGCCTAAATTCCAGCGGCGACCGAGCAGGCTACAAATCGGTCGGTCGCCGCTCTGAGCTGTGACCATAGCTTTACGGCCAGTCCTATTTCCCTTTCTGGCCCTCTAACTTCTTCAATTTCAAATCGGACAAGATATAGCGTTCTTGCATTAGTTTGGCATCTACAGTTGTCTTGTTGAAAGCTAGTTGCAATTAAGCTAGAATGATTCGACTACACACTAATTGATTCTACGCCCAAGTCTCCGTGGTGGAAGCTCGCCCCCATGTTCAAGCCGCCTATTCAAATTTATTCCATCGGGGGGACGGCCCCGAACCGAACATACGTATTCATTAACGATACAAACAACATTTGCCTGCTGTACAATCGTACCGCTGACAGATAATACTTGGTGATTGATTAACCCCCGTTTGGGGTAAACACTCAAAATGGTGTCCAATTCCCCCATGATATCCCACCGTCATATGTATCTTTTAGACTTTAAGGCCCGGTCCCACTGCACTTACGGATGCAAAGAGGATGTAAAACGTATACAAAGTTTGCCATCCGTTGGAAAACGCTATGCATCCGTTGTGTACTCATTGCATACGTGTTTCATACGCTCTATCCATCGAGCATCCGTCCACTGTGATTCCATCCGCGCAAAAAGTTTTGAGCTGCACAAAACTTTTAGAACGGATGAACTTCCGCCGTGTACGCTGTAAATCCGCGACAATGTCCGTTATCATCCGTTAAACGTCCGTTGTATCCTCTCTGCATCCTTTGGGCATCCTCGCAACTCACATCCGCTGCAGCTGAAAACGGAATGAGGGAGGAAAGATAAGGTACATGGAACGTCTATACATCGTTAATAGCACGGAAATAGAAAGGATGTAAGCGTATGCATCTCGTATATAAAGCCAGCTGTCATATCCACTTCCATCCACTTTCATCCGCTAGGCTTCCGATGAACATCCGTTTAACATCCCCGCTACATACTACCCACGTCCGTTATTTTCCGTTCTGTTTTCGCAAATTTTCGCAAATTTTGTCCATTTTTGGAGCGGATGAAAACGGATTGAGCCACCCTCGAAATTTTGCTCGTCCGCTGTGTCCTTTATGCATACGTTTTGTGTCCATCGGCCAGTGGGACCGGGCCATTACTCCAGACAGTAATCCAGCATTGATAACAGCACTTTGCTGCCCCCATTTCGACGCACTGCCAGGATCCACTCCGGCCAATCCTCCGGAGGACTACTGCAAGCTTTGAATTCGAAAAACATACATTAAAATACTTTGCGTTTTTTTTCTTCTCCTTTCTGGTCACATCTAAGTTTGTTCTTCTTCTCCTTGTTCTTTCTTTGCCGCCTTGTACTTCTTCTTCCTTTTTCTTTTTCTTCTTCTTCTTCTTCTTTTTTCTTCTTCTTCCTCCTCTCCTCCTCCGCCTCCTCCTCTTCTTCTTCTTTATCTTCTTCTTATTTTTCTTCTTTTCCTTCTCCGTTTTCTCCTTCTCCTTCTCTTTCTTCCCCCTCTTCTACTTCAGCTACATATAAATTATCGAAATTGTATTTTGCTTTCTTTGATTCGACGTATAGTTCGGGGGATGGGCTCAGTACAAATGGTGGTAATAATCCCCCTTTCTTTCTTTCTTTTCTCTTTCTTCTTTTTCTTCTTTTTCCTTTTCTCCTTTTCTTCTTCTTCTCCTTCCTTTACTTCTTGTTCTTCTTCTTCTCCTCGTTCTTTAAGTTCCTTTTCTTCTTCTTCTTCTTCTTCCTCCTCCTCTTCTTCTTCTTCAGCTACATACAAAATTATCTTATTTTGCTTTCTTTGAAGATACCATAGCTATAGTTGTGAGGTGGCTAGCTCTTCGTCATCAATCCGAATTCGCTGAGAAAAACACATCTGTGTCGACAAAATGTTTGAAGTTACTGATACCCAGAGTAAGTTTTAGTAGAGGATATGTGATTTGTTCTGTTCTTATGGTTTTAAGTGGAAATAATGCTCAATAAAGAGCATCGAAACTATTTAATCCATTATCATTCAAAACAGTAGTAAATTATGTGGCCCCATATGCTCATAATTATGTAGGCAATAATTTACTCCTGTAATATGTACTCGGTGCTAGTGTGATAGTGGTGATGAATTGTCATGATGAACGACTCGTGGACTAGGCAGTGCAGTGCCGATGTTGATGTGACTTGAAATTCTTTAATATTTGTTAGCTTAGAGCAATGGATTTAACATCATGTTAGTTTAGATGTAGGTCTATGTTGTATCTTGTTTGGATTTTAATTATTTTGCAGCAGTAGAGTAAAGGAGCCCGTAATCGGCCAGCTCCAGTTTTCGGCCGATTGGTTGGATGCAAGGTAAAATCACTCTAAAATACATCGCATAATAGCATAACACATATCCCACACATACCATACCATGCCAGTGTCACTGAAGAACCACATTTGCAATGGAAAATATATCCTAAAATATCACATTTTAGCGATGTAATCGCCGGTCCCGCTACCCAAATCTGAAAAATTGAGTATCTTACGCGTGTCTGTAAGAAATATGGGTACCATAAAATGAGCTTTATTTCAAGTATTTTTCAGATTTAAAGCCCGACTTTGTGCTAGTCACAAGCTCAAAAGTGTGTCATCGCATGTATTAAATCAATGCAGCCGCACACCGCGACGCACACACGATATCTCTGTCTAAATTCGGATTCCAACTTCCGATCACCGCTGTGCCTGTCTTCGGCCAGGCGAGCACCAGGGAGCTCCGGCGTGGGATACCTACTCCGCCCGCTTGTGCTGTACATCAGCACGGAAACGCACGGCGCGCGCGAGCGCTTCCTATTGACTTTGTACATGCGGCCGTAAACTGAAACGCTCGGCCGATAACGGGCTCCAAAACAGTGAAAATTGAAATGAATATTGTCATGGCAATTCGTGATTTTTTTTCTGGGATTCTTTTTTTGTTTAAATAATAATATTATTTGCTTCATGATTTGAACAAGAAATGATAATAAATAGGAAGTAAAGAGTCCTAAAAATAGGATTTTGTCTTAAGTGGCCGAAAACGGGCTCCTTTACTCTAGAGTAAAGGTAGGGTGTCTGAACGATTTTTCAATTTTCAATTTGGGATCGTTTTTCACCATTTTTGTTTGATATTTGAATAAAAAATGTTATCAGGATAATACATTTCAAATTTCAAGTCTCACCGATGTTTCTATCAAAAGTTACAGCCCCTCCAAAACGCTGGTATATTCATATCATTTTGGTCAAAATCGACGAAAAAGACGTCTACGCAGAGTGATGTTGTTTTGCTAAATTCTGACAAACAGCTGTATCGCGCGATATGCAAGCGTATACATATGGTACGCATGTTGCTAAGCCAATGCGCGACTTGCAGCTTAGCCAATGCGCGACTTGCAGCTTGAGCCACGCTGTCTCCGCGATATGTGCCATTGACTAGTATGGTTGGCAATTCGCGCCGTAGAACCCGGAAGTGAATACACGTTGTAGTCAATGGCAATATCGCGGAGACAATGCACGTTGTCTCCGCGATATTGCCATTGACTATAACGTATATTCACTTCCGGGTTTATCGAGGGAATTGCCAACCATAATTTCATTCACTATAATGTGTAATTGAATTTGGGGTTTCGTTCGTGCGCGGAGATGTTACGCGATGTAACCATGGTTTGGACTGAGCGGAGCGCACGCCCCCTAATTAGCTGATCCCCCAAATAGCGAGAAGGGTATTTTTAAACTGTTATCAGTTGTGATCCCTGGGGGCTAGCGAAAATATAAGCACATAGAATTGTTCCTTAGGACTGGGACTACTTATCGATCGGGGCGTCATATCTCAAAAGTGACAAACCTCAGAGTTAGCCAGGACACAATGTTTAAATTGCTGTTTTGACTAAGATATTTTGAGAATTTCGGGGGCTACGCCCCTTTGGAAATATTGGAATTTACCTGCTCTTTCATATGACACCTCATTTACTGATTATCACCTTCAGGATCACAACAGTTAAAGGTTTGAATCTCGATTTGAAAAAAAAAAATTGACTTTTTTTGCATGGTTGCGCAATGCACGTAGACTGCATAGGGATGCGTGTAAGCTCTATGGGAAGAATTTTAGCACACAATATCGGGTGCGCGATCAGACACCCTAGTAAAGGAGGGGGTAATCGACCAGCTTCAGTTTTCGGCCGATTGGTTGGATGCATGGTAAAATCCCTTTAAAATACATCGCATAATAGCATATCACATATCCCACACATACCATACCATGCCAGAGTCACTGAAGAACCACATTTGCAATGAAAAATATATCCTAAAATATCACATTTTAGCGATGTAATCGGCGGTCCCGCTAACCGAATCTGAAAAAGCAAGTATCTTACGCGTGTCTGTAAGAAATATGGGTACCATAAAATGAGCTTTATTTCAAGTATTTTTCAGATTAAGAGCCCGATTTTGTGCTGGTCGCAAGCTCAAAAGTGTCTTACCGCATGTATAAAATCAATGCAGCCGGACACCGCAACGCACACACGATATCTCTGTCTAATTCAGATTCCAATATCCGATAACCACAGTACTAGTTTTCGGCCTGGCGAGCTCCTGGGAGCTCCGGCGTGGGATACCTGCTCCGCCCGCTAGTACTATGGATCAGCGCGGAGACACACAGCGTGCGCACGCTTCCTATTGAATTTGTACATGCAGCCGAAAACTGGTTCGCTATGCCGATAACTGACTCCGAAACAGTGAAAATTGAAATGAATATTGTCATGGCAATTCGTGATTTTTTTTTCTGGGATTCTTTTTTTGTTTTTAAATAATAATAATATTTGCTTCATGATTTGAACAAGAAATGATAATAAAAAGGAAGTAAAGGGTCCAAAAAATAGGATTTTGTCTTAAGTGGCCGAAAACCCCCTCCTTTACTCTATTTTAATTATTTATAATTTTGAAAGAATTTGCTTTCATTTCAGTTTCATGTTACTCAATCAAATTGTCCAATTCCATTCTTCCTTTTTTCTCCAGAGATTGGAATTGGCCTTTCTGGCTTTGGAATATTCTTCTTATTCCTGGGAGTTGTATTTTTATTTGACAAGGGATTACTTGCTCTGGGAAACGTAAGTGTGATCATATTTTGTTTCCTTTGTATTTAACAAAATTAAATAACAGACAATTATTTCGAAATAAAATGTGTGATAATTAGTTTAAAGATAAACTTGAGTTCTGGTAAAAAAAGAAAATGAATTCTCACAGAATCTAACAAAACTTACACTGAATGTTCAAGATTACAAATAAATGTCATGTGCCAAACAATTTTGGAAGAAAATGTATACTGGCTGAGTAATGAGCATAGAAAGATAAGGAAATCAGGGTAGTACTAGCCCCGACACCATGTGTGTTGTCCCATATACATCTTTCTGTTTCAGTGATTGTTACTTTACCAAGACTCTGCCAAATTTATGATGATTTTGATGACTCCAGAACCTTGCATTACACACCATTATTTACATGCTATATGATCAACTTTTCTGATCCATTCCACACCTTTTCTTTCACAATGCAATCGCATTACCAGAACTCAAGTTTATCTTTAAACAAATTCCACAGGAATATTGATTTGTTTATTCAGATGATTAAAAAAAGATCAGTAATGTAACTGTTTTGCATCTGAGTCCTGGTGTGTAACATCAATTATCATCTGTTGAGATCCAGAAGATTTCTATTGTGAAGTTATTGCCATTCTTGCTCTCATTCTTAGAAGACATTTTATTTTTCTTTAAAGATTTGCTTAGTTGTAGATTCTATCTTTTTAAAATCTTTTTTTTATTTGTCTATTTTGATTGTAACAGTGTAAGATTAATAACATTTGGTTTTATATAAACTGTTTAATTATATTTTTCAAAATTTAATTAACTTTAAAGGATATTAGATACAGTATGATTGTATGAAAAATGTGAAAAGCAAAGGGGGTTATGGTCTGTTTAGCAGGTTATACAAATTGAATAGAAGGCATTTTAAAAATTTCATTTTAGATCTGCAAGAGAGCCATTGATACAGTGTGATGTCATTAATTCTAATAATCATTGTATTAAATCATCTTTACCTTAGTAATTCTGACTGTTGTTGATCTATATTTGCTTATTCATTTGTGAACAGATCCTCTTTCTATGTGGTTTGGCATTTGTCATCGGTCTTGGAAGGACGTTCGCATTCTTCTTCCAACCACACAAACTTAAAGGAACAGGATTCTTTCTTGGTGGGATACTCATCGTTTTAATCGGCTGGCCGTTGATCGGCATGATCATTGAGACTTATGGCTTCTTTGTATTATTTGGGTAAGAACACATGCATAATATTGACTGGATGTAAAATATAAAATATAAAATTTGATATTGTAGTCAGCATTTTGTCTGCTAGGAATTGGAAGGGTGTTAACTCAATTCACACAGAGATAATTCCCTTCTAGCCCCAAACAGACGATTTCATCAATAATTTGGTTTAGAGCATTGTGGTAAACTAGAGTACATAGTAGATTTTATTTGATTCAAATTGGTATCAAATCACCTTATCAGAAGTGAGTGATTTTATATTAATGATAACTATTTTGTGGTTTTTGGAAAGATGTAAATAATGGGACTTGTATTATGCAGTGATGGGAGTGCATGATATTAACCATTAGGGCTGCGACGGGTAGTCGAATAGCATTGTTTACTGTTATTATTATTATTAAATCGGCACCCTCAACTGCAACTTGAAGTAAAATTGCATGAAATTTCGGAGAAAGACCTGGGATAATGCTCCCGTGGTATGGTGGTGGCAAAAAAACAACAAAAAAAACATGGCGTCCGAATATTCGAGTATTACTATTTGCTTGTAATCCTGGGAGTGTACTCGGGTACCTTATGACACGGTTGTGCACAGCCTTATTAACCATACATGTATGTCAGGAAGTAGAGATAGATAGTCACTGTGTTTTTGGAGGTTAAGAGAGGGTCAATTATTTTCAGGTGTTTCTTCTAAAATTACCATCACCAAATGTACAGTATATCTGTTCATTGTTCCATCTAATTTGAAGAGCAGAATATCTACTTTTTTAGATTGTTATATGTGGTAGGCACATGTATTTTAATAGCATTGTATCTGAATTTTATTGTCTGCCTGCCAATCCTAGCCTTTTCAGTTAGACATATTTTTTTTCTTTTATTCTTTTTCTTTTTGGAGTATTGAGTGTCTTTGCAGTATAAATATCAGATGCTTGATGTATTTTTATCATTCTGTTCTATTTCAGAGGATTTTTCCCTGTGGCAATAAATTTCTTGAGGAGAGTACCGGTTATCGGGACAATAATGAATTTACCTGGACTTAGTGGTGTAAGTATCATGTAAATTTTTCCCATTGTAAAGTGTAGTGGATTCCCCCCTTTATTCTGATCACCCTCAATATCAACAAATTGAGATTGATCTTGGACACCACCCCTAGACCACCACTCCACCCCAACCAGCACCTTACTCTCTAGGACAGTGAATTATGGAATATTTCCCCTCCCCCCTGTATCAAATACACCAAAGACAATTAACTGCCCCAATAAAAAGTGTGTTATCACAAGGGGATAATGATGGTGTGTTGTTAAGCGAGAGGATGTATTCTGAAGTTTTGCACAACTGAGATCACAATAAACTTTTATTACCAGTGCCACTGAGTTATTTTCTTTGAATCAAAACCAATATATCGGTATGTCTTTTTATTTTATATTTCCCTTGCAGTTCTTCAATAGATTTGAGCAGCACAGCACCAACTGAGATCACAATAAACTTTAATAAGAATTTGTTCAGACATTATTTATATGTAATTGTCTTGGGAAGAACTGCATGAAGACTCCAGTGTTTGTACTTTGCACCTACAGGCACTGGATTCGGTTGAATTACCAATTAAACTGTATTCAGGTCTTTATTTATCACCAAAGAATGGGAAGGATGCTCAACCTTTATTTTTACCAGTGCCACTGTGCTATTTTCTTTCAATCAAAACCAATAAATGTCTTTTTATTTTGTATCTCCCTGTCTTTTTATTTTGTATCTCCCTTGCAGTTCTTCAATAGATTTGAGCAGCACAGCACCAATGTTTAACTCAACTTACAGGCCCGTTTTCTTGAAAGCTACCTAATTTTAGGCTAGATTTAAAGACTTAGAGTTGTCCTTCCGTATGTATTGCCTCTATTGTATCATAATTTGTTGACACTGGATTTGGTTGAATCACCAATGAAACTGTATTCAGGTCTCCCAGGCAACGAAACCCTTATTTTTTTATTTCACTCCTAAATCAATTTTACTTCTCTATTATGCTACACATTAACAGCAATTTGTATGAAAATTAGGAGATGATACTTGATCTTGCATAAGAAGTAATGTAAGATGAGCCAGGTTGGATCTAGGATACTTTCCAGAATACGGGCCTTATTAGATAGAGATGTAAATTGTTTATAAATACCTACCGTGTAGAACTAACTTGGTTTGTATACTTGCCTGAAGGACTGTCATGTTAACTGTTTTTCACTTGCCCTCTTAACAAAAATAAAATTTCTAGGATGTTGTCATTATAAAAGCTGTCATTATGGTTGGCTGGGAGAGTATAGAATGCATGTATGAATATTTCATGGAAATATGAAAGATTTCCCATTTCTTTGAACGACAAAGCCGTACTGTCAGACATTTGCAAGTCCTTTCGCTCAATGTATCTCCTTAACCAATGGTTTCTTATTAGAATTATCAATGCTCTTGAAACACTTAATACAGTTTTTATTTTGATGGATTACAATTTCTTTGTGTCTGCGAATAGATATTAGTTGTACTTGTAGAAGAACTGGGACGCCATTTCATTTGTTTGTTTTTAGTGTAGATAGCATTTTGAATATTTTCAAGATATTTATTATGATAGGCTGTATATTTCAAAACATAGCTTACTTTGCCATATACATTGTGCATGTTTGTAAAAAACGAAATAGAAATAAAATATTTGTCATTTAATTTTCTGAATCTTGACTAATGACATTATCAATCAGATCTCAGATGCACCTCAAAATGCCTATGGACTGCTACATTGCATGTCTCTAAATGTAGATTTTCTATATGAGATATAGGAGATACCCTGACAACTTTCTAATGACTGAATTGGATATATTTTAAACAAAAATCACACAAGGGTTATATTGTCCCCGTATTCAACCATGTACCTAGTTGTATCAAGTTATGATGGTGACTTTCAGGACTTGAAAAGGTTGATTTTCCTATTTTTTTTTTCTTCTCTCATCGCTTTCTCTGACATATCTTTTACTAATATTTGAATGCACTTTTATTGCCTTTTCTCTTTTTTCCCTCTCTTTCATGTATGTGTACATTCCTTCTTCATATTGTGTACATGATTTTAAAGTTTTTGCCACCTTGTGTTTGAAATATAACTGAATTATTCTCAATTTTATTTCACATAAAAGTACAGAGCACTTTTTCAACCAGAATATTATATTAGTTGTCATTGTCATTGTTAACTTGTCTGATTGAGTTGGCACTTTCAAGGCATATTTAATCAAAAATATTGGCTCGTATGTGGAGAGTTTTTTCATGATTTGTTTTTGTTTGCTCTCTTTGAGTGCATGACAGTTTCTTGATATTGCCAAAGTTTGCTCTCTTATTTGATCTCCAATAGAGAGAATTTCACAGTAAATATACATTCCTTGGAATATTGAAGAGATGAATTACTGTAACAAAGACAAAATTAAGATGATATTAATTTCTTTTATTTGGTAATACCAAAATAGGTCAACAATTTCTATTTTACTTATTTCTTCTATGGTATATTATGATAGTGTATAGATCTAGTTGATAGTATTCTTGTGCAGTTTCAAAGTGTTCTAAAGGAGGAGTTTATGATTGTTTGACAAGCATACCCAAGGCAGCCGACCTCCATTGACTGAAGGTACTATTTCGTCATTTGGTCTACCTATTTTTTATTTATTTTTTATTCATACAGTATTTTAACTAAATCCCACTGTTGTAATGATTCTCTACATTTGATATAATGATGAGTCATCACATTTTCTCTGATGTTTTTGTTTAATGTATGTTTGGGTTATTATCCATTTGTCTAATATCCTACTCTATTATCCACTTCGTCTGATACAAAGTCACCTTCAATGGCCATGCTATTACCCTCTCTTGTGAATATGAATATGAATATGAGACCAACTTGCAGGAGACGCGTTGATAGTACCGGTACTTGTATTTTAATTGGTCATTAGACCAAACGATAATTAAACTATTGGACATCATGGTTAATAGACAAATCATTGTAGGCAAAATAATAAATCACACCAGGTGGTAGTAGACCGAGTATAGACAAATTGAATTAGACCAAATGGATACAATATTATTGACATTAGACCAATGGCAATCCATCTTAAATTATCAGTGACTTTTTTCACCATGTGGCAAACTAATGCAATTATTGCATGCTTTAGTGATTCTATTGACCAATTGCAGGTGTCAAGATGACTTTAAGAATATCGTACCGTTCAATAGTAGGTCTCTAGAGGTCTGTAAATATATTTATGGCATTTTACATGTATGCATGGAAGGGATACAAGAAAGGAGGATGCAAACAGTTCCTTCTTCAAGTTAGCTTATTTTAATTAGAAACATAATTTGGTAAACAATTTTTTAATGTACTTTTTCAATGACTAAGCTAGAGAGAAAGGGTCGACTTTGAAATGAAGTGCATTTTAAATTAAACTTATTGTAGATGGGCAAAAAGAGAGAGGAAGAAATGATTGATTCTATGCACAAAAGATACAGACAATCTGACTTATTCGGTATGGTAAATATGTCATTATTTTTAGCTTCTTAAAACTAGGTCTTTATTTTATATCATAAATGTTGATTTAGAATGCTATCATTTCTTCTCTATACCCCTGTAAAATCTTTTAAAGACTTGTTTGTATCGTACAACATCAATATATAGTTTTATTTGCTGAAGGATTATGTTTGATGCTTCAAGTTTAATTTTGATTTGTAATGGATAGAATTATTTTTGATCCATTTGTGAATCTTTGAAACTTGTTTTATATGAAAAGAGGCATTGTGATGTGGAAGCATCATATGTAATATCATTTTGACTGTACGAGATTTGACATTTTTTGTTCTCATGTGTTGTGCACCGAAGATGTCAGAGTTGCATATAGTGACTTTTCCTGGCAAAGTAAAGGAATTTAAGTTTTGCTGCAGTTTACCAGGGAGAGGGAGAGGGGAGAGAGAGAGAGAGAGAGAGGGGGGGGGGGTGGGGTGGGGGGGGGGGGGGGGGGAGAAGGAGAGATAAAGAGAGAGGGAGACAGATAGGGAGGGGGCAGACAGAAATAGAAGAGAGTGGAGTGAAAAATCATAACAAAAATACAGAGATCAAAAGTGAGAGGAGCAACATCATCATAAAGAATGAAAGAAAAGTGAAAATAGCAGCTTTAGTTATATTGCGGTATGGTATGTAATCCCGTAGGATTTTTTTTGCCAAAATTGGCCAAAAGTGATGGGGTTCAAATTTTCAGACCCCTCCTTCATTTCCTGAGGGGTCCATATCGGGTGCTAAAATGGCTTATATAAAGCGCAATAGGGAAATTTGGTGTCTTCAGGAAAATTTGAACCCCATCAATTTCTGATAGCTTGGACCCCAACGAATCCAAAAATGCAACAAAAAAAACAAAAAAAATCAATCAATTTCGGCACAAAAGTCCTACGGGAGCTGTTTAAGTGACATACCGTACCACACTATTATAGTGATGGTAAATTAAACTAAGGGGGTATCAAACTTCACAACAAGCAAATTTACACAACACAGAAGTAATAGTTTTCATCATTCAATTTTATTATAAAATATGCAGTACTCGAGTGTGTGCATAATGCATGCTCGTTGAGGGGGCACAACTGCCTCTCAAAAGCTATGTACAACACTCCCTTCTCTTCTACAAAAATGCCCTTCTTATAAATGTGTTCGCCGTGACTGTGTGGGGGTCTGGTAGGCAAGTGTATAAAACCAATGAAACATCCCACATAACATAACTTTTGTATACAAACACAATGTACATCATTATAGGTACGGTTAGGTGAATATATAAGATTTGAGATGTCATGATTTGAATGACAAATTTCATTCATAATATTCATCATCCTTGTATAAAACAGCGTGCATAACATATAATACATGTGATACAGTCAAACCTGTCTATAGCGACCGCCCAAGGGAAACACAAAAAGTGGTCTTTGTTGAAGACAGGTTCCTTTGATGAGAAACCATTTTCAAGGGAAACAAAAAATATGGTCTTTGTAGACAGGTGTCACTAAAGCAGGTTTGACTGTATTTTCAAACTTTTCTCTGCAGCTTCCTCATCCTCTGTATTCTACACCAGCCATAGACACTGCCACAGGACACAGGTCTCTATTATTTAATACTGTCAACACATTACATACAATACAAATGATATAAAAACACATATTTGTCTTTACAAGATAAAATCACTACCGGTACTTGAACATAATGAATACTCAGTATCAAAGAGGCTTGGTCACCATCAAATTTTAGTGATGCCAAATGATAACTTGAAATATAGATATATAAAGATTTCAATAGATGTATTCAGGTGGATTAGTGTAAATGCAACTATTGCCCTACTAGTGCTAATATTTGGCACAAAAGTTAGATCGAAAGTACATGTATCGTGTATTATAAAATCTAACCATACTCAACAGGACTGAACTGTGTTCATCACATACAGGACACAAATTAACATGTAAGTTATGACAGGTATGGTTGGAAGCAAGTAATATTAAGGTCAGGAGTAGTCAAAATGAACTACAGAGCAAAAGTGCATCTTTTATAACATACATGTACATGTACAAAGCATGTGGGAATCATGACAGACCTGTAGTATCACAATAGCTCTGGGATTTTTTCCAAAATGACTTATATTTTAAAGAAAATTATAATTAACATCCTGATCTTGAGACGAATAAATGTTTGAGACCTTGCAATTGTTTTGAATCCCATGTTTAAGCTCAACTTTTTTCACACTTACAACGTAGGTGTATAAAACATGCTCCAAACAATGTACAAGTCTGAGGTTTGATCCATAGCGAGTGAACGGTTAAACCTCCTTTGTGAATTCTGTCCTTGGTGAATTATGCCAATTTTATTCATTGATTAAATGAAATATAAAACATCTTTTAAAGCTGCAAAGATGCAGAAACATTTCCACTTGATTGAGAAATACAATTCAGTTTTCCATTGAGAGCTCAGGTGTTCATCTTAGGTTTTGGAAAGAAGTAGAAGACAGAAGACGAAAGGATCAAGTTGAGATGCCTTCCCCTTCCATTTTCCTCTTCCATTCCTCCATCTCCTCTCTGTATGTCTCCGTCAGCAGGGATGCTTCCTCATGGTATTGCTGTTATAGGATAGAGGGAACGAGAGATTGATGAAAAAGGATGGAACGAGAGATTAATGAGAAAGGATGGAAAATGAAGGGGATTTAGAAAGAGATACAGCATTAGGTTTGGAGGGAGAAAAGGAGGAGGAAGAGACAGAGATTGAACATCAGAGGAGTGAATAAAAGACTTAAGTAGGCAATCAAAATAGAAAAAGGGGGAGAAGGGCAAAGAGAAAGACAGCAAGAGGGGGTGTGTAAAAGGGGTTCAGTTTTGCACTCAGAGATACTAAAACCAACCCTGAAGCCTGTCAAGTCAAGCTGCCCCTCCCTGTATTTCTGTTTTAGAGTACATCTTATTCTCGTCTTTAGAACAAATTTGGGGGAAATGAGAATAAAGCTCCCATAGAATTACCGGTAAACAAAAACTGAGGGTTGGACATGCATGCATGTACATATGATTTGCTTAGCTGCAAAAATATATGAAAATAACTTATTAAAGCTATAAAGCTATGTGTGTATGACAATATCCAATACCTTCAATATTCACTTTTGTTTGGTTTAAAGCTAAAATAGGCACTGCCACAGCTACTTGCAAATTGTCTAGGCATTCACAACATGTCCAATATTCAAGACTGCAACTCACCTGTTTTTCATGGTCAGGTAATGAATGCCATATTGATGCTGCTTCCTTGAATTGAGCCTATAGAAGAAATATAAATATTTCCGAAATTTAGTTTGACTGAGGCCACCTTTACTTTTACCTTTACACTGGCTAATCAGACGTCAGTCATAAAATATTGATATCAAGTATCAACCATAAAATTACATACATGTATTTTATTTTAAATTCATAGAGAGATCTACATTTTCAAGTAGCAGTATCTATGTACTAGTCATACCAGAAATGCCAAAGATAAACCTGATAGTAAAAACCGATGTAGTAATTATTCATTGGTATATTTATCAGAAGGTAGGACTGGGCAACAAAATTTACCAGCAGTGAGTCATGTTTGTAATAATAATGATAATGATAATATTCTGGTATATATATATCGTGCTTAATACATCTATGATATCTCTAAGCGCTATACATAAATACTATCACCCCAGCCATTGTTGAATTCAGGCTTGCCTACCCATAATGTATGCACATTCTCAACTCCGTGGGGAGCATTCCAGCCAGGCACCATTTTACAGATGTACACAATGCTGAACATCTTACTGGGTACCGATTTAACATAGGGGAAGAAAGAAGCAATGTAGATCTAATGTCTTGCATAAAGAAGAGATAAGCGCTGTTCAGGGGACCAAACCCACGTCCCACGACCTTTGAATCTCCACTCAATTCTTTAAACAATGTGACTGCAACACCTCTACAATAACTCACCTTTATTTCTTCTCTTGTCCTTCCTCCAGCAGGCTGCTGGTTGAAATGTGCTTTGATAAAGAGAGAGTATCCGGTTGGCGGCCTTTTAGGTTTGTTCAATTTCTTCATTTCCTAGAAGTAAGAAACAGTATCAATCGCAATGATGGTGGTTTCTAATAAAGCTCTCATTTTTTCATCATGCCACGACACTCCTGGCACTCCAGTATTATTACCCATTTACAGTTGGTGGACAGTGTCAAATGCAGATTACAATCTTGCCAAAGGGATTCAAACTTCTAACATTTTTTTTTAAATTCAAGTGAATACCAGAAAGTCTTGTGGTTTAGCCTACAAATCTACTCTGACTGGCCCCAGTTCAAAGCTGAATCACCCCACACTGATAGTGAATTTAAAGGTTAAACCCCAGTTATAAATCTTACAACTGTTCAACGCATGTTTGTAAAAATCCAAATCATTCTCTACTCTGGACATCCTCATGTGGTCAAGGCTAGCATATCAAGGGAGAGTTAGTGAACTTTGACATCATGAAATGATGAGACTTTCAGCAAGTAAGCGGGAACACAAGCACACCTCTGACATGGGGTCACCGGTGTTACTTGAGCAAATAACATGGCTGTCTGCAAAAGCAGCTGTTTCTTGCATGTGGCAGTCACTTATGCCTGGATTACATTTGGCATGTGATTAGTATACAGAGCCGGTATCCTGCCTGTATCCCCTTTTCCGTGCGGCCTCTGTGCTGCCTGCATGTGGAGGCGCCCAGGGCACATGTATTCTACCGGTAGGCATAAGCTGGCCCACAAGAATCTAATTTCCATAGTGAAGCAGGGAAACAGTAGAAAAAAACATCACAGCTACAATTAATAACTCAATGGCTGCTCTTCTAGTAGGAATATGTTTAATCACATGGAGTGGTTTTAATCTATTAAAAGAAACGTTCTATGTGTGATATAATCCGATTCAGGTGTTCTTACTGATTTGTGTCGGCGTTTTGCCTTCATTTCTCGTTTGTTTCTGTCAATTTCCGACATAGAATCCAGCTGCTCGTCTGTCAGTCTTGATCTATAATCCTCCATCTCCTCTGTGTATTTTTCTCTTCTGGATTCAAAGTCTAACCTATAAACCTGATAGATAAAATGGAAAAATCATGTTATTATAGATTTTCACAGAATAATATATTGAACACAACAACTGATTGAAATAGGGTGATGAAAGCATTTGTGTAATGTTTCTCTTCCTTAGCTTAAATACTTGTACACGGATTGGGTGTATAATCTAACATTTTGAAAATAAGATATTTTAGCTGACATATTAAAGTAGTTAGTTACTTCTTATTTCTTGATCTTCTGACCACAATATGCACAACTGCATGCCTCATAGATTGGCTTTTCATTTCAAACTTGTTCATCAATTCTCAAACTCTTTTCCATTGTATATGACTTCTGACATACTAGAAAACACAAAAGGGTTGTCTCATGTCATTATTTTCATGATGGACTGCATATGACTGGTGACATTTGACCTAATGGCCCCCAAACTAAACACTACTTGATCCCTTTCCATTACCTCTTTCTCATCTTCAGACAAGTCCCTCCACATTGCCCCTATTCTTTTTGTCACATTAGTTACACTGAGACCTGAAACAAACGATGACCGCTGACATTTGACCTAATGACCCCCCAAACTAAACACTACCTTATCTCTTTTCATTACCTCTTTCTCATCTTCAGACAAGTCCCTCCACATTGCCCCTATTCTTTTTGTCACATTAGTTACACTGAGACCTGAAACAAACGATGACCGCTGACATTTGACCTAATGACCCCCCAAACTAAACACTACCTTATCTCTTTTCATTACCTCTTTCTCATCTTCAGACAAGTCTCTCCACATTGCCCCTATCCTCTTTGTCACATCAGTTACACTGAGATCTGAAAGAAATAGGAAAGTTAGTTTACAATCTTCAAAACTCACAGTGAGAATCAGTGTCTCTCCTTCATGTACATACATGTAGCTCTGGCTTTAAAGCTCCAAGTGATCTTTTACACATTATTCTAGGGCTAGCAAGTTCCAATATATCCATGTACAAAGCCTAAGAAATCCTGGTGTTGTAACATTGGGCCTTCATATTGATAAGACATATTCTAACCCATTGAATTTTGTCCTAACAATTGTAAGTCAACTTTTTCTTATGACTCCCCCCCCCCCCCCCCCCCCCCCCCAATTAAAACTGGGCTAACTACTCCCTTCTGGTCCAGCCCTCCAGGAAAACCCTGTTCTACAACTCCTACAAAATGGAAAGGAATACACACATACTACTACAACTTTGGATATTGCACTCATCAGGGTAAATTGCAAGAATGAACGGAAAGCTGAAATAAGAAAATATAAGCGGAAGCTAAAGGAACAGAGCGCTTGAAAAAATAAAGGGCTTTAATTAGTATGTCTGTTTTTGGTTGGAGTTTTTCTACAAGACATGATTCATACTTGGTTCCATCGCTGTTAGTTTTGGTCTTTGCTCGGAGGTAAACTGGAAGAAGCTTGTCAGAGGTCTCTTGGGTTTGGCCGGGATGTCCTCAGAAAACTCCTTTCTATCCTGCATCCATGGTAGCTTTGGTTGACTACTGCTGCCAAGTAGACCAGGTCTTGTGGTACTGTAGTGAATATAAGCATCAGAACACACAAAAATCAAAGTTAGACACCAAGGCCTATTAAAGGGTGGTTCAGTTTTGGCAAACTCACAATTCCGAATTGGAAGTCTTTTGATATTGGCTGTCCTTGGTCAGTGCCAGCACTACAGGCTACACTACCAACTTTAGAAGTGTCAGATTCAGAAATGCATGTGTGTGTACACTGCAGAAAATTGCAGAAGTACAGTATCATACATATCAGTAAAGTTTGTGGGATGAGTAGACTACCAGTAAGCTAAACTTTCTTAAGTTGTTTTATTTGCTGAAAAAATGATACCAGTAGGTTTTGTTGTTTTATTTTTTCATAGTTATTACTCATTAAACTAGTTGTTAATGTTATACAGATGAAACTTTGATGAACAATGATAATAGATCTGGGCCAAGTTGCACAAAACTTACCATTGATGGTAACTTTGCTATCGACGGTATTACCATGGAAACCTTGATATTGATTGGCTGTTGACTGTTGAGCCCTGTTACCATGGTAGTTGCCATTGATGACAAAGTTACCATCAATGGTAAGTATTATCCAACAGGGTCTAGGTCTGATCTAGACTAGATCTTAAAAGTCTAGACCAGTAGGTCTAGATCTATGAGTAGGGTGTTTGTTTTTCACCATCATGGTTGGATAATTGAAAATTCAACTACTCAGAAGAACACATTTCAAATTTCAAGGCTCACCAATGTTTCTAAAATCAATTTCTATCAAAAGATACAGCCCCCCAAAATCTAGCCTCTACTCAGGGCTAGAGTAGAGTCTAGGCAATATTCATCCAATTTTTGTCCAGAATGGACAAAAAAGTGGTACACACCGAGTTATAATTTTTGCTCAACAGCTGCACAGCACGATATGCAAAGCGTGGGGTAGGGGTATTTTTAAACTGTCTGTAACTACTCTAGACCGAAAGCTTCAGTCTCTATACCGTCGGTTGTTCCACTGAGACTACGTCTGGCTCCACTAGACCTCCGGTTATAGAGACTGAACGATCGCCTATGCCAGCCTATGTTGAAGATATCACGGCTAGATTTTAGCCGTTAGGCCCCTCCCACAAACATGAACAAACTTGCCACGGCCGTATTGTTATGCCCCCAAAAACTGTGCGCCATCTACACGTTCGTAATGGCGTTATCACAGTTTTTCCTTCATAATCATTTTTGCCTTCGGCGTAGACTAGAAGGGATGAGATTGACGGCAGCGAGAGTTTAACACGGCTTGCAAGATTTTCAACATGGATGTCGATTTTGACCCATAATTTCCTTAAAAGGGACCATTAAACGGATTATTTCAATCAAGTTAGTAAGTGGAACCGATGTATTATAGCCTAGGCCTAATGTAAAATTGGATATGCACGAGGTAAAATGACATTTTGGGGGATTTTGGGGGCATAACAATACGGCCGTGGCAAGTTTGTTCATGTTTGTGGGAGGGGCCTAACGGCTAAAATCTAGCCGTGATATCTTCAACATAGGCTGGCATAGGCGATCGTTCTGTCTCTATAACCGGAGGTCTAGTGGAGCCAGACGTAGTCTCAGTGGAACAACCGACGGTATAGAGACTGAAGCTTTCGGTCTATAACTACTCGTGATCCCTAATTGGGAGCTCACTTCATGAAATTGGTAAATCTCTGACTTACCATGGAACAATGTGTTTAAATCAATGTTTCGATCAAGATATTTTTAGAATTCCGAAGTGAGCCTCTTTGGGGATATGGAGAAAAACCTGCTCTTTCATACATCACCTCACTTATTGAGTATCACCTAGACTAGGATCACGAGCAGTAGGCCTACGGCTACGGTATACACGAGCAGTATTGGTAGGGTGTCTGAACGATTTTTCAATTTTCAATTTGGGATCGTTTTTCACCATTTTTGTTTGATATTTGAATAAAAAATGTTATCACAATAATACATTTCAAATTTCAAGTCTCACCGATGTTTCTATCAAAAGTTACAGCCCCTCCAACACGCTGGTATATTCATATCATTTTGGTCAAAATCGACGAAAAAGACGTCCACGCAGAGTGATGTTGTTTTGCTAAATTTAGCCAAACAGCTGTATCGCGCGATATGCAAGCGTATGCATATCGTACGCATGCTGCTAAGCCAATCCGCGACTTGCAGCTTGAGCTACGCTGTCTCCGCGACATGTGCGATTGACTAGTATGGTTGGCGTTCGTCGCACAATAAACCCGGAAGTGAATGCACGTTTTATAAAATGGCTCTAGTATTTTAAGCATCGTGATTGGTCAATACGCGTCACATGACATTGAAAAAATTTTGATGCAAGCACGATTTTGCAGAAATGAGTGCAGAAAAAGCGCAGTAAAAAGTTATATTGCACGGTGCGTACGCGTGACCATGGAGATCCAGTGCGCGCGCGTACGTGTAGTACGCGCTCCCTCGAGTTGCATTGCAATTATTGTAGGCTACGCGTAGCTAATACTGTACGCTCCACCATGATCCCCAGCGCAACGTACGCGTAGCTTAGCTCTAGCTAACTAGCTAGATCAGAGCGGCCAGCGCCAGCGGGGTATTATTAAAAAGCAAATTTTTATTTTACTTTTGCCTTGGATTTAGGCCTGTTTTGACTTTTGGATTTTATAATGAAGCCAGGAATTTCAGCTGTCTGATGTAGACTCGTCTCTAGACCCACTGTATGGATTTTATTTTTAATCAAGGCAATGAATCCCATTGACTTTTTGGTAAGCCTGCAAGGTCTTAGTCTAGAAGTAGAACCAACATAACTCTAGATCTAGATCTAGATCGAACTCTCGTAGACTCTAACTTATTAGATCTAAAGTTTCGTTTGTTGCTATTTGTGTCGCTATTTTATAAAACAAATAACGCACTTGACCCTGTTGTGCAAAACGTAAATGCAGTAAATGCTCGGTTTCTTCAGATGGTTCGCACTGTCAACTCGCCGCAAGCGGCTCGTTGCACAGAGCGGCACCAATCTAAAGAAACCTCGCGCGTACTGCATTCACCGCTATTGCACTCTGGGCCGTGCGTTTTTTGTATAATAGTCAATGGCAATATCGCGGAGACAACGCACGTTGTCTCCGCGATATTGCCATTGACTATAACGTGTATTCACTTCCGGGTTTATCGAGGGAATTGCCAACCATAATTTCAGTCACTATAATGTGTAATTGAATTTGGGGTTTCGTTCGTGCGCGGAGATGTTACGCGATGTAACCATGGTTTGGACTGAGCGGAGCGCACGCCTCCTAATTAGCTGATCCACCAAATAGCGAGAAGGGTATTTTTAAACTGTTATCAGTTGTGATCCCTGGGGGCTAGCGAAAATATAATCACATAGAATTGTTCCTTAGGACTGGGACTACTTATCGATCGGGGCGTCATATCTCAAAAGTGACAAACCTCAGAGTTAGCCAGGACACAATGTTTAAATTGCTGTTTTGACCAAGATATTTTTAGAATTTCGGGGGCTACGCCCCTTTGGAAATATTGGAATTCACCTGCTCTTTCATATGACACCTCATTCATTGATTATCACCTTCAGGATCACAACTGATAAAGGTTTGAATCTCGATTTGAAAAAAAAAAAATGCGTGTAATCTCTATGGGAAGAATTTTAGCACACAACATCGGGTGCGCGATCAGACACCCTACTACTACTAGAGTCTAGTATTGGTTTGAATCTCAATTCGGTAATAAAAACATTGACCAATTAATTATGCATAAGCGTGCAATGTACATGGATTGCATAGGGATGTGTGTACAATCTATGTAGGGTCTACATTCACTTTGTACATAGACTTTCACGTTATGAGCGATAAATCCTCCGGAAAACGGACAACCCATAAAAGTAGACGGTGAATTGGGAAAGTTTTCAATAGGTGGGACTGTTCAGAAAAATTGGTCTTTAGTTCTTCTTCATTTCAGTACATTTCTTTTTAGTCATGGATCGAAAATTCTTTGAAAAGGATTCATAATTTCACCTGACACTCCAAATCCTGCAGTTCTGATAGAAAAGACGGGAAAACGCCCCTAAACTTGCAGCCATTTTACAGTTTTTAACCAGTTCCCGCCACAGGAAATAAGCCGACAATCTTTCATTTAATTTTTGATCTTACGGTGTTGTAAGCGAGAAAATTTGAAAAAGAAAAGATTGCGAACACAAGTATGTTGGGCGACTGTTTTTTGTTTTCTTTCTTGTAAGAGCAAATAGAATTTCTTTAGAAGTGTTGTTTCAGAATGAGACGAGCAGGAATATAAGTTTTTAGCCCATCTTTGTAATATATATATATTTTTTAATTTTTTAATTTAGGTTTTATTTCCACATAAACTGCATATGAAAAGTATTTGCAAAGTAACGCATATACAAGGTAACAACATGTACATATATTCGATAGATAGATGGCATTACAGCAGTAAAAAGCGATTTTATGCAAGTAATTAAATACAAATGAATATGCTAACAATAATCTGCAGTAATGAGGAGGAAACCTTGGAAGCATTATGCCTTTATATAATACGTTTGTTAAAGAATATATAAAACAAAAAACAAGACAAAAGAAGAACAAAACGGTGTGTGGTGCAGCCAACCAAACGAGTGTGATAATAACGTTGGTCTCCATCATATAATGACCTTCTTAAGCATTTTCATACTGAAGAAGAAGTTTACGTTTCAAGTGATATTTAAAAGTACTTAAATTGGGCAGCAGTTTGAGCGAAATGCCCAAGGAGTTCCAGTACACCGGACCAGTATAAATAAAAAAAATTTAAAGTAAAGTTCTTAGTTTGTATAATTGAAAAAAAGAAGACAGTCGGGTTGGATAGTTATGCAGTTGACTCCTGCCAGGAGCAATGGAGTGTAAATCTGTTATTTTATTTTCTAATAAAGCGCTGCTTTAGGTCCTGAAGCAGAGCTACTTTCTAATATAGAAATATATTATGGCAGACTTAAAGCTCTAAAAACAATCCAAAAGATGAGTTGTAAAACGTCAGATGTTTCCATTGATTTGATTTCTTTTTATCAATATTCATTTCCTAAACAAGACACAATTAAAGAAAAATTTAGAAATGATATCCATGTGAAGTAAAGAAAAAAATTAGGAATATCCAGTAGCTGTTGTAAAAATAATCTTTAGGCCCCTCCCCCCCCCCCCCAACTTTTCTAGATCATAAATGAATTTAAATAAGGCACATGTAGAGAATGGATGCAGGAACTCTTCATGACCCAGTGATCACACTTCTTTGTATTCTATTGTTTTGAGCTCTAATATATCTAGGATTTCATGGAAATAGTTAATTTCATTGGTCCGACTGAGTTTGTTATTACAAGGTCCTACTGCTTCTCAATTCAAAGACCTACCAATTTGCAACACAATTATTCCCACTTGCAGACACCTCCACTACAAACAAATGACAGATTCATGCTTCCGTTTAGAAATGATATCTTCATGACATCTTTAATACTTGGATTACTCAAAATTAGAACTTTCATATACACATACGGTAATGAATTCGAAATTTTGCTAGTAATGCACTTTGGTAATACTGTTATCTGATGTTTCTAATGATCACACAATTTACAAAATTATGCAACTTTTAACAAATTTCTTACAATGATATAATTAATATCTCCACAATTTACCAGAATTAAAGCTCAATTTATGTAAAAGCAAAGGAAAATACAAATATACACAAACACGAACATACTTTTTGAAAGCAGTGTTAAACTCTTAATAATACAAAATTGAAAATAATACATAGACAGATCGATATGCACACTATATGAACACTACTGGACAAGTAGCAATCTGTCTGTTCAGAGCAAGAAGGGTTTTAACTATGTTAAAGTATATGAGTTAATGCCTGTCTTGCTCCAAACAGACAATATTATGTTCCTCTTTCCGTCTTTTGGACAGCACATATCTTCATAAGCACCAATTTTATGTTTAATTTATCGAGTTTATTCTGCATAGTTTGTGATTACAGCACTGTGATTGCATAATGGAAGTATCATCAATGAAATCAAAATAACTTGTTTTTTCAACCAGTTATTATTGCATCACAGGCCTTTTGTTTGAAATGCTGCATTTGCATTTATCAGGCTAGCTTTTGTTCAATTATGTGTTTATTTGTCCAAGCTTAGTGATACAGTTTCAAAAAGTTTCTAGCTGTCTCATAGCTGCTGCCTTGAGAAATAAGTTGAGATTACTGGAGCAAAGAAGGAAGCATAATGGCAATTAAATTTTTGTGTGTGTAGTTCTTTTGAAATCCCTATTCAGTGCTGGATTAATCCTTTTTACCCTATTATATTCTTCATCTTCCTTTGTGATTCAAAGACTACAATCATCCTTTAGAGTGGACAAAAGCTAGCTTCCTGATGACTTAAACACTGTAGGCCCTTGTACATGTATTCTTTTACATGTTTGACAACATCCCAAGGAAACGTGTGTATTAAAATTAAGACACATTTCAATGGGATGTGGTGAATTTTTACTTATATAATGGTTAATGGTCATGCGATTGCATTGTGAAAGAAACGTTGTGGAATCGATCAGAAAAGGTTGATCATCTAGCATCTAGCATCTGCAAGGTTCTGGAATCATCAAAATGATAAGAAATTTGGCCCATTCTTTGTAAAGTTACAAGCACTATACACAGAAAGATATAAATGGGACTACCCTATATCTCTCACAGACCATGCGAGAAACAAATTTACCAAATATATGAATTAGTAGACGGTTTCCCGGCAAATTTGTTATCATCATGTATTAGTCAAAACATATTCTTTCACATGATTGGTAATGAGAGCTTCCATTTCATTTTTTGAAATTGGGGTGTTTCCAATACTGGTAATGAAAAAAAACCAACCTGGAAAACTCTCACCTTTAATTAACAAAGAATAATTAAGTAGGCTTAAAGGTTACCGGTATAGTAATTTCTTTTAGTACAGTGTATAACCTTTAACAGATTTTTCCAACAAAAACACACACAAAGTAATGAAGAATACCAACAGATAAAGGAACTACAAGAGGGGAAGACAAATGAGGCATGAGGTAAATTGTTCATTTAGCAGACTAAATTGCAATTGAGTGCTTAGAAGAATGAAACTTCATAAAATTGAATTTGTAATATCTGGTATCGAATACAAGTAGTATCAAAATTTATATTAAATATGACATCTCAAATATATTTAAAAAAATTAAATATAAAAGTTTGAGTGCTAAATCTCACTTAAAATATGGTTAATAAATGATACTAATGATTTGATTTAAATTGATGGAACTATACAGTGTGACGTGTATCAAAATATTAGCGTAAAAAAGCTAATATAGAGGCATAAAAAACTTTGGATTTGAGATGGTTAAACTGAAATAGCAGACAGTACTCCAAGTGATGAAGATAAAAGAACTTTAACACATGTATACATGACTACATGTAGGATTATGAATACAAATTATTTTTAAGTACAAACACTGTCTTATAATGATATTGACACACTATGTTATTGTTTGGATTGTGACATGTTATTTTTATTATTCTCATTTTTTGTTTTGATTGTGTCTCTGTCTGTTTGTCCTGTGTTTGTTATTACAGTTATTATTGTATTTGTTACCCTGTACGTGTATCTTGCCAGTCGATGGAAAACATTTTAGTCTTCTTCTGGCAGAGGCAAATTTAAATGTACCTTCTTTTACTTTCTTTCAAAATAAAAATGACTTATATATTATACCAGAGGATTCGTCTATAATACTAATACTAGACAAAATGATATCCATGAATGGTGATATCTCACATACAGTATGTGAGATTATGTTTAAGCACAATGATAGGTTTCCAATACATTATTGACTCACTCACTGGAGAAAAAAGAATTGTTAAAAATTGTCACCAACTTGTCTTTGTAGTGTCAATTAAGTCTGAAATATATTCCCATATATACACAGATTGATTTTAGATATAGATATTGCACCTTATCATGTCAAAACTTGGAGAGATTTCATGAGCAAAATAAATTCCATGAACACAATTCATCAACATTTGCAAGGTCACTGTGAAAGTATATATGTAGTACCGTATGTACTCTGTATACCATATTATCATGCACACAAAAATAGACATCTTTACAAACTACATGAATCTAATAACTACTCCATCACTCCTTCTACGATACATGATACATCGCTTTAAAATAGTACTTGATACATTAGTGTGTGTTGCTTGAATCTAGTATAATTAATAGCACTGTAGGAAAAATACTGAAGTGAATAGTACCGAAAGTGTCATTTAAAAAAATCTGACTTTCCAACCATACATCATTTCATAACAATTACATAGTCTATAGAGTACAGCACTTAAAAAATTAAATTTGAAAAACAGCACTTTCTGTGAACTTCAAGGCACTATGGCAGAATGTAATGAGTACGCAATATATAATAATAATAATAAATACTCATAAAGCGCAATTATCTAATAACTTACTCAAGGCGCTATACAAAACAAAATCTCTCTCCAGAATTTTAACAACATAATATCATAGTAACTCTGATTAAATAAAACTGTTTTAACAAGTTTCTGAAAGAGGCATTGAATGTTTCAAATGTCACTTGGAGCTTGACCATTATACAAGCGAAACAGTGGTATATAATCAATAACTATTGAAATACTGAAAAAGTCTGAATACTTGTACCTCAAAACATAAAGAGCCAATAATACATGATGTACATGTCATTAACAACTACAAATGCCATTGATAAAAGAAAACACTTTGGTAAATCCTTTTAACGCTACATGAATTCACTCATATATAATATGTTGCAGCATGACAATTTGAATACATTAAAATTGAAAATCCACATAATTTTCTTTCTCATAATATAGCTACAAATGTACAATGTTAAATTCGAGATAACTCTATTTTGAAGAAAGAAAGGGCTTTCATGAATACAGAAGAATGAAAGAATGAGGTCTAAAATTACGGAAACTTGAAAATTCATTATTCAAACTTCTCCCACATTAATTAAAAAAATAAATTATCATTCTCCCAGACTCCATATTTTCATATAAATCAGATAAATTCATTTACATGTATGCCTTTGATTGAGACTTATATAAGACCGCAGCCTTGTCCGCAAAAAATACCCACTGGACATTTACACCTACCCCTGTGCAATTACCCCCTAAGATTCATTGGGCAGGACAATAACCCCCAGCCCCCTCTGATATGTTAAGGTTGACAATGACATGTACAACTATACAAAGAGTGGCATATCATATCCAAACATATGGAAATCAGGTTCATAAATGCTGTAGAGCTCTTTCAACAACTTTGTTGGTACCTGGGAATAATACCTTTCTAACAATTCTGCATCTGTATTTTTCCGGGCAGGGCCTTTCCCATAATCTGTTTCGTTCCAGATGCCTATTTTCTTCAGCACATACGGAATATCGTCGCTTGCGTCTTCCAATCGTCCAATAATGTCAAAATCAATTTCGCACGGCATGTTCTGCACATAAATGGGTTTCCAGTGCGGATTTCCTCTGTTCTCGGCAGACTCGATGAGGTATGAGATAAACTCTGTAAATGTCACATTGGGGCTGGAGATCTCGGCTGCAGAGCCTGTCCTATACTGCTTGATTATTCGCCGCGCTAGGCTGGCAAACACTGAATTTTTATGATCCACAAATTTGTCTCTATACCCTGAAAGTATTCTCGACAGAGGGTTTCGAACAAACATAAATTTGGTGTACGTGTCCAGGTACTCTTTCACCTGCTCTTCCTTAAACTTTGGCATCCACTGAAGTGCCCTGTGCGAGTAAAGCTTCTGATTCGGGACATTTAGAAACCCCTCCAAATCTTGCACTATCACCCGTTCCCAATTGGTAGAGCCCACTTTGTACACAATGCTGTAGATGAAGCGGAACTTATCATTCACAATTAGGGAGCGCAGCTGGTTCTTGTGATAGGCTAGGTAAGTGGTATCTTGAGCTGTTCGATTGTACAGGGATTGACAGACTTTTCTTAATCTGAATTTCCGTTCTACTTGAATTGTTTCCATGAGTTTCCACCAGTCCTCCTGAAGATATAATGAAAAAAAATCAACAAATCAAAACCATCAAATAATTAACGGTAATGCCAAGTTGTTTTTTTTAAAACAAAAATAAGGATGGACTATCCTGAGATTTTGATAATAGTAATAACACTAATAATAACGACATAACAAATATTGATCATCATTGTAGATAAATTTAACATCTGTTTTATGCCTATCGAAAGAAATTGTGAAAGAGGGGAAGGGGGTGGGTGGGTTCGATTAAAAAAAGAATTACTTAAACAAACAAAAATCAATTTCTTCTTGTAGAAATTTTCTTCTAATGGAAAAACTTTTCATCATCTCCCGAGAGCTATATTGGAATTAACTTCATGTAAAGTGCTACTGACAAAGTCATTCTAACTTAGTAATGGGTTTTTCTCTCTATCATCTTTGAGGCAACAGCCATTTAAAACTAGATGGAATTCGACTGCGCGCAGTCGAAAATGATGCCTCCGTCATAGAGCAATTTTACAAACCGAAACGGAAGAAATTTTTCAAATTCAAGTTCAATTGTAATCCATTAACATGTTCTCAGAATATCGTGATTACAAGCAATTTCTCATAAACATATATGACCCTTTGATCTTTGACCTCATGACCCTAAAATCTACTCAGTTCATTGGCTCTGCAAGATTTCCTGAGTTAAATAGTAATCCATCTGTCAGTTCTAATGAGAATGCGTCCACAAGCTATTTTTGCATACATAATGAGCCCATGACCTTTGATCTTATGAACCATTCATTGGCTCTGCAAGATACATAAATGATCTAAGTTTGGCAGGAATCCATCAATCTGTTCTAATGATTATACGATCACAAGCTATTTTTGCATACATAATGAGCCGCATGACCTTGACCTTTACCTCATGACCCCAAAATCTAATCAGTTCATTAGCTCTGCAAGTAACATACATGACCAAAGTTTGGCAGGAATCCATCAATCGGTTGTTCAGATAACGCGATCACGAGCTGTTTTTGCATACATAATGTGCGCTGTGACCTTTGACCTCGTGACCCCAAAATCTAATCAGTTCATTGGCTTTGCAAGATACATACATGACCAAAGTTTGGCAGGAATCCATCAATCGGTTCTTCAGATAACGCGATCACAAGCTGTTTTTGCATACATAATGAGCCCTGTGACCTTTGACCTTTGACCTCGTGACCCCAAAATCTAATCAGTTCATCAGCTCTGCAAGATACATACATGACCAAAGTTCGGGAGGAATCCATCAATCGGTTGTTCAGATAACGCGATCACAAGCTGTTTTTGCATACATAATGAGCCCTGTGACCTTTGACCTTTGACCTACGTGCTCCAAAATGTAATCAGATTGTTTTCCTATAGTGATACACACTATCACTAAGTTTGAAGTTTAAATCTCCAGTGGTTCTTGAGATATCATGATAACAATCTCAATGTATGGAATTTCATAAGTTGACCTCTGTGACCCTTGACCTTTGACATACGTGCTCCAAAATCTAATCAGATCGTCTTCCTATGGTGATACATACTATCCTTAAGTTTTAAGTTTAAATCTCAAATGGTTCTTGAGATATCGCGCTAACAAACTCAATACAAGGAATTTCATAAGTTGACCTCTGTGACCTGTGACCTTTGACCTACGTACTCCAAAATCTAATCAGATCGTCTTCCTATGGTGATAAATACTATTCCCGAGTCTTAAGTTTAAATCTTAAATGGTTCTTGAGATATTGTGATAACGGTCAAACGGGACGGACGGACGGACGTACGGACGGACGGACGGACGTACGGACGGACGTACGGACGTACGGACGGACGTACGGACGGACAACCCGAAAACATGATGCCTCCGGCACCACCTTCGGTGGCGGAGGCATAAAAATGAACAAATAGAACCTACCCTAATGAATCTTTCATTCTCTTCTGTTGTCAAATCAAATATTGTTTCTTCTAAATCCATTCTTTTCTCGTTGAGCAACTTCCTGTACTGTTCAGAGTTAACATCTTTGTCTCTTCCAAGATCTGGTGGGGGAGAGACAAGGTAAGAGGCGTTAATGTTTCAACTGATTTGAAAAGAGGCTGATAATTTCTGAAGTAGGATCTCTCAGGACTAGAAATTTATCCATGTTTGATACCTGCTTATACAGTGTATATGTTTGTATAATTGACATTCACTAAGTTGTTATGCATTAGATTCCTTAGAATTAACTCAAATTAACATAAATGTTCTTAGAGAAATCACTTCCTGGTTCTGTCAATCTCAGAGTGGATTCTTTACACATCAGTTCTCATTTCAATAAGATCATCGTGTTTGATCACTGTCCCTTCTTCTTCCTTTTGAGTACAGACCTCTTTACAGAGTATTATCGTACTATACTGGGGGTGTGCAGGTGGACCACTACACCGGGGTTTCCCCCTACTCTTATACGAATAGTGCAGTGGGTTCTTAACGTGCAAAGGTAGTGACTCTTCTCTACACGGGGCCTCCATTGAACGTCCTATCCGAGGGACGGAGTGTTTTCCACTTGACATAACCTGCGTCTATGAACAAGGGAAGGGGCACGTTAACACACAACACAGGTTTCAGTCATCCGCTGTCACTGATACATACTTTACTTACAACTAGTCAGGATAACTTTCCACAATCCACACAATGAACTCGCTCCTGGCATTTGTATCACGATGAGGCAATTAGTCTAACTTGGTGCTTTAATAATGCTTTCTAGATCCTACAGAACTGTAGTAGACTAGTAGATCTAGTAATACCGACTCCAAGGAGAGTATTTTGCTAAGCTTGTGATATAAAATTCCAGCAACTTATTCAATGAACTTCCGCAGATGGCACAAGGTATTATCTTCAACAGATTTAAATTAACATGAGTTAGAGTTTCAAACATAATTCTTACCTTGTAAAAATGTGACAACACTATTGATGACAATGTAACCAATGACGGCGTAAAATAGCGGTGGCAGGAATCTTGTCAATTTCAGTCTGATCTTCATGGTGACACTTTCTCCTTCCACTGTTCCAGGCTACAGAGTGCTCTGAAACACAAAAAGTTAAGAATAAGAAACTAGAAAGTAAGGTCAGGATTCAAGAGTGACTTGAGGAGTAAGTTCTTAATAGGAGGGAAGCAAGAAAACTTTAAGTTGCGATTGATATCCACTCTTTGTGATACTGGGGGCCGTTTCTCGAAACCGTCATAACTACAAGATCAACGACATCTCGCCACTGTCACGCAACTTGTCAGCAAAGTGTTTCACGAAGCCGTCTTTGCCAAGATGAGCGACAACTTCCGCGACAGTGAGTTGTCACTGTTTATAATTTGTTTATATTTGAGTTGTAGTGGATATGATGTTTTTGTCATTTCACATTCCTGTTCATGATTGTAAATAGCCAGTTGGCTTTTAGTTATTTTTGAGTAGACTCTAGTCTAGATCTAGATCTAGGGTCTACCCAATAAAAAAAATAAAAAAATGTCTGTCATGGCTTTGTGAAACGGTTTATCCACTTCATGACATCTCCGTAGGTCGCCGACAAAGATATGACTGTCATGGAGTTGGTTTCGAGAAACGGCCCCCAGGCCAGGGCCCTGATCTTGCGAGTCAAATTCAGAGCGAACCTCGACCACAATGCACGACACCAGCCCGCCCGCCCCGACACGTCGGCGTGCTCACCGAGCAGCGTCCGTGGGTAAAACAAAGCTGAACAAAAGCTCCAGCCTCCGATCCAGCAATTATGTTTTTGTCAAATTTTACGCACCAAAGCCTATTTTATTTGCTATTGCAACGTTGATAAGTTCGTTGGTAGCTGAACGACATCAACATATCAGGTAATCAAATTATACTTCTTCATAAAAACAACAAAACTTACCGTTATCTTAGGCCTTACGAAAAGATTTCAGGAGTTTGTTTACCATGCACTCTCTCTTCCTTTTACATTAAAGACCTTGACCGGAGCGTACACAACCATACATCCACAGACGGCTAATGAAACACAAAATACAAATACAAGAAAGAAAAAATTAAATACCCTTTCATTACTGAGAAAAATGAAAATTACAGTACAACTGCCGCCCCCTCCCAAATTCGCCTCGGTCAAGAGCCCCCGCGCCGCACGGACTTGGGTGACGTCATTTCGTGTAGACTCGAATTGTTTGCTATAATTCTTCGCCGCGCGATGTTCGAGATCTACATTGATTTTGCGTACCGTGAATCCTTTCTGCTTTTTATCGATTGAAGTTTGAGAAGTTTTGAGAAGTCTTTCTAAAGAGAATGGCTACCCCAGTCGTCAGGCCAGATGCACAAGATGATTTAGTTATGGAATTTGAGTGTGAGGAGGATGGCAGTTGCGGGGAAAGCGGTGAAAATGACAGTGTCAGTGGTAGTAGTGACAGTCCGGACAGTGGCAGCAGCAGTGATACCGACAGCGATGCAAGTGATGCAGACGCCGGAGAACACGGGCGTATCGTCGAGTGGGAGTATGAGCCTTTACCTCGTGGTGAACCTGGGCAAAATGTTGGCGATGCTGGAAGGGCCAACAACGCAAATCGGCTTTATGAAAATGTCGAGGATTGGTAATTAAGACTTATAAGCTTATTGAATTTGTTGTGCATTCTAAATATTTATTCCCCCCAAAAATTGAAATCAAATACCGTAGATCTCTAGACTCGGTCATAAAAATGGCATGTCTAATTCTAAAGTTAACTTGTTAGAATGATTCTCTAGATCTATGTCTGCGCACCTAAAATTCGACCTCGATTTCATTACACAGTAAGATATTATTTTTAGAATCATCATTGTTATTCCGTTCTTCATATTCTAATGATTTTTACTGAAACAAAAAAACTCGACAAATTATTCACAATAACAATTTTTTTTAACGAATTTCAGACGGGCTCGTCATTTTGTGTAGCAAAACTGAAAAGTGCCCATGTCTGCGCACTCACTATTTTGCACGCAATTCAATCAAGCACAGTGAAGTTTCATACCAGGGACAACCCCCTGTTCAGACTTTTCTTTTTTGACAATGATTGAAATTTTCAGGGTGGCAAATGAAACTTGCTAAAACTCATTTTTAATCTTCCCAATTATTTTCACAAATTTTGGTATCTAAATGAATTGTTGAGGTTAAGATTGAAAATTGGTGTCAGTTTGATGTTTTGTTTTATAAATATCGCGCATTTACGTGGGTGCGCAGACATAGGCACTGCCTTGGGCACTCTTACCATACTACGACTACGAGAACGATGTCATTTTTATATTTATCAGGAAGCTGTAATAAAATATTTATAAAATTATAGTAGGTGTATTGATTTTTGTTTGAATCTTTCTGTATTTCAAGGTGTACATGTGGAAGATGTCATGTGCCTCCATCTTTCAATGAAGGTGATTGTGTCTGTTGTCAGGAAATTGCAGAGGTCAAGGCAGAGGCTGATCGACAGGGTTTAAGTTGTCTGGTGGATTCTGAGGAGTTTGAGCCGGCAATCCTAAATGCGACAACATTGTACATCGGATGGATGGAGTACACAGATAGGTGGCGCCGAGCAGCCAAAGCATTTGGGGACAGGAACAATGAGTAAGTTATGTTTCTCCTTTTCATCATTTTGGCAAGGGCAAAAAAATAAATGGATTGATTTTGAAAGTTTATCGGGTGAAACTTTTCAAAACGAATTGAGTCACCGCAAGATGAATTACTAGTTTTGACCAAAATTCTTGCCTGGTGACCACTGGTGTACTAGCTGCCTTATCTGCAGGTGCTTCGGGGCACTTTTTCAGGAAATGTATACAAATAGGCAAGAATGACCACCGATTTGTGAGTTTTAGCATGTTACCCCCCCCCCCCCCCCCAATAATCTGTAGTTATGAAACACAAACTTTATATGCGATTTTGAATGTTGCCCCCCACCGCCTGACAAACAATGACTAACCTTTGGTCATTTTAGTTTTTTTTAATCATTTTTATTTTCCTGAATTAATTAATAAAGAATTAATATTTTGACATCAAATCATCTATCCTAAGAAAAATAATGAAATTTTTTTATTGCTTTTTATTTTACAGAAAATACAGGTATGTGGCCTACAGGAAAGTCGTGAGATGGTGTTGGGGCTGGCTCGGGAAGGACATCAGGGTGCAACTGCCAGCATGTGTCCATGCCTCAATAATGGAAGCGTATCCTGATGGACGTGGTCAGTACAAAGGGACCATCCTGCGTCGGTTGAGATGAGGATGTAACATCAACTATTGTCTTGCGAACTTTGAATGACTGTCATCTTCTATGTGATTGTCAGCCATCTTCTGTACGTTATTTGTGATCATCGGCTTTCATCTTCATATTCATCACAAATACTATTGTTTGAACTTCTCATGATGGTATGGTTGCTATGAACTTTGATCTCGACATTTGATTCTAATTTCCAAGAGCTGATATTCGAACTTTTGCAAAACTGTGATCAAGCAACGATTTCTTATGAGGAAGAATGTTGAAATCTATATAAACAAGCAACAAAAAAACACAAAAAAAAAAACAACATGCCTTGTTCCTTCTCTTTTGTTATACACCCTGCAATGTAATTTGTTTTAATAATTTGAGCATTTCATATACAGTCAACCTGCCGAGTCAGAAAAGGGGAGAGAAAGAGAAAATGAAATTGAAAGAGAAAACGAAATTGAGAGAAAGAGAAATAACAGCATGGACACAACAAAGATAGACAGAGGAATAATGAGAAGGGAATTGCGGTTGACGAAATTTCAAATGTGTGATAAATGGTAAGCATCGTAATAAATCCAGGAAATCCTTTATTTTGCATCAAATCTATCCTCCCAAAAAGGATAAACCTTAACCCTATCTCCCACTCTGTCCCTCTTCCTCTCTCTTTCTCCTCTTCCACCCTCCACATTCCCATCTCTCTATCCCACTTCCTCTCTCTGTTTCCTCTTCCATATTTCCATCTCTCACTCTGTCCCTCCTCTCTTTCTCCTCCTCCACATTCCTATCTCTCACTCTGTCCCTCCTTCTCCTCTTCCACCCTTCACATTCCTATCTCTCACTCTGTCCCTCCGTCTCCTCTTCCACCCTCCACATTCCCATCTCTCACTCTGTCCCTCCTTCTCTTCCTCCACATTCCCATCTCTCACTCTCTCCCTCTGCCTCTCTTTTCCTCCTCCACCCTCCACATTCCCATCTCTCACTCTTTCACAATCTCTCTTTCTCCTCTTCCACCCTCCACATTCCCATCTCTCACTCTGTCCCTCCTTCTCTTCCTCCACATTCCCATCTCTCACTCTCTCCCTCTGCCTCTCTTTTCCTCCTCCACCCTCCACATTCCCATCTCTCACTCTTTCACAATCTCTCTTTCTCCTCTTCCATCCATCACATTCCCATCTCTCACTCTTTCACAATCTCTCTTTCTCCTCTTCCATCCATCACATTCACATCTCTCACTCTATCCCTATTGGTATCTATCTTTATCCCTCTTCTTCCTTCACATTCTCTATCTCACTCTCATTTTCACAGCAATTTCCATCTTTAAATTATGAAACTTCCTACAAGACACCTATAATAGAAATAAACAAACAAGATTTGTGTTCCTTTAGATGAATTTTTGTTTACCTTTGCTCAAAATATTCTCAGAACATCCCATTGACGGTTTTTTCCCCCCAATCATTTTCTTCTCCGTTTGTGCAATATATTTCAAAATGATGCACCATTGGAACAAAAACTTTGATGCAACATGTACATTACATTCATCCTTATTTTATGTAAAGTTTACAGGATAGATGACTATTTTTATTATATCTGCAAGGATGATTATTTTTCAATCTTTTATAACCAGGTTTTAGGACAAACAGGAAACCGCTGTTAGGAAAAAAAGTATGGATGCGATGAAGTATCATAACAATGTTTCCTCTTCTGTGATAATATGGCATGATCTTTAAAACTACTAACTTTGAAAATGAATAACACAATTCACCTCGGCAGAAAAGGGAAAAAATCAAAAACAAAAAATAAAGTCATATCTGGTGCAATACATCAAATGGTTCTTGAATAAGAACAGTTTAGATGAAGAAAAAAAAATGCATTTTTTTATTTTTTTTTATTTTTTGCAAATAAGAAGCAAAAAGCATTGGCCAAGATGAAGGACTGTGAGAAAAATCAGATTATATTTGGTGCCAAATTCATGATCAACAGTGATTTACTTAGTGTTTATGAAAATCTAGTGCATATGCTTCAGAAATTGTTTTTAATTGAACTAAAAATGTAAGTTTTACAAATTTAATAAGTATTTTACCTATTAAAACCAATGACTATTGATGTGTACCATGGACTTTGGCTTGTGTAAGTATGTACAAGCTTACAGACAAGTTTCTAGTGCTTTACACTCACATAGAATCGGAATCCACTACTCACTTGCATAGAGTACTTCCATGTTACTCTCCATAATTATACTGGCATAAACATAATTTAGGGTCTATGAAAAACATGTATTGTACTGAAATAAAACAATCAGTGGTTAATGTTCAGGTAGCTGACACATTCATCATAGTTTCTATCACCAAAAGAACTAGTTTCTATCGCCAAAGCGATGATGTTGTTCAAAAGCTTGCACGGCTTCTCCATTGTCGGGGTGATGATGAGAGGCACTCCGTGCTGGTTGAGGCTGTAGCTCCTCCATGTTGTCTCTGAGCTGCTCCCTGTTTTCCACCAGTTCTACGACAACTCTCATCAGGGCTTTCACATAACCTACAAGATAAAATCCAAAACTATACCTTGAAAATTCATCTATACGGTGTTAAAAAAACATTTTGATAAGAGGAAAAAAGGAAAAGAGAAAAATAAGAACATAAGAAGAGAAAACTCTTTTTCTCACAAATATTGAATTACCTAATTTTACACACTATTTGTAGGTGGATGACCAATCAAATACCAATGGCATGCACATGTTCTTTGCTGAATAGGTAGTTCACTGACTTGGGGACTGACATATATGCCTGTTTCTGCTTGCTATTCAATATTACACATTTGCAGAAAGTAACCCAATACATGTTTATAATTATCAATTTAATCAACAGATTAAATTAAGGGCATATAGGCCACAAGAATCTACTAATTTGAATTCTATTGATCATGAAGTAATAAAAGATTTCTATATATAATTGAGCTCTTTTGTTGAATATTGATATCATTCACTAGACATGTGGCTACTTACCACATGTGCCAGCTGTCAGCACTCTCTCCACTGTGTGGCCTCCTTCCTTCGAGCGTGGATACTTCAACCTGTACACTGGGTTCCCTTCGGCATCAACAGCCTGGGCTCTATCACAATTTTCGTTCCAATGTAGGACAGCCAAATATAATCTGAAAAGAGTGAAGTTAAAATAAAGGTCACATGAATAACATACTTGTGACAGTTGATTTTATCTTTTTGGTAATGTAATGTCTATCATCATAAACTCGTTACCTACTCTCCAATAAGTGAAGGCAAGAGTTAGTGTAAAAAGCATGTGTTACAAATAATAAATTAAAAAAAATAAAAAAAAACCAACAAAATATGAAATAGAAAGAACCTGGCTAAAACAAAAAGAAAATAATAACTTTAAAACATAAAACCAATAAAATCAAATTCAAAAGAAGAAGAAGAAGAAACAACACTGCCCTCTGTGACGTTCTTGTTAAATTTATATTAGGGGAGCATAATGTTGATGAATTAATTGCCTAATTTACCTGCACTTCATCCCTTGATATGAGTATACAAGCAACTTGGGGCAAAAGTGAAGGAGGATGTTGTGGAATGATTCAACCTTGCTGGTTTGGGCATGTGGGGACATCATCCCAATGTCGTTCACCAGTCTGGTCCTCAGCCATTCCTCTCGAAGCTTGTCGTACACCTTTGTACCTGTAATAAGATTGGGAATATAATATATGCGGTAAAGGTGAAGGAGAGTTCATTTAAATAGTTAGCAATCATGATCTCGGCATTTCCAAGCATCTCATCCCTTCGCCAAAACTATTTTTTCATTCCACAATGAATATTAATCATTTAGAAAATTGCACCAAAAAAAATATGAATGTCATGATCAAAATTGAACTAAATTGAACTTCAATGTACATTATTAAAATAAATGTAAATATTTTGCTCGCATTTTGACAAACATCTTCAAAGTAAATGAGGGTGAAAAATGTACACCGTATGCATATAAATAAGGATTTTACCCACATCCAAACAAAAAGAACAACTTGAGGCTAGTTTCATAGAAAAAAAAAAAGCAAAGTTAATCTGTAGTCGGATAAAAAAAAAAGAAGCAAAGTCAACAACAAATGACCGATGATTTTGTTTTAATAATCATCCCTGGCAACAACACTAGATCTAGACCATTTTGATTTGAATAAAAACAGTGTTTTCATCACGAGAAAGTATCAAGAAGAGGCACCCATGTGATTTCTGACATCAATTCAAAATAATTTAGTTCCTGGCTTCACTGTACTGCAGTGCACTGCCACTGGGCGGCACGAGTCCAAGGCCTAGATTCTACCAACTACCTAGTTTTCTTTTTCTTTTTTTTTAGGCCCAATTCTTCTTCAAAATCTCCATTTCATCTTCTTCTTATTTTTCATTGTTTACAGACTATATTCTAGACAATAAAACAATGTAGATCTAAATAATTCTTTGATTTAATGCTGGTAAACCATGCAAAAGGAAAGGCTATCTGTGCGATAAAAGCGAGCGAAACTTAGTTTTGTTCGAGAAATATTCCACGACCACCAGCATGACACGGCGCGGCAAGTCAGGCCGGGCCGGCCGCGGGCCGAGTGCTCTCGCGAGGCTCAGCGATAGATTGCTGAAAGTTGTGCAATCGCAGACCGAGGCAGGCAGCCAGCAGCGCGGGCAAATGATTCGTTTCAATCTAATTTAGTGGAAATTTGGGGTCGATATTCCATATTACGTAGCGTGAAATTAATACAGATATAAAATGTCAACATTCTAATCGTAAAATGTCCAAATACAGCTTCGACATTGATATTTACAACAACAAAAAAAGAGAGAAGAAAACTTCACATACCGACCACCATGCGAAGAACCAGCTGCTATATACCGAGTGGCCAAATAACCTACACGATATGACGTCATCAGAAACGGGTAGAAACGGCCACTGGCTAGCGCAGCCGAAACTAATCTCCGGGGTGCCCCTCTCAAATCCGTGAATCCTGGGGTTCGGATGCTAAATACTTCTTTCAGAGGCCGTGGAATCTCGAGAAGTTTGCATTTTCATATTCAGTAAATATTCACGAGTCCGTAGGTATATAATTTGTCTATATAATGCTCTGCTCCGGTCAAGGTCTTTAACATAATGTGGCCACTAGCTGGCGGTCGACGAAGGGACACTAACCTGAATCAGAGACACTTCAGGTGAAAAAAATGTAGGGGAGGCATTTACATTTACATTTACATTTACGTTGGCTACACTTGATCATAGCTAGCTTGCCTAGCTAGATAATGTAGGTTGAGGGCTCCTAGAGAGAGCTCCCATAACTTCTCGATTAAATCAAAGATTTTTTTTCCTTCTCAAATAGAGTAACCTAGTCTGCAACGACTCGTTCTTTAGACATAATTTTGTAGACAGTAGACAATTTCAAAGCTTAATTATCAAAGGAAAATATTCTTTGAACAAACTAAATGAATAAAAAAATCCAATGTCCTCTTCTTTCTCCCTTTCTTTTTTCCTCGTCCCTCCCCCAAATGTTGTTTATCTTATTAACGAGCCCCCCCCCCCCCCCCATCTGCGCTGAAGATGTCTGCCACCCCTGAATTTGATTGATTGGGCGGATCCACAATGGGAGGGTGGATTACCTATTTGAAAGCCATTCCCTTCCAATTAGCTTCCTCTTTCAGAATTAACCCCCCCCCCCCCCTTGAGAAAAAAAATCATGTAAAATCACGTGATTTTTACCTTTTTTGGGGGTTGGGCCCCCCCCCTGGCGCTCAAGGGGGGTGCAAATCGAAATTTTTTTGAGGATAAAAAAAAAAAAAAAATGTGCTCACTACCCCCCCCCCCCCCCCCCCCCCCCCCCCCCCCCCCCCCCCCCCCCCCCCCCCCCCACTGAACGAATTTTTGGCCGGCGCGGTTTTCAAATTTTCGGGAGCAAAAAAAAAAAAAAAAAAAAATTGTGCTCTGTACCCAAAGCCCTATGAAGATAGCTCCGACTTGGAAGATATCATTGGCGATCAGTGTAACCGGTTGATTGCTCAGTGCAAGTTTAGGAGCGATGTGTTGATACGGTCCAATGACCAGATACTCTTGCTTCTCTCGGTAGGTAAAGTGGTACCTGATAGATTGAAGAATAGTGCACCGGCATGTCCAAGATCTATCAGCACCCCTCGCCATAGGTCGAATTCTTTCCTTATCAGGATCTTATCATTTTTAGGTCGTTGATGAGAATATACCCTTGTCATGCAAAACTCGAAGTTCTTTGACAATGTCCACAGCATTCAACGACATTTGATAAACAGTGAGTTGACTTCCAGAGGCGTGGTGCTCTTTCCGGTGACACCACCACTCACAAACTACATGGCCATAGAGTCCTACCCTATCCGCATCAAGCCTGAAGCACGCGTAGAATTGGGGGAAATTAGGTGAATATAGCTTACAAGTTTCTTCGTTCGTTCGTTCGTGTCTCCTTAGATCAAGATTAATGTATCTTGATCTTCTGAGTACTGGAAGTGTACTTCCTTCTTGAATCGACAGCAAGAATGCGTACCGCTTGGCGTAATCCTTAGGGAGAAAAAGGACCTTAACTGCCACAGGTTGTCCAGAAAAGGGGAGGAGCCGAGAAGTGCGACACCGTTGGAGGTGAGATCTCGGATCGCCTCGACGAGTAGGTGGTGACATCATGATAATTGCTTGAAGACTCGGTGAGGTCATTTGGTCTAACCAGATGCAACTGTCGTGCCAGAGGAATGGTCGTCTGGGGAAAGACTGCAGAGAGCACAGAGGAGGCGTTTCCGGAGCAAGATGTTGTGATATCACATGGTCGGAAAAGAGCCATACTGGTAACCTTGATCAGAGAAAATGTCGAGAACCTGTCATGACCAACATCTGGGGAAGAGGTCGAGTTCTTGGAGATGCTCGTGGTGATGTCACTTGGTCTGAGAAGTCTGACTTGGTTGCGACTTGTCTCTTGTACCACAGACGTCTTTGAAGACGAAGAGATCTGAGATCTGCTGTGACCAAAGTTGCACGGTCGGAGAAGTGACACTCGATTGAGACTGTTCGTTTTAATTACTTGAGAGGAGTTTCGGAATCTGCTTCTATCTGGGCTGCAGCTCTTTGACGAATAGTCACTCTTTCTCATTTGTTTCAATTCACATGGTTTTATAAGGCACACTCGATTGACATTGGTATGAGCTGACATATGAGAAACCACCAAGGAAACCACCAAGGAATTTGTATCCGGTCCCAAGAGAATGGTGAAGTCCCTTGGCTTGAGAAGACGATGCCCGGCTACGTCATCGTACGTCTGAGACACAGCTGTGCACCATTCTTCTTGCAGGTCGGATGGCCTAGTCTTGGCATGGCAGGGAGTCACGGTCAAGTCACAAGATTGAACCAGGAGATGGGATGCGCAGTCATCCTGTCCCTCTCTTTGCTGTGCTGATGTGGAGAAGATGTTCTGGATGTTGAGAGGTTGTTGGACTACCTTGCCGAGGTTAATGCAACAGCCTTCATTGGCCTTCAAAATAAAACAAAAGAAGAGAAAATCACTTTAAGTAAAACAGAACAAACTTACAACAAAAAGGCACATTTGCATTTAAAAGTTAAGCAGGGGTGAAAAAAAAATGCCAAACACAAAGTAAAAGCATTTCATAGGAAATACTGTGGCCATTCGAATGCGATAAGCCTACTATTGTGTTTGTTTTGATTTACCTGACTAGTGTGTCTTAAATTCTATGCTTGATGCGATTATACTAATATAATTACTAAAATGTCATTATGTTGCTGCTTACATAACATAAAGCTTGTCGAATGAATAACATTTCAAATTCAAAGACATTCAAAACCTTCTTACATTCTCGATCTCTCCATGAGAGATGACGTCACTGAAAGCAGGTGTATAGTCAACACGGTCACGAATACTTGAACGTCTGAAGAAAAAAAATTTAATAACAGTTTTTATATAAACTCATAAAAACTGTACATAGTATCAATAACAGTTATCAATTCAAGATAAATAGAATTAAATTATGAATACGGGAATTAAAAAAAATCTCTTTTGAAGCTTTTCAAAAGTATATAACGCGGAAATTCTAGGCCTAATCACTTTCTTAAGGTCTATGCAGACAAATCTATGATGTGCTGTTATTATTACCATTTACTTGTAGAATAGTGACTAATGAAACGAAAAACTGAAACATAGCGAATATATGAATAGATATTTGTAATATAAAAGATAGATAAATATATGAAAATATAATACAATAATGAAATATGAAATAGAATAATAAATAAGAGATATACAGTAATATAATTAAAGAAGAGAAATATATTTCCTACAACACTTAAAGGTACTATGTCCCTTTTGCAGCCAACCTCAAGTTATGTAGAACTTTGCAGGAATTATGAACTTCTACTTCTACTTCTACGACGATACTCAGCAGGATCCATAAGTCAGGATGTAGTGCTGAGGAATAAACTATCTAGGTCTAGACTATGTCACCTATGTCTTATCTGTGAAATTTAAACGTTAGAAGTGTCCTAATATTCAAATTATGCAAGGAAACCCATTTACTTGCTAGACTTTACTGTCAGACACATTGAGTGACTGACTGGCTTTTTTCTTCTGTGGTAATAACATACATAAAATGAGCTGTAAAGGGTACATGAGAATTTGTCTACATCAATATTACTCACTTCTTGAGATGGCCAAAATTAAACTGATTGAATCTTTGCGCAGCATAAAACGTATGGCCATTCCGTACAATGGTATGACAATCAAGACTATTACTTATTGGCTCTATAGCTCCTAAGTCGATTTGACAACTAATAGTCGTTATTTTCCCACTTGAAGACATTTTCAAGCCCCACATGTGTTAGGGAAGTTCTAAATTAGTAATTATCTTTCAAATGCCGTTGGAATTTGACCTTTTCATCTTTTTGGCCTGCAAATGGGAGATAGTACCTTTGAGAAAACAATTAAACATACCTGACTATCTACAAACAATGCACACTGCAGATATATCACTTCTGATTTATGCTAGTATAGTGATGTCTAGTGAAAATGATCTCATGAATTCAAAAGCCTTGAAGAAAATAATAAGAATAGAATTCTAATCATGCTTACTCGACTGCAATTACATAGTGGAGCACTTTTTATAGAAAATAAAAGTAAAAACAAATATTTTACATGATATTTGAGCTATCCATAAAGAAAGTTTGTCGCAAATCGAAGAGATTCGTAAGGATACAAGACGATGCACCTCAATCACAACCCATGCCCTGCGGAATAATGTTTATCATCAATACACGATTTGAAATGTAATGGTTGTGTCGCAACGCTGGCATGACGTCACAAAACTTTTGTCCATTAAGAGACGCGCGCGCTGGGCGAGGTAATTAACTGCGCATGCGCTGATTTTATTGGCAAAATGACGTAACAAAGAATGTAATAGATGCTGCTTATTAAGACTAGTATCGGCTTGCATGGTGATGTAAATATACAGTATAGGCTTGCGGGCGCTTTAGTTCTCCTTAGAACTATAAGCTCAGAAAGATAACCAACAGTCTGTTTCAAGACTACACCAACAGTCTTTTTCAGGACTACTGTAAGAAAGATTACCGAGAGTTCTTTTCAGGACTCTCCAATCCTCCCTCTCTCACATGGTGCAACCGCAAGCCTACTGTATAAAGAATGTAATATAGTATTGTAAAGGAGAAATTATAATGATTGGCGTGTTGTGGTGTTACAGTAATGCAAGATCGATTGCATATTGTATCTGACATAGAGACAAATTGCGTTCTTGGAATTCAATTTCAAATATGAAGATAACTGAACAGCGCCATCATAAAACTAACCAACTCCAGATGTTTAGTGAGTATTTTTACTATTTCAGAATTCCCGATAAATTGTGATGGAGAGGAGGAGGATTGGTTTGAGGAAGAGAGAAGGAGGAGGGGAAGAGGAGGAAGAGGAGGAGGAAACAGAAGAATTAGAAAGGTAACGTATACTTCGACGAGGAGGAGGTTGGAATGGAGGAGGAGGATGGGGTGAAGTTAGAGGGCACACTCTTAAAACTGAAATGTTAAATCACCATTAAGGCCGAGGAGTGACCACTCTTTCAAAATGTCAGATTGTTTCTTTTAACCTGCTAGATTCAACCTTTATGATGTTGGATCCAGCATGTTAAAAGTGTTAATCTACCATTTTGAAAGAGTGGTCCCTCCTCGGCCTTAATGGTGATTTAACATTTCAGTTTTTAGAGTGTAACTTATAAGTCGACGAGGAGGAGGAGGTTGGAATGGAGGAGGAAAGGAAGAAGGAGGAGGATAAGGGTGAAGTAAGAGGGTAGAAAGAGGGGAAGAGGAGGCGAGGGAGAAGGAGAAGAAAGATGGGAAAGATGAGGACAACAAGGATTGAAGAAGAGATTGGAGAGGAGGAAAATATATAAAGAAGGTGGAGGAAGAAAAGGCAGAAAAGAGAAGAAAGTAAGAGGATCAGAGCATCGACAATCAAAGTAAAGATTAACATCATTATGATGCTGATAATGACGATGATGATGATCATCATGAATCTAACCCAAACCTGATAGGCAAATTAAGATACGTATTATATTGAAATAATCGCGGGAGGGTGAGCCGGATGAGCGAAAAGAAGATTTGTAGAGGAGTGAAGGAGAGAAGGAATAAAACAATCGAGGAAAGTACACATAAATGACAAGTTTAACCTAAAACTAGGAAAATGACAAATTAAAAAAAAAAAATCTCTTTCTTTAAAAAAAAAAAAAGAAGACATATTGAGAAGCAGTTCATTCGATTATTAATGTGTGTATATAGTTACCAATGTAAGGAAGAAATCTAAACAATATTTAATATCCACCTTTGCATGGGAAAATTAGCAACAATTTTACCACCTAAATAAACATGGCTATGACAAGAAACAAGGTCATTTTGACACTCGAAGAAATGCTTCCTTTTTATTGTTTGTGGGAATATTATCACGTTCCATAACATTCAAATAGCACATTGCATTTAGCAGCCCATAATTTTCTCTTTTTGTGCAGCTGTACATCAGACAAGTATAAATACAGCTGTTCGCTTGATCTACAATCATGTATTTTATTTGAGAATGTAGTTTCGGTCAGACAGACAAAATTAAATTTGACAGGCAATTCCCACCTTATTAGCAAGTTGCTCTAATGAAAGGTTAAGAAATCAAATCAGCGGATTGGTTAACGATATTGGACATGAGCAACAAGAATCAATGAATTTGACAAAAGTGTAATCACTTTTATACCGGCGTTTCAAATTTACGGAATCTGGAATGTCACTGTAATGTTGTAATGGACAACAGCACTCTCCAGTATTAACTAAATGAAATGACTAGAGTGTCATTTATAACTAAAATATATATAGAATAATTTTTTTCTGGAGGCCTTGGAGCAAGATCCATAGGATCGTTTCACTGCTGTGTCGATAACAAAAAACGTTTTGGGGAAATATGATAATTTCAGAAATCCCAACAGCTAAATTTGGTTAAATTTCGTTCAAACTTTCGCCCCCGGATCGCGAGGTGTGGTATATCCAGTGGCGGATCCAGGGAGGGGGCACAGGGGCCCGGCCCCTCCCCTGGAAAAAACAGGTAAAAACGTAAATTTTACCTTTAATTGAAGACGGGCCCCCTCCCCTGGTGCTCAAGGGTCCGGGGGGGGGGGGGCAAAATTATTCACCGGCCGACTGTTTCGCCGTTAAATATTTTCTCACGAATTGGGCCCCCTCCTCTGCCGCCGGCTGGATCCGCCCCTGGGTATATCATGGGCCTACTACGAAGGAGGTCCTTGTGTATATAGTGGTCCATTCACTTGACTCTTAATCCAAGGGTTGAGGCCAGGGTTCGAATCCCAGCCCGACACTCACGTCTTCTGGAATGACATTAATCCACATTTGCCACTCCAGGTACCTGGCAGGATTTGCACTGTGCGCTGAATACGGCTGCCAGAGCTAAAGCCAAGGTAATAATAATAATATTCAAACTTCTTCGGATGTGCATATTTTGTTGACATTATATCAAAATGTGATATGCGCTATACAAGAACGGTGTAATATTCTTATTCTTATCATTATTATAATACCCCTTAGTTTATCATCCCTTTGATAATTGTTTGGGATTATATTTTAGTTTAAAGGAGTCGTTGACCAGGAAGTAATTACCCTAGATTGTAGTTGTTACACCGGGAGATAGTTGTCCGGATGCAAGGAGTAGGTCATTGTTTGGGGAGAGGGTCCGGGTTGATAATTGTAATCCTGGATACATCAGCTGTTCTTTTTTCCCTATTCATAGTTTTTCTCATGACAAGTAGGCTTTAATCATGATTTCATTTATAACTTTATTGATCGCTTTCTGAGGTATTCTTCTTTTCCATCTCTTTCTAAAACTTCCTCTGATCCTCTGTAACTCGACTTATGAAGTTTTAAAGTTTCTGATATTAACCCTAGTGGTAATATCTTAATCAGTTAAAGCGTGGAGTTTGCCAATGTCCCCAATAATGAGCAAAACTCTATTTCAAATTCTGATAAAAACACTTTTATAAAGGAGTCTTTTTGATGTAGACTATGATAATAATATTGCGGAACACCGGGCGGGATGTGAGTTGACAAGGTACGCGGAAACCAGCAGCCGAAAAACTCAACGCACAAATTTTCTCGACCAAAAGTTTGTGTATGATTGCGTTCCTTTTGTTCGCCTGCTCCAAACAAGCAGCGGACAATGTGCAGACTATTCTATTACACAGATCGATATCCCTGTATCGACGAGGGCGTTTAGAACCCACTGTTGTCTTTTGTCAGTCCAAATTGGACCGACGCTTTACTGGAATTACCACCTTATTGAACGTCTTGGAAACTACTGGGAATTAAGAGGAATTGGATACAACGGGCGCTTTTTGTTAGCTCACCTCTGTATGCCTGATTCAACGAAAGTGAATTGCGTGGAAGAACCCCCTCTCTCCCTACTGCTTTGTTACACAGACCCGCTGGTAGTGGTGTAGCGAGTTGGGAAATAGTCACACGCTCTCTCGCAGAGTTTCGGCGTACACTTCATTTCGGTGTCTCGCTGTATATAATCTGGTGTATCGTTTAGTTGGAAGTTTAACCTTAGATTTGGATGTGAATGTCACGACTTCTTCTTGGATGCTCTTTTACTGATGATGTCAACAAATCTCAATATCGCTCCTTGACTGACCTCCGTGGATGAACGTTCTTCGCCTACGCAGCTTGTAACCGAGGCCTGGGAACTTTTCACCGCATTTAGCTTTCCTGATATTGCCCGAACACAGGTGAGGAAACTCGAACCGAGGAATGGATAGAATTATCAAACTCTCTGTCATCACATTTTGATATGGATTGTGTCATAAGAAACCGAAAACTAAAAATAATTCAAGATTCAACAGGGTCCATAATAATTATGTAAAACTCTGAGTGAAAGCATGTACCAAAACATTTGCAAGTTTATACTTCTTTCTTTGTAGATCGATGTAATTATATTACGTCAATAATAATTTTAAGTTTAGAAGTACGACGATATTGAGTCATTGCAGCTTTTCAAAAGGCGTTTTTTTAATTGGTTCATGATATCAATGGAAATAGTGCGTTATGTTGACTGGAAGCTCCATTTACTCTTATTTATTTTTTCTTTAAAAAAAAATCGATCTTCCAGACATTGCACCCCACTGTTCCCAGCAAGTAAGTTATTTCTGTCATGAATGCTAGGGTTTCTGATCGTAGGTACGGGTCAACCAGAGAGTTGGAATGGAGTCTGAAATCTAGTGTACATGTACACTACTGGATTACTGGATGGCAAGACTCACTGTGGTCTGCAGATGGGCAACTCCAAGCGATTGTCCCGTACGGCAAAAACCACAACTTAGATTTAGTATTTTAAAACTTAAGAAATCATTCCCCTTGTGAATGTGTTGTTTTTGTGTTTTTCATAACTCAAGAATGAAAAGTTCACCGGTTGAATACGGGCCTTTGTTAAATACTTTTAGAGGCAAGCTTTGTTAGGCCTATACGTCATATTCTCAAGAAACAAGAATCGGGACAAATAATTTTCACATCGGTAGGCCTATTTAAAAAAAAAAAGAAGCAAAACCTGGTAAGGGTATTATTAAATTAGTTGTCAAATGTATATAATGATATAGCCCTGCTCAAGCTCTTTATTAGACCAAATATGGAATCAAAAGAAATTAATGATAATATATATGTTTAGGACTCAACAATACCTTCTGACGTACGGGACAGCAACTTACCAAATACATTGGACTTGCACAGATGTAGACAACTTCCAAAGAGTCTTATCCGTGAAATCTTATGTCTCTAAAGACTAAAGATAAGGTAGAGAGTCCACGAAAAGCCTCGATGAACATACAAACTAACTTAAAACAAGACAAAGAGATCGATATATTTTATCTATCTGCATCCTGTTCCTAACCCTATTGTGGTAGGATTTGAATGTATAGGTTTACAATGAGTTTTATGGAATACATTTCATGTATACATTTGTTTGTATACTAATAGTTCTACAACGTTTGAAATGTAAGCTTATAAAAGTATATTTTTATATTATAAAGGAGAAAACGTGGTCATATTATATTGCCAAATTATAATAACTTAAAAAATATCCAGCGGAGTATTGCGTACACATTTAGTTAGTAAAAGAATTCCTAAAGGTTGGCAGTGGCAGCATCCGATCCAAGCCTGTATGGCTTAAGTATTCTCACATAGGGTACCAGACACTCTAAAGTGCACTTCAAAGTGACTAAAAAGTCATGAAAACTTGCCAGATCGCCTGGGGCATGTAAACACATTACCCGGCAAGCGAGAATTGCAGTATCAATCATTTTTTGTATCTGGTCTGAAAGAGGAAAAAGCAAAGGTGCTACTTTTTGCACTCTCTCCCATTCTTTCACAGGTTATTAGTTTGGCGTTTGCTCTCCTGTCTTTCATTCCTCACATACCCGTTACACTCGAGACGTCATTCCGATTGCGCCATTAGCTACGCTAAAGGCGTCATTGAAATAAATTTACTGCAAGTGTTTATCAGTCATTCAATGCTAGGTTTGCTTTGTTCAACTGGTATTCACTTTCCATACGATATCACCCTCACATGGTGCGTCTAAGACAATGCCAATCACTGACGCAATCCTCCGTCAGCAAAACAACGTCTCATTTATGCCCGTTGTATACAAGGCATCATTTTGATTGCGGTATTACCTGTGAATGTTAAGACAGTTAACGCAGTTAACACATATGCCGGTTCAACGCAGTCAATTGCACTGTTCATTTTGGAATCAATCTTTGTATGTTCACATTGCCTTTCATCAGTCCGTGACGCTGTCCTACGTCAAGCTTATAGGGACTTTTAGATTTGCTCATCGACAAAGTGGACTGCTACGACGTGTGACGTCCTTTTCCAGTGCCTTAAAAGGACGTCACACGTATAGTAGTCCACTATGTCGACGTGCAAATCTAAAAGTCCCTAATGACGCCTCGAATAATTATAACGGGCCTGAATGCCCGTTACATGCAGATGAAGCGTCATTTCCATTGCGTTATTATCTATGCTTAGTCAGCATAGGACGTCCAAGGCATGATGTTTGCTCCCTTCATTTTCCTTTAATTTTTGTTTGTACGAAGACATTCTCTGAAGATGAGTCAAAGACCGCACCAGTCGTTGACGCATTCCTACGTCAACGAAATAGCGCCTCATGTGCAACGGACATTACGACCAACGTTCCTCCCTTACTTCATTATTCATTTTGACTTAGAACCAGGATATTACATGTAGTTATTGAACTATCCTTTATCTATGATTTATAGATTTATGTAGGTAAATGATGTATACATGTATGAACAGTATTTTATACATGTATATGTCTCATTGATTACAAAAAAAATAAATACAAGATACAACTAAAGAGATTTTATATTTGCAAGCCTATATCTGATTTATCAGATTTCGTTGACTACATTGTAGACTTACTTGATGAAAAGAGTGAGAAAGTAAAGAAACCCACTATTCATTATTCTACTGGAACGTTATTTTGTTTCCATAGTGGCAAATGAGCGTAATAGAAGAGTTGTAAACCTTCTAACATCTGACCACTACAATATAAGGTGCCCGTATGAATCTTGCCAAATTGGCACAGGATTTCAACTAGCATTTCTTTTGAAGTTGTCTGAATAATATAGACATATCCTGAGAAATATGGAAATATCTTTGATCTCATCTAACATAGCAGCAACAACATTGTAATCATACTGCGCTTTACAAAATGTATAGTGTTATTATATAACTAATTGAAGTGATCGCACAATGATACAGCGCTAAAACAATAATTACTCTGATATTGGTGTCCTCTATAAAACCTCATTTTTCTCTTTGTGATAAGGTCATAGCAAGAGTTGCATAAGTAATACAGGAAGGCCTGAAATTGCGAACGACCAACATAGACGGAAATGGTTTAGGAACTCGGGTAAACCAGTTTATCCCTCGTCTGTCAAAACATTGCCAAGCCAGCTGAATCCTTTTAATACGTGTGTATGTAGCTACGTGTTCTAAAACACAATTTAAAAGAAAACTCAACCACGTAGTTCAGTTAGAATTTATTGATTTTCGAAGAAAATGAAGAAGGAAGTCCTGGGACATTGCGTTGCGACCCAATATTGCAGGTTATTGAAGAAATGATTTCCACTTCGTTGCTAGCTGTTGCTTTTTACTCAGTTTTAAAACTTTTAGGACCCAATCCTCGTGTTGGGCAAATTAAACACAATGATAAAATAGGTTTGTAAAATCATAAGATTTCCTACCTCATTAATTTTCCGTCTCGAAAAAAATGTCTGTCTGACACAATTTTTCATCGGAAGGGCTCTGATGATCAAGCCCTTTTTGCCCCTCTCCACTCCAAAAAAAGTGCTGAAGCTGTGAAAAGACGTTTTGTTACCACTTACCTTAATGTCCAAAGATGTCCAATTGTTTCTTAATTCATGAGTTTATACAAATGGTGACAAATTGACAATTTTATTGGTTGAATTGGTTTATCAAAAGTAGGACTCGTGAAGTTAGTTAGGAATGTTTGACAAGACATAATAGTAGAACAAGGGGCCAGTTTTTCGAAACCGTCAGAATAGGTCTAGGTTCGCGTAGACATCTCATATGAGAACGCTTGTTAATTCTGTCATGTTTCAAATTATGCAATATGAGGCCCAAGAAGTTAAACATGTGCTAATTGTACTTATGATGGTTTTAAGGACGGCCTCTTGACAGGTTACTTTTTTATTATTACGTAACACATGGATACTCGTCGATCTCAGCAAGGAAACTCTTAACATTTTAACCTCACACTCTAGTCACCCTGCGAGCTAGGCTTAGAGCGCTGCCCCAGTGGGGGAAATTCATACATTTTTATATTCTTCCCTTGTAGATTCATGTGCGTTAGCTTTGGTCGGCCCTAGGAGGGATAAAAGGTGTCGGGAGGGGGAGAGGGGAGAGAATGAGAGAGAGAATGAGAGAGAGAGAGAGAGAGAGAGAGAACGAGAGGGAGAGAGAGAGAGAGAGAGAGAGAATGAGTGTGTGTGTGTGTGTGTGTGTGTCAGTCTCCTAATCGAGAAAGTAGTAAAAAAACAAAAAGGATAGTTCACGAACGGGAGGGGCGGACAGTTTCACTTTTTCGATCTTCACAAGAGGTGGTAGTTTTCACTGTCCACCCCTGTATTCCCTGATGCAGTTGCTTATCAGTGAGTAGGATCCGGATGTTTTAATGTGGGGGGGGGGGGGGGCTTCGAAGAGGGGGGGGGGGCGGGGCACCACACCACTATATTCCCCTAAAAAGGCCCATATACAACAGACTCATGTGTTGTAAGGCTCAAGTTTTTATGTTTAAGAAATGATTCTCTGGCTTGCATGCTTTGCACGAGTCCCTGTCTGCGGTAGCACTTGTTTCTTGTGAATCGACAACAAGAAACTGCTGCAGCACTCTTGTATTGCAGTGACCCTTGAAATGGCAGGCTTTCTATCTCAGCAGCTGGCTGTAGTGGGAGTTGACTCTGACGAGACGAATCAACATCTCCTGTTTTCCTTAGCATTCCAAGAACTCCCAAAATGGCAGTGGCATAACAACCGTTCGATGAAAAATCTTGACCGGAAAAGTTAGCTTCCAAGCCCTATACTTTCTTTCTCCCTTCTTTCTTTTTCATTTTCACCGTCCCATAATAATACTGTTATTTCCATTTCAATTGTTATTGGTATTATTTTAACGACGACGTAGAAAGCGGTCTAGGCAGCAATATTTCGCCATACTTTTTCATTCATTTGACTGGGTTTAGTCCCCCCCCCCCCCCCCCCCCCCCCCCTCTCCCCATAAATTTGCATTTGTTGGTGTAAACAGTAATTTGTACCTTATTGGGCTTATAACGATTAATGCGGAAGATGAATCGAGGGCCACAGCTCTTCGGCTTACATGCTATATAAGTAGCAGTAGTATATCCTGGTAAGGAAGGCGAATGCCCCCCCCCCCCCCCGGCAAACCAATTCTATGACGAGTGAGTAATTTTCGCTCAAGATTTTCAAAGAAAATGAAGCTAGGCATTGCGTCCCCGGGTATTGCCCACTGCCCCCACATAATTGTAAACCTTTAAAACATACTCGGTTTGAGCAGACTCTGAGTACAGACCCGAAAGTATATAAAAGTTCGTCGGACGGAGAACCGTTGTTAAGTTCTTAGTTTATATTGGTTTAAGGCGCTTAACTGGAGATGCGAAGGTCGAGGGTTCGAATCCCGACACGGCACTAATATCCTTTGGCAAGGTATTAACCTGCACTTGCTACTCTCCACCCAGGTGTCAAATGGGTACCCGGTAGGATGCGGCCGTCATTGTTGGTCAAACAGCTTGTGAGCGTCAAGTAACGCCCGGCTAGAATGCTACCCAGGGAGCGGAGATTGTGCACATAGTGTGTGCGGGCAAGCACTGAATCCAATGACCGGGGTAAATATTTGTAAAGCGCTTAGAGACATTTGTATTAAGCGCTATATAAAAATTAAATATTATTATTATTATATTTCTCTTCTATATTATTTCATGTGACATCATCCTGTGTTCATACTGACATAGTTTACTAGAAGATTTTTAGAGAGTAGATCGATGTTATTCCCATCTTGTTACGTAACCGTTAAAAAGGTCGATCCGTAATTTTAGTTATATACACGATACACAAATTTCCTCAGATTTTGTCGATGTTGTGGGGAAAGATTATTTTTTATTGTAAGTGCGTTGTATTAAACGATTTTCTTCAGATGACTGTGAAACTACAGTCACTCTCTTTATTTCTCCTACATTTTCTGGACCCTGTAACAAAAAAAAGATATGGTAGCTCGATCCCCGAAATCGGTCGTATCTCCTCAAATCAATCGTAACTTTACAGTTAATATTTACGATTCATTGCATGTTACAGAATAAAGATAGATACAATGGATGGTGAGATCAGAGACATGTTGTCTCTTTTAAAGCCTATCTGCACTAGTTTGACCAGGAGGGATTAGACCACCCTGCATGGTCACTGACAGGTGGTTATCTCATCAAATCAGCTCATAATTAACATAAGAAAAAGGGGACAACGGGGAACCAATGGACATGGTCACCGATTAGGCATTGTTTGCTATATAGAGGGCGCAAGTAGCTATAGGTAGTGTAGTGGGGCTTTAAGATGTAATTGATTGCAGCGAAATTGGACATAAAATACATGTCAAATCTTTACAATTGACTGTAAGTACATTTTAGTGTTTAAACAGGAACCTCGTACATCTCTGTTTTCTAGTTTCCATACGCGAAGTGAAACCTGGAAACAGTGATGACTGTGTGTCCATTTCAATCGGTTACTTCATTCGGGTTGAACTTGACCCCACCCTCATTTTATTGATGACGTCACAAGGTCATGGTGTGTGTAGTTCAATTACACCCATTCAAATTCAATTCCAAGGGTAATGGATAATGTATTAACCATGTGTGAGGGGCCTATTGTGAACAGGACACATCATGTATGATAGAGATAATAAAAGTGTATAATGTGTATTGTAACATAAGAATGACACATAATAGGAAGTGTATATCAATTATTGAGTAAGCAATAACGAAGCATAATATTGCATACCCGGTACTTGTGTAAGTTGTGTTAACACGGCCAACTAATGTACAATTACCACACACACATCCTGTTTTAATGAGAACGGCGGGTGATTATTTTTAAATATTCTCATTTTCTCTTTGTCATGTTTGTAGTGACATCTATTAGGGCAAACCCAGTCGAATGCCCTTGTGCACACACTGATGCTGTACAGTTCATTAAAAAAAAAAGTAGTTTCAACAGGGCATTGTACATTTTCGGGGATCCCCGGACTTACTGCATTTCCCCCTGCTGGGAGGGGGGGGGGGGGGGGTGGGGGGGGGGGGTTGATTACTGTCTCTTTAAATGCACCTGTAAAATATAACATCATCATCATCACCATTTATTAAAGTCAGCATTTTGCCCTCTCATGAGGAGTTACTGACTTTCGTGCCATGATGACACTCTCTCCCTCCACTATTCTTGTCTCGACAATCCTTCGCATTTAATTCAACATTTTTGCTTTTTTCTTCACCATGGCTTTCCATGAAGTCTTCAATCGTCCTTACCCTTTTATATGCCATCCACTACCAGATCCCACACTCTTTTTCCAGGTTCATCATCTTCCCTTCTCAACACAGTCATGAGTGACCCATCTGTTTCTTCCTAAACCAAACTTTTCATGAGCTACCTTGTATTCTTTTTATTTCACACCACACATCTTTCGTATCATGGTTCTTTCTGTTCTCCTCCATATACCTTCTTCTGCTCACTTCACATTACATCGTCTTCTCCAAACGATACACGCTTGTGATTTCAGCATTTTCATCACAAATTAAAGGCATTTGATTATTTGTTTTAATTTTTGACAAACTGTGCTCACACAATGAAATGTTGGCTCATCAAAACAGGACCCCCGTTGCATAAAACGTACATAGGTAACTTTGCCATTAATGGTAACTTCCATGGAAACCTTTATTTGATTGGCTGGTGAGTGATGTTACCATGCTAGTTACCATCTATTGTAAGTTTTAAGCAACGGGGCACAGGATAAAGAAAATAGTTTTGATTTCAGAATCGTATAAAATAGTGATGACATTAGAATATTTAAAGATTAATTTTCTTCTTTAAGTAACAAATTTCTTCTGACACTACCAGTACTTTCTATTTGGTATTCACCCCCCTTCTCTTCCTTTCTCTTACAGTGCGAGGGTGCAGAGCAGTGAGGCCGAGGAGAAAGAGAGGGAGCGAGAGGAGTCGGTCCAAACCAGACTTGGAGACCAGTCGTTAGCATGGATTTATTATATTATATGACAGTCTCATTACTTGGTTTTATACTGAGTCTAACCACTTTCATCGGAGAAACGACCAGAGCGCTTTCAGATGATGTTTCAAGTCCGTGCAAAGCTTGTAAGTAACATACATCCTGATAACACCACATTAATTCATAATTTGAATGTAAATACGGAGGAACTAAAGCCCTGTTCAGACAAAGAATCATCGCCTTTTACCACTGCATAATGTGCATTGTGCATGAATCTTTTGGGGTAGCGTATGTCTTCACTTTAGTGGCAGATGTATGCCCGACTCTGGTAATATTTCTTCAGGTTCGGGTCGTTCTGTACCAAATGTTTGACAAAGTATTACACAATCATGACAATTGGTCATGAAAATGCTCAACTTCGATTATTTCACAGAAGTGTCGTAGTCAAGTGGTTCGATCCCCGATACGGCACTAATATCCTTTGGCAAGGCATTAATCTTCATTTGCCACACTCAACCCAGGTGAGGTAAATTGGTACCTGGCAGGAATTCATTCCTTGAAATGCTAGAGCGTTGTAATGGCAGCTAGGCTAAAGCGGGGGTAATAATAAATGCGCGTCGGAATAGAATTTCTAGATAGACGGCGCTATAGAAATGCCTATTATTATTATCATTATTATTATTAAGAGGGGAATTAGCCAAACTGCATTATAAGAAAGATAACGGGTGCCAGCGAATGATAGTGTTTGTTGGATAGAATGATTCGAGATCAATTGACTTGGAATGGCGTAGCCTGTGCCCAACCATAGGAGGGGTGGGGGGGGGGGGGCTGGTTTAATGGGGAATGCAACGGTCTTGCTCAGTAAAAAAAATGTGAATCTACTAATCCACCGATTAGGGGATGTAGGGGGCATGTCATCTTCGTACGGTCCGCCCCTCCTATTCCTTCCCTTCTACCACTTTCTCTCTCTCATTCTCTATTGTGCCATTAGCAACGCCATTACAATGACTTGTCAACATAATTAAGACACAATCTGTGATCTTGTGAAGTCGTCCTTCTTTGGAACAAGAAGTTTGAGATCCTGAAACTCGTCGAGTTGCTTTTCAGAATTTTTTCTCCTCCCAATTATTCGGACTAGACGAGACTCTGCCTTCAGACCATAAGTCAAGGAGATAAGATCCCTCAAGTACATGTTTTAAGTGACTTTCTTATTACTAGGAAAAGGCAATGAAGATCGAGTATGTGTTGACATATACAGGAATCAGAAAGACGAGTTTATGATATAGTTGCGTCAAGTCGACTTCATGACGAAGACACGCATCTATTGTTTACATGTATAGGTGTAAGAAGCGGTGAGGGTGACGAGAATTTTGAAAATCCCGATTTCGGGCAAAACGGGCATAAGCTACATTATGACGTAATCACAAAATAGTCGACATGGCTATTTAAGATCCCTTTATATCTTGAGGAAACTCTCTGGAAGACAAGACGGATTACATCTTTTCGATTGAACAGTCTCCGGAAGACAACTTGACGACATCCAGAACTTTTTTGTCATCTCGTCTTCATGCCTCGATGACATTTGTCTGCGAATCTTTTTCTGTCCAGCTCTCGTATGCACCTGCATGTATAATTAAAGGAAGGATGATAATTGAGTTTTACCTTGAATGTGAAGTCCACCCTGCCTGCTATTTGGTTGGTTTTAATAGAAGCAGAAAATAATAACGGTTATAAATGTAGTCTACAACAGAGGCGTGGGCGTATATGGCATTTCGCAGGGGTCTGTCGTGTCTTGTACATTGTAAGAAACTTTCCACTTCCTAAATTCAGCTAGCAAGCACTTTTCATACTGTTATAAACATTGCTCATGATGCATATTTTGTTTTTTTGTTTTTGATAATAGTGACAGTTACTGGTAATGCATGGCTGTGGAGCATTTCTGGTATCATTCCTTCATTAAATTACACAGTGACTGTAGACTACATATATGGAAATAATTCACTGCTCGCATATGGGTTAACGTTCGTCCGAATATTAAAGGTTCAAACAAAAATCTTCAAATTCCTGTCAATCCATTACAACTAATATGTTCAAAATCAAATTTTAATAGCAAAATTTTGAACAAAGGTTTATTGGTAGTATTTCAGAAAGGCGTCCCTTATGACATCAATTTGTTTCAAGCACCTCTTTTCGGCTACTGTTCCTTTTGTCGTTTCGATATTGATAATGCATCCTTATTTCCTTTTGGTTGTGCAAGACGGGAAGAAGGCCTATCGCCATGTACTTTACCACGATGATTGGGACGTTTTAACATAAGACAAAAGAAGATAAGGAAATATTTAGGTGAGGTATTTATCTTGCATAGAAAGTGCACCAAGTAAATTTGAATACCTGGATTTAGCTCATCAGATAAGACTATTCCATGATCCATGGTTTTCGTAATTCTAATTATTGAACGAATCGGAGTTTTCAAGAGCAGAATAAATTAATACAAAATATGTATTTTCAAAAGTTAAGAAATACTTTTTGTACGTGTGGTGGCATATTTTTCATAACGAAAGGTCAAAGGTGAATTAGTACAGAACAATGTCATATCATAACCCTGTTATTCCCAAAACCATTTATACCATACCTGTGGTCAATGGTATTTTGAGAACGTGACAACCTAACAGTTAATCTAAATTCATCCCATTTCACGGGGATCATCATTTTTGACTATTTTTTTTAAAAATCCCACACGTGATCACTTCAATGCATGAATGGCAGACACGGCCTCCGGTGTCATGTCAAGGTCAAAGGTCAAGTTCGTAAACACCGCTCGCTAAACCCAGACGACGGGAGCAACTTGGATACAAGAGAGATGTAGAGACAAAATGATTATTACATCGCAGTCTTTATCGGCAGACCGTACGATTAACCATGGACCTACTATAGTAAGACCATGGTATAACTTTGGCACAGATGAGATGATGATAACATTGGTTTGCTGGTTTATTTGACCCGGCTGCGAAGAAAGCATGTGCATGCGTTCTTTCTGAGAGACGGGGGGGGGGGGGACTCGAACCCGGGTCCTCGCATTTACGAGACCAAGTGCTCTACCACTGAGCCCGCTTGGACTAAGGGTCACATTAGCATATATCAATGGCCTATTAAACCGTGGGCCTGCAACGCTGGAGGGGGGATGTAGCCAGCGAGAATGTTCAAATACCAATATTAGGGCAATCGTCTTCTCATAGTCGGGAAACCGTCTTCTCGTATTTGGGCGGAGAGATGCTTTACTTGTAATTTGTAAGCATATAGATATCTTTTACATTTTAAATGGCTGAATTCATACTACATCTTTTCCATAAAAGTGTCAAAATTATCAATCGTTAATGTTTAAAATTAACTCTTCATATTAAGTGCCCCTGTCTCAATTTTGCCCATGTACGCCTTTGGTTATAATAGAGTTACACCTTCCAAGCCATCAACGTTTTTGTTTGCCCTTCATTTCCATGGTTTTATGACGGTCGAAATTTTAAATTGTTAATTGTGTAAAAATTATGAATTTTTGTCGCTGATCGTTGTAATCAGGTGAGTGAGATTGGCATTTACATGTATTTCCTTACATTTAATTCAGTTGCATTAAAAAAAAAATTAAAAAAGAAAAATCGGCACTATTTAGGGAGTTGGGTCGTGAAGGTCGTTGACGTTTACAACGTTTTCCCGTTAAACCAAGAAGAGAACACATCTTCATGGATACAATGTAACAGATTATTATGAATATTATCACGAAGACCTGTCTGTCAGACAGTGAACGGTTTTACTGACAGGTTACAGGGGAAATGTTTACAACCGCCAGAAAGATCAACTTGTCAGAAATGATTACTGGTCAAAGTCTTGTATTGATTCCTTGCAGTGGCGTAGCGTGGGCCCTATATAAACATTGAAGGGCACCGGAATGGGAGGGGCGGTCCTACTCTCAATGGATGAAAATAATGTAAATTAACAACGTCATTAATTAGGAAGGATGTCTGAGGGAGTTGTAACGTCTTTTTTCTTCTTTCCTTTTTCCTCTAATTTTCTCATCTCTTTGTCTTTCCTCCCCCTTTGTTCGTTTTTTTGATAAGGGGCACGTGTCCCCTGTATAGTTCTGTAGCTACGCCACGCACTCTTCGCCTTGACTCGACATTTTCATTTCCCCTTTCCCATTTTTTTTTTTTTTAACGAAGAACGGTCTGATTACGGGAACAATTAGAAATTTGTAGGACGAGGGTGCTAAAACATTAAAATTACGACATTGAGTAGATATTTATTGACGTCTACTTTAATTCATAAGTTATGTCAATGTCATATCAAAGGGCACGGGCCTTATTCTGCCACTAGGTTTGATGTCGACTTAATTTGAGTTCGTGGAAATGTGGGAAGCATCCGAAGCAAATTGCATTTCGCGAGAAAGAAAAATGCGTAAACATTCGCTTTGCTAGTGCTGTTCCCTATACTCTTGAATGATTCCGATGAATCTTCCCAATTTAGTGGCTTTGCGTGGGTCCATCCATGGAGGGGGTGGGGGGGGACACTTACATTATGGGGGAGGGGGATAGGGTTAGGCCATATCCGATGAAGGAAATGCGAAGTAATAAGGTCTCCTTTAAGGATGAGGATGCTGGAACGGTTTCTTTCACCTTTTGTTGTCTTTTTTAAAACTCCCAATGTCCATCTTCTTTTTATTCCCTCCTCCTCCTCCTACTCTTCTTTTTCTTCTTCTTTTTGTTGTGTACCTTTCTACTTCTCCTCCCCCCTCTCTCTCTCTCTCTCTCTCTCTGTTTTTTCAAAATGCGATTGATTGAGAGGGGCACGTGCCCACGTGCTCCCCATAAAAGCGTTTGTCTGGGTGATTTAATTGTAAATTTTCATACGAAGGACGTTAGACAAGAAGCTATAGAAAGAGATAGACGAGAGGAAACGGGAACTCCCTCTTCTTGTCTTCAACAGCGTTCCATGGACAATCCTTTGGCTTCTACCCAGAGCCAACAGTGTAGAAGTGATAGCAGTATCCAGCTTTGAGGTGCCAGACAAAAAATACAGGAGTATATTGACCCATGCATTTTTTTAAGGCCCTACATGAGTAGAACCGATTCTATCGTTATTATACCCGAGATTCAGGATCTGCGGCCAAAGTAAGAGAAGTTGTTTTACCCCTTAAAGCCCCACTGTCCTACTTGTAGCTACTTGCTCCCTCTATATAGAAAACTTCCCCAATTGGTGCCTGTTGATCCCTCATGATTTTCTTTTTCTTATGTTAGTTGAGAGCTGAGTTAATGGGATAGCCACCTGTCAGTGACCTCGCTGTGCGGTCTAATCCCTTCTGGCCCAGTAGTATTGACGGTCTTTAATTGTGTTGGTCTAGTTGTCGGTTATTCAATATTCACTATCTGTATTTGCCCTTGTGAAAATGCAGTGAGGAAGTTAGAAATACGAAGATAATTTATTATGAGTTCTTGGACATTATTCGGCTAACTTGTCGGTAAATCAGGTCCGACCCGACTCCGACGCCCCAAATAAGCAACCCCCCTGCTCAGAATATTCTTGTCCACGTCTAATTGTATACACTGTACACATAACATATGTGGTAAACAGTAATTCCTCAATAGGAAGGTAGTCCTATAATATTCAGTTTGGGTGATATTTTGCCTGATGATTGTGTTTTCTAAAGACATTACCACTAATGTATAATTTACCGAAATTTTGTCATAATTTATTCGTGATTATCCTGATGTAGGACAACTCGACTCAGTATTTCAGTTTTGGAAACGCCCCCTCTCAAAAAATGAAATAGTATACAAATAATACACAGCAGTGAGGGCATTAGTAAGAATTACCCACACAAGGTACCTTTGGAAAAGTCTAATAACACGCCCGAGGCGATAGCCGAGGGCGTGTTAGACTTTTTCAAAGGTATCGAGTGTGGGAAATTGTACTAATGCCCGAACAAAATGATGTGTATTATTTGTTTTATAAAATTATAACGTGGATCCTTGTTATTTGATCAATCGCCCTCATCTCAAACTCAAAGGCCCGAATTCACAAAGGAGGTTTAAATCTAGCCCATGGTTTAAATTCTCATTTACATAACCCATGGTTTAAAATAAGCGCTAATTGAGGCATAACTTGCCTTGCGCGCGTCTAATATTAGACCTCTGACTTAATTTTAGCTAGATGTGGTAATGACCGGTCATTACCACTGGGTAATGACCGGTCATTAGTCATTACCCAAATTACGCGTTAGGCAAAATAAATGCCTGGTCACGTGTACGCGTTCAACCAATCATTTGATTAGGATCTACGTCATCATCTTATAAAAGCTCTTATTACCAATCATGTGAAAGAATATGTTTTGTATTATACTTACGTGTTGATAGAAATTATCTATCCGGACTTGATAGATATCACGTAGTGTCCCATATACATCTTTCTGTGTACAGTGCTTGTAACTTTACCAAGACTGGGCCAAATTTCGTATCATTTTGATGATTCCAGAACCTTGCAGTACACACCAATACTTTTATGCTAGATGATCAACCTTTTCTGATGGATTCCAAAACGTTTCTTTCATAATGCAATCGCCAGAACTGGTTTTTACCTTTAATTAAGATTGTATTCGTTCCATGATAGCCGAGGACAGGACTCAAGCAAGGTCAAAATGGACTTGACATTTATATACTTATGATTTATGAATTTGTACTCGAATTAGGCCGCAGTAATAACTTTATTTTTTGAAATGACATACATGTAAACCTTTAAAACAATTGGTGATTGACCCTACTCTCAATTAGCAGGTCACCTGACCTTCACTCCGTTCAGATTTCGTCATATACCTTAAGTGATATCTGGTGTTTGTGGTTCCAGTCGTTCCAGGTTCCACAATAAACAAGGACAGAATTGAAGTATGTTCAAATTGAATTTGACATTTACGTTCTTATGATTTATGATTTTGTACTGTTATCAAGGTGCAGCACTACATGTAGCTACAAAAAGAGACGATTGACCTTATTCTCAATATTTCGTAGGTGACTTGACATTTGCGTCTTCTCTTGCTCTTTCTCTGGGTTTGCTGCCATCAAAGGCATAGGTCATGTTGATAGGGTTAGTGTTAGTGTTGCCGTTTGTTTCAGGCCATGTAGATGAAGTGTTGAAGTGTTTGAAGTTTATTATCCAAAACAAAAAGTACATTGATATAACAATCAAATGTGAATGATTAATTAACATTGAAAGGATAAATGGGACCAGAAAATAGCATTCAATGCTAATCGTGTCTAGTACCACTAACACACAAAAAGTATCACAGCAATAAATGAGAATGTAATGAATAAATATGAATAACTATTGAATACATACTTAAGCTACAAACTATTCTACATCTAGGGTAAACATGTTATGTGCTTATATACAAAGCTTTTGTATTTTACACTAAATAAAAGATGAAGAATTATATAACATAATATTTACAAAAAGGCAAGAGCCTTGGTTCTAAGTTATAAACAACTATTCTATTAACATTTGTGATATAAGAGTTCTACGAAAGCAAAACACTGATGCTTTCTTCCGTACAGAGAGGGGTAGATCATTCCAATAGCTTGTGCCTCTGAATGACATTGAAAATTTACCTTGCGTTGTCCTTACTTTAGGCACACTTAACTTCTTACTTTCTCTTTGTCTAGTCTCATAGTTGTGCTCTATGAAACAGCAATACTGAATTAGAGACTGTGGCAATTTATCATTCAATAATTGATACATAAAAACACAAATAGATAATTTATGTAGTTGATACACATTCAATAATTTTAGCTCCTGGAATATCGGTTGTGAAAGATAGGGTTAGTGTTAGTGTTACCGTTTGTTTCAGGTCATGTAGATATGGTTAGTGTTAGTGTTGCCGTTTGTTTCAGGTCATGTTTATGGTTATGGTTACGGTTTCGGTTAGGTTTTAATGTTAGTTCAAAGTGTGAAGCTATGAATTCGGTATAAAAACTGACCGCGGAGCAATCGTCGCTGGAGAATGTCTAGAACCATTTTGTACACTGTAGGAAAACTTTATTATGAATATTTCCTGGCGCTTTATAAGTTTTATGCATAAAGGAAACTGCATGCTTGCAACAACGATAAAAATGTCATTCTTTTACCATAGCCCAAAGAACTGGAGTAGTTTGAGACGTAAATGTAATTTTATTGCATGGTGTAAAAACTTATGATTAAGAACCGACATTTAAAGCGCAATTCTTGTACGATTAATTTGTGAGACAGCAGCTTTCTCTTGTATACAGTAGGCTTGCGGGTGCACCATGTGTGAGAGAGAGAGAGAGAGAGAGGGTTGAGGAGTCTACTGTATATCTACATCACCATGCAAGCCGACATTTACAAGCATCATCTTGGTTTCTCTTGCTTTTGAAGTTAATTCACTGGCTATTCTTCTACAGTCCACTAGAAGAAGAAAAAAAAAACTATCGTTAACAATTTTCTTGCTCAAACTGCTGATAAAGCATGACATGATTTCACATGAGTTATGAAATGTGGTCAAGACGTATTTCTTTGACATTCACGGTTTATTATCAAAATAATTGTAGAATTATTGGACCATATTTCTGTTCTTTGTGTATCAGGATTGGGGTACTTGTGGGTGGTTGAGGTTGTGGTAGAATTGTGGTTTTAGGTCTTTCTTCAACTTGTCACTACTAGAGGCGGAAAAGCTATGATATTTCAGGCTTCTGGCATTACCGTCACCAAATGATTTTAGGAAGAGTGGAGGGGGTGGGGGGCATCCCCCTTAATAAAATTACTATTTCGATTATCATTTCCGTGGATTGTAGAGATATTGTCAGTGCATTTAATATTCAATCGGTAGATGAAAAAAAAATCAGCAAGGGTAGCTAGGCCACTGTTTTTAACTTTTAATTAAATTTCTCGGCACATTCGCTTGTGTGACGCCCCCCACCCCCAATGGAAAAAGCTGGATACGCCTAAGTCTTGTGGTAGCCAGAGTGTTAACCCCTAGCTCGTTCTCTTCCTGAGACTACCTGCCAAGACCAATTTCTAGCTAGGGATAAGGGGATCACTGCATCGTAAGCTTGTCTGGTCTAACATCTTCACGTTCGTCTATAGAGTTCATCTACCGTTTATATATCTGTCAAGTCCAAGCTAATTATTTTGTGAACGGTCACATTTATGACTTTAGTATGGATCGTTGTATTTTTTCGAATGTTTATTGTACTATTAATGTATTGAATATTTTACTTTGTATATCGTGTATATTGTTTGTTGTTTCGTTTTATAGAAATGTGGGAATACATCAAATCAAATCAAATGTGCAAGCTCTACAACTGGAGTTTGTATCGATTTATTTTCATATTTTATAGCACGCACTCACGTATGGGGCGCTTTGGTATCCAAAGACCTTATTGGAGTTTATTTACCAGCAAATTAAAAATGATTGCTATCGTTTTAGTTTGTGTCATGTGGGGTCATGCTAGTAGACAGACGGCCCACGGGACCGACAAAACAAAGATTTACATAAAATGGAAAGAAAATAAAGAAAGTGGGGACAAGGTAAATTTATTGGACTATCAGGGGGTGTTGGGGTAATTTTTTTTTCTCAAAAGGCGGGGGGGGGGGGGCTGCCACTGTTGGCTTAAACAAAAAAGGCACTCTGCACCATGCTCACTTTCCTACCCCCTCTCCCCCAATTTTTTCCGACGCAAATACATTATTCTCTATATTTTTGACAATTTTTTTGCAATTTCTTCTGACTAACAAAATACAACCAATTTCTGAAGAATGTAAACATTTGGCTTCTTTCGTTTTCTTTACAGCCGGTTTCCTGGGCGACATAGCTCTAACAGAAGATGATTATGAGAGGGAAATGATCAGAGCGAGGCACAATAGGGAACAGTATCGAAGAAGGATATTACAAGAAAGACATACCAGGACCACAGGTGCACGTCATCATAGTAAGTATTATGCCACATGTTGAGTCATTTTGCTGACGCAGTATTGTGCCATCGACTGACGCATGCGGTCTCATGCCCGTTGGACATGAGGCGTCATATCTATTGCGTCATTACATACGCTAATCAAGCTTGTATAGACAGGCCATTAGGGAGTTACTTAATGTTTGCACTGTTACATTTTCGATACACTTTGTTTATGACGTTAATCTCATTGCGCCGAATGCTGACGCACTCTTACGTCATGCAACCAACACGGAACCAATACACAATACCCAGAAAAGAATGAAACTGGAGAGTAACGTGCATCAGGACCCACTTTAATCGATGTTTAAGGGAAAGAGAATTTTGATGAAGGAATATTTTGGCCAGAGTATGACGAATTCCTCCACAAGAACAAAAAGGAAGAAGGAACAATCACAAACGTGTATGAATACCCATTATATTTAAGCAAAGTCCATGACAGTGTCTTATGTTTTAGAGAATTAGAGGTGTGTTGAACTCATCGCACCTCTCTCTGAAATTAGATGAAAATAAGGACAAAGCTGCGTAAAATTGTCAAATATGAAGATAATTATGTGTCCCACAAACTTGTGTAAATTATATGCATAGCTCTGGCGATTTTTTAAAGATCATAGGGGCGTTTCACAGAACTTGTCATCAGTGACAAATGACAGTTTTTGTTATAAGCTACTGAAATCCTTGCTTCTGATTGGTTATCAGCAGATTTGTCACTGATTTTGGCATTTGTCATTGACAACAAGCTTTGTGAAACGGACCCCAAGTTTAGCAAACAGTTATTGTGATTGGACATATGTCACCGGATATGTCACCGGACTGTGGATCACAAGGTCCGCGGTTCAAGTCCCACACTAATGTCCTTTGGCAAGACATTGATCTACATTTGCCACTCTCCAGCCGGTAGGATGCGCAACTTAATATGGTAAGATGAGCAAGTGTGCGCTTGTCAAAATGAACCCTGGCTGGAATGCTCCCCGGGAGTGGAGAATGTGGATACATTGTGTGCGGGTAAGCCTAAATCCGATGACCGGGGTAATAATATATATCTGTAAAGCGCTTTGAGAGGGCCTGCGGTCCTGAAAAGCGCTATATAATAACGAATTATTATTATTATTATATCATTACAGAAAATTGTCCAAAGTTAGTCGGACGCTGGGGCACATTACGTATTGTTTATTTTGGGCGATATTTTACTCAGTATAATTCAAGTTTCAAGTTTCAAGTTTCAAGTTTATTTGTTTCACATTCCACAAAAAAAAAGAATTCACATAAATGACAAAATTAGAACATGATATGAAATATACTTAAAGTGTCACATTATATAGTTAATTCTTTGAAAAGACGTCGAAATTAATTGTATTGAATAGAAGGTTATACAAGGTGAAATGTGAGGAACCTATAGTTTACTTGATAGTGTATGTGCCTATCCTAAAGGTATCTTTCATTATCGCTTCTGTTATTGAACCTGAAGTGAGTGTAGAGCAGATTGAGAACCACTGACTGCGCCCCATTGGAACATATCAGTCTTCACCACTAAACACAATGAACTAATAATGACTGTGCCGACAGGTGTCATGCAGGTTTATTTGGTAGGGAATCGCGTCCACAGATGTATGTTTGGCTGACGAGTGAAACACAGTAGTGTCTGTTGATCTGATGAAAAGAAATCAGTGGAGTAGAGACTAGAGAGAGAGAGGGGGGGGGGGGATTACACCCACAAGAACAAAAATGGGAGAAATAAATGGTAGCGAAACTAGCGATACCCGTGCATGCAGGTACACAGCCATCATAAGACCAAGGAGTTAACTTTTTGATAGGACAAAATAAAAAGAAATGGGGTTTGGATTTTTTTTTCTTCCAATTTTTTATTTTTTTTATTTTTAGGGAGCGGTATTTTCATAATAGAGAGGGAGAGAGAGAGATAGAGAGTGTGTCTGTGCGTGTGTGTGTGTGTGTGTGTGTGTGTGTGTGTTAGAGAGAGAGAGAGAGAGAGAGAAAGAAAGATTTCAGTAGTCTTAAAGATATTCTCCTGCATATCTATTATTAATAATTTAATTAAACAGAATTCTACGCAATCGTAGGGCATATAAGATATTATTGGTCCTCACCGCCCTAATAGAAAAAAAATAAACGTGTCAAATACTTTCAAAACATCATAAAGTGGAATCTAACGCTAAACGCATTGGCATCCATCAGAGCTAGATGTTGGTGGCATAGTTTTATATCTGAATTCAATTTAGAGGGTTATTACTTGAGGGCGGGATGGGGGTCAGGGTCAAACACCCCTCCTCAATTTTTTTTTAATGTGTGTGTTTTGGAGGAACCCTCCCCCTCAAATTTTAATTAAAAAAAAAAAAAAAAAATTGTGCTAATGGGTGACCAAAAATGGTGACCCCCCCCCCCCCCCCTACTGAACGAAATATCGGTCGGCCAATTTTTCAAATTTTCGGGAAAAAAGTGCTCTTACCCCCCCCCCCCCCCCCCCCCCCCCCCCGCTTATTTAAACCAGTGGAATTAACCAAGAGGAATAAACTGTAAACAAATTCTCATTAGTCCCGAAAGAGTAAATTGCTACTCTTGACTCATATCCTTGATAGGATTCATAGCAACATAATCTTGTGGTTTGGGAAATCTTTAATAATAATGATATTTGTCAAATTTCATTACAGTGAAGGTTTAGTTAAGTAATTTTTCCCGTACCAGGTTATGCCAGAACCCGCTCGTTCACCAACTGCAGCACTCATGCACCATGCTCACTTTCCTACCCCCTCTCCCCCAATTTTTCCGACGCAAATACATTTTCTCTATATATTTTTGACAAACAGTCACTGACATAAAGTCATTGAGCATTAAAGGTCGAATATTATTTCCTGGAAGTTGGATTTAGAAAAAAAGGAACACGCAAACACCATGCTCACTTTCCTACCCCCTCTCCCCCAATTTTTTCCGACGCAAATACATTATTCTCTATATTTTTGACAAACAGTCACTGACATAAAGTCATTGAGCATTAAAGGTCGAATATTATTTCCTGGAAGTTGGATTTGGAAAAAGAGGAACAGGCAAACATCTTTTCTATTTTTATGTTGATCTAGAATAGAAACTTCAACTTGACATATCTTTTATAATCCAGACCAGTCTCGATCTATCAAGACCATTTTATGTCTACGCCCCTACTTAACCCCGTATCGTAAGTTGGCTTGGCCCCCATTAGACAGTCTGCCTTACGTTGCCAGAATCGATTTTTTTTTTTTTTTTCCTTTTTTTTTCTTCAGATGGCGGAATATTAAGGTTTTTTTTATAATGGCGGAGGGGGGGGGGGGGATGTAATGTTCATCATTTCAGGAGGTTTATAATTCACAGGTTATTTGCTTTTGTATTTGTGTTGCTTCTCATACTAACTCTCTTAGACCTACCATATTGTAGTTCTGGAAAAGGCGCTATATAAATCCAATTATTATTATTATTATTATTACAACCAATAAGCTATATGCTTTTACCGAAGGCCCCCCTTCGGTTTCGTATCCTCATTTCCAATAATTGTATTTAGCACTTACTGAACAAGTTACCACAAGCAAACCAAAGTGATGTCCTAACTTTTACGAACTTATGTGTTATTCTTGTCACTCTTATTTCTTGGAAACAAAACTGACAAGGTGTAACGTGAAATGTGAAATATGAAAATAAACCAAACGAAACCAATCGTAAACCAAACCCCCCCAAACAATGACAAAAATTGTGATGACAGATATGGCGGATGGCAAATGTGAGTAGCGGTTACAAAGTCTTTAGTGAATACAATAAACAAAATTAATGAGTAATTTGTATCTTACGTGATTACGATACTTTAGATATAAATAGGCTTACACTTGTCTTGTCGTGTCTATAAACAGCCCCCCCCCCCCCCCCCCTCACCAAATAATTTTTTTTTAACAAAGAAAGTAATAGATGGAAGATCGAAATGTAAACGAAGTATGTACATTCGTAATGTTTTGGGAGATAAGTTTGTACAATGATCGGAACTATGGAATCGTGGATTTTTCATTTTGAACAAAAGGGTAACATGATACACAATGTATGTACAAATCAACCTGATAGAGATTAAGGCCATTCGTTCATGCAATGTGCGTTTTATTTGTAACTTTCATCTCTTTGATTTCTCTTTCTGTTTCATTTCTTTGTAGTTAAAAAGAGAACGATAGAAGAAGCAAAGGTGAGACATGTTCGTGCTGTAACAGCTAGACCAGAAAGGAGATGGACAGACGCTGTAATACCTTACGAAATCGATGGCAACTTTACAGGTACGTTTCATCGTTTACCCACAGGCATTTTATCTACATCTGTTTCTCTCTACCAAGGGACAGTTAAGTGGGTACCTGGTAGCATTTATTCCACATAAATGTTGTCATGGCTGCATGTGTATTAAAGCTAAAGCTTGCACGTTTTAAAGCACTTCCGAAGGCTTAGCAATCTACTGAGAGCGACCGGAGATACTCGTAACTCTTACAATATTTGAAACGGGGTTAACACAGTCTTTGCTGGCTCTCAACAGACATTTTATGCATTATAAAAACAGAGCCTACAGAGGATGAAATTATTACATCATTATTGTTAGGATGTACATGTATATTTATATGTATATTTTCTTCTTTTTGTGTAGTCGTTGTGTATATTGATACGTGAATGTATATATCTTGGGTCGCGACGGAAAGTTAGTAGAACGATTATTTATCATTGATATTTGCTGTAGCAACGTAGCCTATTAGACTGATGATTTGAATGCTCTCCTGCCTGTTAAAGTGCTTTACTGGTTCCGTTGTTCGCGCTCGATATAGATAAAAAAAAAAGAGTTTCGAAATCTCATGATTGTATATCTAATTAGGTACTAGTGTATTTTGTGTTACTTTGTGGTAATGGGCCATGTTTCGAATCTTCAATCCGTCTTTCCTTGTCTTGATATCTATGCCAGAGTTCAGAAAGAGGGTGGAAGGGTGTCTCATGGGATGCCTTCACTGGGGGTCCCCAGTCGGCAACCCAAATATTTTTCTTTAAAAAAAAAGTACTGACAAAGGTTCCAAATCGTCTGAGTACTGCTGGGTTTGATTTAGAATGTTTGCATTCACTCCCACGACTTTTAAACTCATCTCAGCTGCAGATAAATTATCTCAAAATGTTGGGAAATTGTTTTGGAAGAGAGTTAGGACCCATTAACTTAGAAGTATATCCCTTGTTTGTGGAGGGAAAGATCGCTGCGAAATGAGATGGGGTAGTCGTGACATTTTTATGTCAATTTTTAAGACCTACAGTAAAATAGTGATTGGTTTTTGTTGTTGAAATATTCCCAGAATCGTTATTAATATTTATCTGTAAATTCTAAATTCTGACTAATTTGTTCATAATAATTTTGAAACTTATTCATACCCTAAATTAGTACACCACCTAATCGACTTCAAGCCGACCCCCCGAAAACCGGCAAAACCTTGGCCATTCTTTGTTAGTGTAGGTTTTTGTTCCGTCTATTGCCGGTCTGGTGTCGGTCTGGTGTGGGTCTTATTGGTGTGATTGGAGTATCATCCCTCATAACCCTTCTCATTAGGCATGTGCATCACAGAAGAGCCTTTATTTTCATTAAGAAGGTTGTCTAAACGCGCCCTTTTGCAAGTCATTGTTATGCGAACTATCACGTACGTTTGTTTACCCCATATCATCAAATGCATCATTATTATCTTCGAATAATGGATTAAAGACATGTCTTAATAAACAAACTCATTTTAATTCTAAAGTTTTCATAGCTTTTCATCTGTCAACGTTGCGATAGCTCATGTCAAAACCTATGTCACGGTATGACAATCAAATTCTTTTGTAGGTTGAAGGGGGGTAAGATTGTTGTTTTGCTATATTGCTTTGCTGTTTTTCTGAAATCAGGTAAAATGCCTAGTTTTGTCAATGTTTTGGAATTTGGGGGAAATTGGTATTTTCCGGTGCGAAGCCACAAGGATAATTAACAACATTAGAATTCGTAACGAAACCTTCTAATGACTTCTGACTTATCTGTTGTGCCCAAAACTACTTCCGGTTAGTTGGAAAGCAGTGCTACGCAATTTAGCTTGCCGAACATAATGCTGACATTTACATGTAATTCATCTGTATTTTGTTTTTGCTTTTCTTACATCATTCACGTACCCCATTGTTTTTTTTTTCTTCAAATAGAGTCTTGAGTGTTAAGTATCACTTATAAGTAACTTAAAAAAATAAATGTTATCAAACAAAATTGCCCAAATTCACAAAGGAGGTTTGTCGACAAACCTAGGTTTATGTGCGTCATATGACGCGTTTCGACGCGTTTTTTAAAAAGCTTAAAAACTTGTTTGTAGCACATTTATGGGAGAGCATTTAGGTTGTCTTCTTATTTCATAGGTATTTAAATGATTGGCACTTTGAAAATTCTGACTGATTGATTTTGCCCTATTTACATGTATGTGTCCGATGCCTGTGCTGATTTTTCCCGTTATTTCATCTCTTTTACGCGATGTCTTTTTTTCTTCTTCTTTTCTGTCTATCTCTGTTTCTCTTCCCCTTTCTGTAATTTCATATGAATTCCCTCCCCTTCTGTCTTACCCACACATATACACAATCTGTCTCTCTATCTCTGTCTGTTCTCCCTCCCACCCTCTCTTTCTTCTAACCTTCCTTCTCCACGTCTCCTTCTATGCCCCTCCTTTTGTCTCTCCTTTCCTCCTCCTCTCCTTCCAATCCCCTCTTCCTTCTTCCCTCCCTCCCTTCAATCCCTCTCTGACTCCACCCCCTCTCCCTGGTGTATGCAGGATCGCAGCGGGCGATGTTTAAACAGGCGATGAGGCACTGGGAGAACTATACCTGTATTACATTTGTTGAGAGAAATCCTGCGAACAGTGAGCATGACAACCATATAGTCTTCACTTACCAGGCGTGCGGGTGAGTTCTAATGCAAATACAGAATGTCAAAGTTTGGATTAATCTGTACATGATGCATCTATTTTTTTTCTAACGCAATTGTACGGAATTTTAAAATACGACTGTTTTCCTTCTTGCAATCTTTGGTGTCATAACGATCATCAGCATCATCTTCGGTATCATCAACGCTCATCACCACTCATCATTATCATTATCACCATCATCATCATGATCGTGATCAAATAATCCTCGTCATCAAATCATAATCGCCACCATCACCATCATCATCATCATCATCATCACCATCATCATTACCATCATCGTCATAATCATTATCAGGCGTAAAAAAAAGATGTTGTATTGCCCTTTGCGACCGACCCAAAAATCTTAAAATCTACGATCGGCTTTTCAATCATTTTTTTAAAACCGTCTTTTAGGAGAAGAAAAGTTTAATGAATAAAAAAAAAATTTATCAAATTATTCCCAACTTCTCACTCGTCTTCTACCCGAGTTTCGAAATTCTGCTAGCGAAACAAGTAGACCCCGGCCTCGTGTACGTGTAAATACCATGCACTGCATCAGCTAGAGACCGGCGAAATTTGGTTTTGATATTTTTGGGCCACGGTCGCTTTTTTAAGGGAAAAAAAAGAAAGAAAAAAAGGTAGAAAAATGAAATCCGACTGACCGACCAAGGTTCTGGAAACCTAAAGGGCATTACAAAATCTTTTGTTTTAAGGCCTCAATATCATAAACACAATCAACATCAATTGCGTAAAGGCAATTACAAACTACGAATAATGTCCATATTTCCCCAGAAAATTATTTAATTGTTCACTAAAATGTCACTGCCATGAAAATTGGAACCGAGGATATGGAGGGGGCATTTGCTTATAGGGGTTTCTACAACAATATAAAAATACGTAGACAACATGAATATTCCTGACTAGACCTTTTGCTTGTTCTTTTCTTTTTGGCATCTGTTTTCATTTTCTGATAATCTTCTTATTTCCAGCTGCTGTTCGTTTGTCGGGCGAAAAGGTGACGGTGCCCAGGCCGTGTCTGTCGGCAAGAACTGCGACAAGTTTGGCGTGGTCGTCCACGAACTGGGACACGTGGTGGGATTCTGGCACGAGCACACCCGTCCTGATCGTAACGAGTTCGTAGGCATCGTACACCAGAACATCGTACCAGGTATGGGTGAAATCAATTACGGATTGATAGATTGATTGTGATGGAAGATTATAATGATTTGTTGTCTGAAGGACTCGTAATTTGGTGCATTTTCGATGATAAATGTAAAGATAGAATTAAATATATTGATGGTTGGATATCAATGGACACATGAAAGAGTGTTTGATGAATTTGTTGCTAGAAGGAAATGACGCACTTAGTAAATTAGTAAAGATAACGTCTGCTAAAAAAATAGTAACTCATATTAACTTTTTACACAAAGTAAGAGCCCTTCTGGCTCTTTCTGCTGATAATAAATGGATTAAACTTGAATAAAAAGCTAATGACAGTCCAAGAGATTAACTTAGAGATTGCTTGGTTGGTAAAAGTGTTTGTGCATAGTTGATTTTATATTGTTATGAATTCATGTACAGAAAACCATTAAGATAATTTGATTAAGATGCTGTAACAGAGAGCATGAGGACACCTAAATGATGATGATGAGATGATGTCAGTAACCATCCTGTTTTTAGGCAATTTTTGTAATAACTTCGAGTCAAGGTTCATTTTCTGCGAAGGTGTCCAACCCATATTATATGTCATTAATATCTTCAAAACAGGTCAAGAGTACAACTTCCGGGTTCTAGACGCGGCCGAGGTCGATTCTCTTGGCGAGACGTACGACTTCGCCAGCATCATGCATTACGCGCGGAACACTTTCTCACGAGGTATTTGGCTGGATACTATCCTACCTAGGAAAGATCCGGAATCCGGTATTCGACCCGAGATCGGACAGAGGAAGCACCTGAGTGAAGGCGATATCATTCAAGCCAACTTGCTTTATAAATGCCCGTGTGAGTAACTTTCTATCTCTCCTTTATTGTGATATCATTCTTGGTTATTCATTATTCATACCCTTTACAACGTTTTGTTATTTCTACGTGAAAAACCGATTTGCCCGATTTATGTTTCTTGAGAATGTGACATATTAAACCTAACATCTGAAAGCTTTCAACAAAGACCTTAAGTCAACCAGTCCACTTTAATTCTTGAGTTACGTAAAAATACAAAAACATCACATTTACAAAGGTATGAATAATTCAGCTGTTAACTGTATTTTTTCTCATCATTCTCAATTGTGATTCTTCTTAGATTTGTCATTATGTTCTTATCATCGTCATTAATGTATCTTCATCGTTGTGCTCTTCATCCTATCCAATCATATGAAGCATATACCCCCGATTTTGTTCCATATGAACTTTTTCTGAAAAGTATGAGAGGGCCGTATTATGCCGATCGGAAGTGGTTTTAGCACGATCAGAAACTTGAGGGTCCACGACTCGTGGAAGATTTATTATACAGTATAACTCCTTCTTGGATTAAGAGTAATATTCCCCTTGCATTTAGAGAGATGACATATATTATACCTTTACACTTCAAATGATGTGATCTTGATAATAATAATAATAGGCATTTATATTGCCCTGTCTAATTAGAAATTCTATTCCGAGGCGCATTATTATTACCATGCCTTCAGCCTAGCTGCCAGGTACCCATTTACATCACCTGGGTTGAGTGTGGCAAATGTAGATTAATGTCTTGCCAAAGGATAGTGCCGCGGACCTTGTGCAGTCCGGCGACGTATCCACTCGACCACGACACCTCTACTGGACTTTCAAGGGTTCAAAACCTTTGAGACGGATGCCGAGAAGGAAACATTCGTCTCTTCATACCTCAATAACTTGTAATGTCATCACATCTTCACTTTGAATTGTTGTATTTCCCAATTAAATAACAAACTTTAGCATGTGGCCGGACACTTCTGGAGTCCACCGGCAACTTCAGTTCGCCCGAGTGGCCTGGGCAGTATGACGGTGATCAGACGTGTGTTTGGCGCATCTCCGTTACCCCCGGTGAGACCATCAGTCTTCAGTTCACGGGCTTCGAGCTGGTCGGTAGCGATGGGTGCTGGTATAACTACTTAGAGGTCCGAGACGGTCATTGGAGACATTCTCCACTCCTTGGTAATATTAATTATCTTTGCTATTAGTGATTCACGTAAAAGCAAAAGGTTTACAATAATCTGAAATTGCCTTTTGTTTCGTATATGTGGACACGATTGCCCTTTTACTTTAAGCTAAAGATAACTGGTTTTAATAAACGTATAATAATAGAGGCTATTTAATATTCCGAAATGTTGATATTTTCTTGTAAAAGTTATTTGTCATTGTGATGAAGTACATTTTATCTTGAGAGTCATCTAAGAATTCGTCCTTTGACTGATAATTCTTTATGTTTCTTCCCTAGCAAAGTATGTAGCAATCATGTAAAATAAGAAGAAGTTCTGTTAAAGACATTTTGTATCATTCTCTTTTCCTCTCTGCAATCAGGTCGGTTTTGCGGAGCATCCTTACCCGATCCGATACTCTCGTCGGATAGCCGGTTGTGGATTGAATTGAAAAGCTCGGCGCATAGATACAGCAGAGGTTTCGCCGCGAACTACGAAGGTGAGCTCTATTTTCCTACACTGGATGTCATCAAACAATTATCAAATTTATTGTGCAGTTTATAACCCTTATATTAATAAAGATTTAATTCTAGGTAAGATTATGGGAAAGTTTTAGCATTGTATTACAAAAATGTAATTTCATGATCCAAAATGTTGTCCTATCACCCTCCCCAACCCTAATGACAATCTTTTATTTTCGTCAGCAAATAATTGTTTTAATACTTTTTTCTGTCGCTGTCAGAAAAAATAATTTCATGTCGGCAAATTTCCTCGGAAACCCCCTCCCCTCATACACAATATTCTAGGATGACCTTTGACGAGAATTTTGTTCCCTTCATATTACTTAAGTCGTTCGCAAGCGCTGAATGATAACGGTCTCTAACGTGTAAGAATGAAGTCAAACCTGCTTTAGCGATCATTTGTATAGAAAGACCATCTGCTTGTAGAGACATTGTCCGTATAGTTCTATTGTCGTTTTTATGTATAAGTTTCAATGAACATATTTTTCTACCATGTAGCGATCTGCGGCGGTCACATCGAGCGGGAATCGGGAACACTCCAGAGCCCGAACTACCCCGATGATTACCATCCTAGCAAGGAGTGTGTGTGGCTCATCACCATGCCAGCGAACTACACGGTCGGACTCAGCTTCCAGTCGTTTGAGGTAACCGATATCAGTTTTAATCAAGGCAAACATTATCACAAAGAATGTAGCAAACATCCTCTCGAAGCTTGAGGCTACTGCCAAAAGTAACATGTGAATCATCGTTGAAAGAATAAACGTAAAATGGTGTGTCCGGTTTATATAGTGAACATTGAGTGTCTTTGAGTAATGATCATGATGATAAGGCCTTCTGTCAAAGCGTTATTCCTAATTATGAAGTGCTGTATATAGTTCCAAACTATTGGTCCATCATTGATTTGTATACGTCTCTTTCTTCTCGTTTTTGTGCCTATTATTCTAGCTATTTTTATCCTCTTTGTCTCCCCCTTTCTTTTTTCTTTGAATGAATTTCGAGTCTTTAATTTCGTGTCATTTATGATGCAAATGATACCGGTAAACGACAGGCTCCTAGATTTTGTTGTAAAGGTAGCGTTTGTTACCCCCTTGAACTTGATACCGACTGAGAAAAAATGTTGATAAATCCCCCACCGCCAACTCCTCACTAAATATCCTTCAACTTAACTTTCGTAGATCGAACGACACGAGACGTGTATCTATGACTACGTAGAGGTTCGTGATGGGCACGAAGACACTTCGCCGCTCATCGGCCGCTACTGTGGCTATTTCATTCCTGATGACATCAAGTCCACTGGGAATAAGATGATGGTCACATTTGTGTCTGATGGATCCGTCAACAAAGGCGGGTTCTCCGCCGACTTCTTCAAAGGTAAACCTCATCTCGTATTTGGCTAGTCTATTACTTAAAGGGAGTGTAGCATGACGAGACTTCGTGTTTTTCCTGTGGCCTGACTCGGGCCAATTGGGTATAATACGACTACAGACAACGCGAATGCTAGCGCGCGCTGACCATTAATCAAGTCCATTCGTTTACGTGCAGTTGTCCAAAAGAAGTCGTAGATGGCGTTAGCCAGTATTTGCCATGCTACACCCCCTCTAAAACTTTATAAATGTTAACAGCATTTTGTCGGTCGTAATAGATTCTTGTTCATGAAGTAGTCAAGGACATAACAGGATCCAAGATGAACAAAGACTTTGCTAGTTTCATCTGAGACGTCAAAGTGAGATAGTTCTTATTTTTCCCGGGTGCTTCCATGATGTGGCTAGTCACATGATGGCTCGAAAAATCAGCTGCTGGAATAACGTTGTCATCTGAAGTCAGCCGATTTTAGTTCGCTATCACACCTTTTAAGCTCTAGACCGCGGCTCTTTGTTTTCTTCATTCGTCTGAATGACTATCAAACTAACAAACGTCTGTTTTTTATCATCGAATATTCATCTTTAAACAAGTTTAAACAACATATTATTTTGAAATTGATTTTGTCTTACAGAAAAGGATGAATGTGCGCAACCAGACCAGGGTGGATGCATGGATGTCTGCGTGAATACTATCGGTAGCTACCGGTGTGACTGTCGCCCCGGATATGAGCTTAGCTCCGACGGTCGTAGATGTGAAGGTGGGCCAATCCGAAATCAAATGAAATGCAATATGTACATTTAAAGACACACCCATTCACATCTGGGTACAGATGCGTCCTATTTACACAGAGTTGTTTTCTTGATAAGAGGGAACAAGAACCTAGCACAAGCTTCGGATTTATCCGAGAAAAAAAAACGGTGTTGACGAAACCCTGGCCTCTTAAGTCATTAAGCCAAGCCAAACAAATAATCGGGTGTTGTGAACCAAAAAACATGTTCCATTGTTAGCCTGTCTGTGTTATCCTTTGAATTGAAGGAATTAATTGGCATAGTGTTTGACGCCTCGTGTTCCATCACCACTGATCATCGGACAATTCTTAAATCTTGCGCTAGGACCTTGCAACCTTGAAACTATACATCTGTGCAAATAGACTGCATCTGTGCGTCTGTCTCTGGATGTACCTGAATGTCCTGGATTGTTGGAATGGAATTATTTCTCATTTGATGGATGGATAGTGAGTGTGATGTGATGAATGTATTTGTGTAGGTACAATCCATGTTGCAAAATTCATTCACATGTTTACTGTTCTTAACCATTGTGTTTGCTTATTCGTTTGTGTTACGTTTGTTTTTTGTTTTGCTAAAAGCATGAAAATCCGACTTTCTAAGCATTGTACAATTATATTCGGCATCACATACTTCCCTAATTCCCAAATCGCAATAGATTTGTATATGTTTCCATGTGTGGTACTGCTATAGCGAGCTATAGCATAGCGGGAGGAAAGTATAGTATGCATGCCAGAGAAGGAGGCGACGGCGTTAAAGTGCCGGTGGTGGTGAGTAAAGCTATGGTCACAATTCAGAGCGGCGACCGACCGATTTGTAGCCTGCTCGGTCGCCGCTGGAATTTAGGCATCGCCCAACGATTTTTGGAGAAGTCGAGCAGGCTGTAGAACCCCATCGATACATGGGCGGTGCCCTGTCGATTTTCCGTCGATCGCTGGTCGATTTGAGGTCAAAACTGGTTGAAATCGGAGAACTTCTCCGGGCGGAGACCCGGCAGTGACCGACTGACGACTCACCGATTCCCGAGGTTTCTCCCACCGGCTGATTTAAAAAAAATTGCCCGGAGGCCGGCCGATGATCGGCGGGGCACCAAACTACGCTCGGTGCCCGGGCGGTCGGTGCCCGAGCACCTACCTAATCAAGCGTTCGCCGTCGAGCGATATAGATCAAATATCTAAGCTGCGAGGTCAAAGGCTGTCGACCTATTTTAAACTCGCCGCCCAGTGAACGACTGATCTCCCAGCGAAGCCCGGGCAGCGTATTTTTTATTTACACGGCAGCGAGGGGAATTTCTCGATTAATTCCAATGAAACCGCTCGCGAAGAGTCTAAACTAGACCGAATCGGAATACGAGTACCTAGCAGTGCAGTGCAGTGTATTTAAAAGAGAATTGTACTTAACATATAGATCTAGAGAAAGAACCGAAGGAAGACATCAAAAGGAAAACAAGAAAACCAAAAAATAGATGTCTTATGCAATAAACAGAGACGGCAGTATGATATTTATGCGACATCCTGGCACAGAGAGCGTGAACATATACATGCCCTCGGTAACGTACCAACACACACAGTACATCATCATCTGTACACGCACTACAGACTAGACTCTCCGCGAGCGGTTTCATTGGAATTAATCGAGCTTTTCCCCTCGCTGCCGTGTAAATAAAAAATACGCGCCCGGGCAGCGACCGCTTGACAGCCCTTGACCCAGCGGCTTCGATTTTTGACCGAAATCGCTCGACGGCGAACGCTCGATTAGGACGGTGCCCAGGCGGTCGCCGACCGGGCACCGAGCGTATTTTGGGTGGCGAGTGAATTTTAAGTCCGCGCTAAAACTTCAGCAAGGACCGAGCGATGCCCTAAAACAAGCGGTACCCGGGCGGCCGCCACTCGGAGCCCGGGCGAAATTGGCTAAAAACTCGCCACCCGGCCGCCGAGCAGGCTACTTTTGGGAGTTGTGACCATAACTTAAGTGAGATGGCAGTTCAATTTGCTGCCAACACTTTCTCCGTTTTAGTGCTGTGGACCACTTGAACCTTAACTGAATTATGGTGGTTCAATGTACAATTTACAGAAGGGTGATTTTACGAGTACCATCGCTTCTGAGCTGCCAGCTATCGCCTTGAATTTTTTTTGGATTAATTCCCGTTGCACACGAGGCGTTATTTTCCTATTAAACGTAGGCCTGAGGCAACTAATGGAACACTGTCTGATGCGCCATGTCAGAATGAGAGCGCAGGAATAAAGAGTATGCAAATTGAACAGTGCAAACATCGCGTTGTATGGGTTAGCTGCCTCCACATGTTTGATTAGCACTGGTGGTAGCGCGATCGAAATAATGCCTTGTGTGCAACGGGCATAAGTCTTACATTGCGAATTGTTATTCTTCCACATAGTTGCCTGCGGAGGTTTATTCACTGGTCTACGAGGGAATATCTCCAGCCCTTCTTATCCCGAGCCCTATCCGAGGGACAAGAACTGTGTCTGGCAGATCGTCGCACCATCTAACTACAGGATCTCACTCCAGTTTATCACCTTTGACCTCGAGGGTAACGAGGTCAGATATATCACCAGTTTATATATTCATTTTACTGACCTTTGTCTTTATACCGTACATTTATTTTTGAAATGACGTTCGTACTATATTCTCGGTGAACCCATCTTTTATTTGTAGCACATCGGGGAAAAGATGTACAAGTTATTGGAGGTTACAAGGTTTTAGCAATCACTCAAAGCACGTGGTATATCGTATAACATCGCACATATCGTACGTACATCGTACGTACATCGTGCGTACATCGTAAGTGCATTACATGCGGTCAATATCCTACAGTTAACTCTGATCCAGACATATTGTCTAACCATAAATGTAACCTTAAGATAAAACCGAATATCAATCCCAACAATATCTTCAACGAAATAAATTTCCAGTCAGTTGTCACCAAGGCATATAATATGGAGCACCTAAAAGTGAGGACTCGCCTAGATTAATGAATCATTGCAATTTCAGGTGTGCAAGTACGACTACGTTGATGTCCGTAGCGGTCTGAATGAGGAAGGCACCCTCCACGGCAAGTTCTGCGGCAATGAGATTCCCGAGACGATCACATCCCGATTCAACAATCTCCGTATCGACTTCCGATCCGACAACACGGTCGCCAAAGAAGGTTTCTTCGCAAACTTCTTCGCTGGTAATTCATGAAATATTAGTATATTACATTAAAGTAAAACTCTAGTATGTATTTTAATGTATATTCCTTTGTGTTTGAAGATAATACTAAATGAATTATCATCGGAATAGAACGGTATGAAGGTTAGTTGGTAAAAATGCATAGCGCTTGAAGGAATACATATTTTTTTGGGTTCTAGAGCCGTCTGTGAATAGTTGCGATTAAACGCAACTTGAATCAATCGGGATTGTTGTATTTTTGTCTTTTGATTGAAATATTAGTTACGTTTCATCAAATCTGCCGTTTTTTCGAGTGGCTCCTGATTTCTTTCTGTTGTTCTTGAAATCAAGTTCAAAGCCATCTTACTGAACAACATTTTTCTTTTAAAAAGGTACCATTTTATTCTCTTTCATGATTTCAACGTCAACATATTTTCCAGGAATATTAATCGACATTCAACTAATGATCAAATCGGTCTTCTTGACATTGGTAACAGGGTTTTATTATCTGATTTAATATTAGTTTGAATAAATCAATGAATCTTCTTAACTTTTTGTTAAACAAATTATTCTTTGTTAGATGTGGATGAGTGCGAAGAAGGCAATGGTGGATGTCAGCACATCTGCACCAATACACTGGGGAGCTACACGTGTTCATGTCGCAATGGGTTTACAGTGCATGAGAACCTACACGGATGCAAAGAGTGTAAGTAAAGTGTTAGCTATGTAGCGATAAGGTTTTAGCCGAAATGATTATAAGGCTAAGGTGTTAGTATTAGCTCTTGGAGTTGTTAGTTGTAACCTTAGAATGATAAAGGTGTTTGTGGAAGAGATAATAAGGGGGAGGGGTCAGCCGATGTAATGATAATGTGGTAGCTCGTTCGTTCGTGTCTCCTTGGAATCAAGATAGTTATGTAAAATTCCTTAATAAAAGTAAATTAAATTAAATTAAGTTCTTCCATCGCTCGATTGCTGCAATGGCCGTTTCATTAACAAGGGACAGGTCTTCATCTGTGCAATCCGTTCCGCCGCACTGCAAGAGGTGGTCCATCGTCTGAGTCTCTCCGCAGTCGCAGAGAGTATCTCCTTCATGGGCATAGCCCCATCTTGCCATATTGACCTTACACCGTCCAAATTCTCGTCCGCATTCGATTTAGGCATTGCCACTCCGGCCACTTCAGGTTAAGACCTTTGATGAGTACGGGCTTGACTGATGGTGGAGGATTCTGTTCAGGTGGTGGGACAGAATCGAGGAAGCTGTGTCGGGATATAAGTCGTTTGTGGGGTTGTAAGTAACCGTGTAGTATGTGTCTGTCATCTGTCGCCTGCTTCATCCGTACCTTTAGGCAGGTGTTAGTGCGCCTTTGGTTAGGAGATCCAATGCCAGCGAGGTGATATATCTCCTCAACTTTTGTTGGTTTCAGACAGCCTGTTATCTTTCGATATGTGTTATTGAGTGTGGTGTCAAGCTTCTTCACATGGGCTGATCTGCTCCAAACTGGGCAAGCATATTCTGCGGATGACATGCATAGAGCAACAGCTGCACTTTGTACAGTTTTGGGGTCAGCGCCATAGTGTGAAGATATTAGCTTCCCGATGATGGCATTTCGAGATTCTACTTTTCCTATTGTCTTCTCGATATGTTTCTTGAAGGATAAAGTGCGATCGAGTTTTACACCTAAATACACTGGATGCTCGTAGTGGTTAAGCTGCACATTGTTCCACTTTAGCTTCAGTTCTCTCTTTGCCTCCTTGTTCTTCAAGTGGAAAACACACACCTGAGTCTTGGATGGGTTTGCCCGTAGGTAGTTTGCTCTGTAGTACTCCGAAAGGCTTGCGAGCGCTGTGTTGAGATGAAGTTCAACAGCTTCGAAGGTACTATGCTGTGATGCAGGTGTCATCTGCATAGATGAAGTTTCGAGTGTTCTCTGTTGAAGGGATGTCAGCAGTGTAGATGTTGTAGAGTGTTGGCGCCAGGACGCCACCCTGGGGGAGACCGTTTTTCTGTTTCCGCCATCTGCTCTTCTGCCCATCAAGTTCGACAAAGAAGCGTCTGTTCTGCATCATCTTCTGAATGAATCTGGTTAGTTTGAGGTCATTTGTGATGTCATGAAGTTTTGTCTGTAGCCTTTGGTGATTGACAGTGTCATAAGCCGCAGATAAATCCACAAATACTGCACCTGTGATGAGGTTGTTCTGAAAACCGTCTTCGATGTGTTGGGTCAGGTTGAGAAGTTGTCCCGTGGTGGATTTTTCTGGTCGGAAACCTGCCTGCTCACAGTTTAGTTGGCTGTCAACGTGAGGCCCAATTCTGTTGAGAATAAGGCGTTCAAGCAGCTTGTATGTTTGGCACAGGAGCGAGATCGGTCGAAAGTTCTTGGCTTCGTTCGAGTCCTTTCCAGGCTTGAGGATAGCGACGACTTTGGTTCGGAGCCACTGTTTTGGGACACAGGTGTTCTCGATGCAGTTGTTAAACATACCTAGCAGCCATTTCTGTGCTACAGAACCCATGTGTTTGATCTGCTCCGATCTGATGTCATCGATGCCTGCCGCCTTGTTGACGTGTAGCGTGGAGATACCTTTCTGAAGTTCTTCTTTAGAAATAGGTCTTGTGAAAAGAGACATGTTCTGGTCAACTCCAGGTAGTTTGTGCCTGTGTGAATTAGTCGTCTTGGGGGCCTTTCCATTTTTCAACAGCTGATTTGCTACTTCGTCTGCCGTAACATTATAATGCTGTTGAGCTCTGGTGCTGTAATGTGGTAGCTGATGAGATGATAATGTGTTAGCCGAGGAGTGATATGGTGCTAGCTGGTAACATAAGTATTAGCTTCGGAAAGATCAGTAATAAAGTAGGCGATTGATCAGCCGCCGAGAGAGTGACAAGGTGGTCACACAGCCGGTGATAAAGGTCTTGATCGGTTCGACAATACGGTGTTGGCTCTTGGGGTGATGTCGTGTTAGAGGGGTGTATGGTGTCAGCTGGTGACCATGAAAACTAACGTTTGAATTATGAGATATTGGATTGTTTGATATGCTATTAGCCGATGTGACGATAAGGAATCGTTGCCGATAATTTCGCGGATAGGCTCTGTGCAATTATAAGAATAGCACAGAATTGTAGACTAATTCGGATCAATCGAACCTCTAAAATGGGATGAGAACTGCTCATAATTAATTGACTTGTGCGTTTTTTGCTCCGAATTTTTCTTTGCCAGCTGGTTGTAGGAGAGAGATACAGTCGACCACGGGAATCATCACAAGTCCCAACTATCCCGACAACTACCCGAAGCGTAAAGAGTGTACCTGGCATATCTCTGCAAACCCTGGACATAAGATTGTGTTGGTAAGCTCGGACCCTCGCCCAAATGAAGATAAATTGTGTTAGAAACAGAATATGTAGGCCCACATTCTGTTCATGGCATTGAACAAATATATATATAAAAGATTGGAAATGAAGGGAGATATAAGAAGAATTAAGTCAAATGACAATTTTTTTCTTCTTCATTTTACCTAAACACTTTCTGCAGCCCTCCTGCATCTAATGTATGTTAATTGTGCATTCAATATATTTGTTTAATTTCATTTATTATCTGTATAAAATTATTTACACTTAAAATATTGTATAAAACCATATTATGTTCATGAAAATGTAGGATGAAAAAAAGAAAAAAGATGCAGAAACCAATAAATCAAATCAAATCAAATCAAATCAAATAATATTTTTGATGATACCTGAACTACTGATGGCACTCAAAGCGTCCAAAAATGTGCGTTTCTATTCTTACGTTTTTACGAAGCGTCTCCGAAACCCTTTATCTAACCTTGAATAAAGAAATTGATGAAAATTCATTTAAAACTCACCCTGTCTTTTCTCCCAAAGTCGTTCGATGATTTTGACTTGGAGCAGCACCAGGAGTGCACCTACGACCGTGTCCAAGTCTTTGACGGCGATAGCGACGAGGGTCAGGTCCTAGGCCGGTACTGCGGGGCTACCATCCCGGACGCAGTCGTATCGAGCAGCAACCACATGTTCATACGTTTCTACTCCGACGCCTCCGTTTCGAGGAGTGGTTTCTCAGCCACTCATTCTACGCGTAAGTTACGCCAGGTATTGGAGGGCATTGTTTCAACAATTTGCGTACAGGCGTGTACCCATATGCTTGCGTATTTATAGGCGTACAGGTGTGCCGGCTTGAAAGCGTAATTTGCCGTGGGCATGTAGCACAGCATGCGGGCGTACTACCCAATTTTTGGCGTCGCTTTATGCTTTATTACGCGTGCACGTATATAGTCCAGAATCTGCACGGTCCTTTATTATTTACCTACACACTTGATTCAAGCCGTCGAAGATGGCGTTGTCAACAAACTCATAATTATGCTCACCAGCCCAGCCTGGCGTCCTAATTTAATGATCACGCCATCTTCGGCGGGTAGCAAGTAAGTAGAGAGAGGTAGCGTTTATTGGTGGAGATCAAAATAAAATAGGCCAGATTCTGGAATAGCACGCATATTGCTCGGCAGTCAGTGCTGACGCTTCACGGTAACTTTTACTCTGGTTATACCTCTAAAAACCACTCCCTAATTCTAGCCTTATACCTAGCCAAAATCACAACCCAAGTTCCAATCTTGTATCTTTGAAAACTGAAGCCCGAAGCACTTGCTTTGTCGGATCAACGGATTGGTCTTCATTTGGCGGCGTGTGTGATTTCATTAGTCGAAATATCATATTAAACACGATGAGTTTCGCCTCCTACTGGGTACCCTCTTAAGCCTGTAGTACACTTAAGTATTGCATTTCTAAATCAACCAATCCATGGGAATAAAACGTCATCCCCTTCCTTTCTTCTTCTCAGATGACCGACTGGTCGCAGGTCACTGGGAGGTCACTCGCCGACCGACTGGCCGCTCAGCGACTCCATACTTACATCCATAATACCGTTCATGTTAAATCCATGCCAGTTAATTTTGTCCCATCTTCGTTTCAACAGAATGCGGTGGCCGGCTCGAGGCGGAACTCTCAGCCCAGCGACTCTACTCACATGCCGATTACGGAGACCAGAACTATGAGAATCAGGTACGTCAGTCAGTCAAAGAATCTTAGACAAAATAATCAAGAGTTACTTTCTTTAAGTCGATTCTCGGGCAGTTAGACGCGATCTCTGTGGCCTTATTCAGTTCGTTGCTTGTATATTAGTTACATTAGAATCTGTCAGTTAAGTTTGTCGGAAATGGGTGACGATTTATTGACGATTAAATGTAGTAAGGAAGGTTTCCAAAGGTAACGTAGGTTTTTGAGGGGAACGTACATTGCACGCGACAAAGTGACCCACAGATTGAGCCGATATATTGTGCTTCTCTTCTTCTTTCTTAAACTTTAAACTAAACAATCTCTTTAAACATGTTTGATTCGAGATTGGACATATATATTAATCATGTACAAATGTTATAACTTCGCTCTTGATTTGTATTTCATGCATTTTTGTTTGTTTAATCTTTTGAGTGAAATTGAATCCAAAATTAATTTCGTTGCATAGCTTTTAGCAGGCATAAAACTCCTTCGTGACGTACGGTTTCCCCCTTAACGTTTCAAACATGAACCTGTTCATCCATTGACACAGGAGTCGTGCGAATGGACTATCGTCTCACCCGATGACCATTTCATCCATCTCTGGTTCCGATCATTCGACATCGAACACGAGACCGAATGCAACTACGACCAGGTGATGATCCTTGATGGCGACAACCATGCGGCAGAATCTTTTGGAAAGTTTTGCGGTCATCGAGTAAGTTGCCTTTTAATAATGATAATAATAATGTGACTTATATCGCGCCAAATCCACTCTGTGGAGTGCTCAAGGCGCGTTCGTATATAATTTTACTCTTAATTATCTGTTCTTATTATTTCTGATGAATTTGTTGTTACTCCCTTTATAATGTTCCCGGTCTTTTAAAGTTATTTTCTCGTATTTTTACGTATTTCCATTCAATATCCTCTTCGTCTTTTAAGCTCCAATTAGGTTGGACAAAGTAAACGAAATTCTCCGTTTGTTGTTTCCGTCTGCTTCCCTTTCCGCCTTCCTTATTTAAAAATATATATGTTGTATTTTGTTCGCTTTTTCCAAAGAAATTTTGTATTCAATCATTCTTGAGCAAGAACTAATTTGTATTTTTGTGTGTGTGTCTACGGCTACTTTCGTCGCCGTACCAAATAAAGATACAATGCAAAGGAAACGAAAACCATTGTTTCTTTTATCAAAACGATAATCAGCATGCTCTTGATTTTTGTACTTTTTTACGTAGTTCAGCTAAACAAATTTCATTTAGAATTTAAAAGGGAAATCAGGTACTAACAACTCATCCTAATCCTTCATCTATGTTTAAAATTAAAATCTCTTTTCGTATCTTCCTTTTGTTGATTGAAACAGGCCCCCGACGATATAGTTTCATCCGGTGATTCTTTGATGATTACTTTCTCATCTGATGATACTATTAATAAGAAGGGCTTCCTCGCAATATTCAAGCTAACTGATGGAGAATTACTAGAGGGTGCAGGCGAAGAAGAGGAAGAGATATATTATAACTGAGAATAGAACCCGAGAGATAAAGAAAACTTGAATCTGGAGCTGTTTACCTCTGCTAACCAGCATGTGTGAGATATAGAGTGCACTCGTAATATGAGATATTGTCAAATGACTGACACTTAAAACCAGAAGATTCCTTCATATTTTCTGAAGGGCAAATTGAATGTATGGATTGGAGTCACATTCAAATTCAGCTTGTAGACAGTGACCTTTAACCTTTTAAGAGAGCACCTCACCATATTCTTTCAGGGATTATTCTAAAGTGACTACCGGTAATGACTTTTAAAAATGCTCACTGCACAATGCGACAAGAAGTGTGTTTTGATTTAAGGAATTATGGAACCCTGATTATTTTTTTTTTAGAGAACTTATATTTTAGAGTTGTGTTCAGCAAAATGCGACGATAAAACGAAATAATTTGATTGCATGTCCATGCTTAGATTTAGATGTAGACTTGCTTATGTTTTGCGCAATTAGTAACATTAAAGTACTTCTGAGTTTCCATGCTTGTGCTATGTACATGTGCTTAATAGCTAACGAAATAATAAGGTAATATCTGTTCGATCTCTCAGTTTGCCGATAGATGCTGCAATTTTTTTCAGCAAGCCCCCCTCCAAAAAGATCATCAATATTTGGAAAAGGGCGACAGCGGATAAAAATCGACTAAGAATTACATATTAGCTGAAAGACAAAACCAGCTTTTTGAGCGCTAAAAGTCGTTATGCTGATGTTGTAGTATACAATTTGTTCATACAATTTCAATATCTTATGAGAGATTTCGGAAATGCCATAAATGTTGTATATTCCTCGTCAACCAAAGAAACTTAATGATGGTTACAATAAGAACGTAAGGAAGAAACATTGATAACAGGAGAAAAGGGGAGATGTTTGGACGGAGGTTTGTAATTATAATTTCCATGTTTACATATCTATGCAAAGTCAGGAAAGCTACTAATGGAACACATTGTTCATTGAAATTAACCCTTTGAGAACCAAATGTTGATAGGAAGAGAGACCATGTAAAAGGGTAATTTTAGATTGCGATATAAGAGGGTTAAAACATACCTCTTTATATCGAATTGAAACTTAGCGACGGCGGACTCTTGCTTGCCTCCGCTATAATTATGACATTTATGTTCCTGATGAATTGATCACTCTTTTCTGTCATGTAAAATGAACTGTAAATACAATGTACATTTGATTATTTTGTAGGGTTTTAATAATTGTATAGACAAGCTGGACAATCATTGTTGCCATCACCAACCGAGTGTGCTATTTAATGAGAAAACAAATACTTGGGAGTATGAATCTGACCGCATATTGTGGTCTAAAGATCGTCATATAAATAGGAGGCGAACTGCCATGACTTTATACCCTGTACATTCTTTTCGACGCAGTTTCATCATGAATTGGATATTCTTATTTGTACAGCTTATGGCCAAATTTTAAATGTATCCTTCCAGTAAAACCATTCTCTCTTGAATCTTTTTTTTTTCTTTTAAAAATAAATCTAACACAACATTATCTCCCTTGTAATTTGTCTTTTGTTTGTTGATAGTATACCGAACTGTTTGTTTTACCTAAACTCATTTTCTACAATCAAACTCACACATTATCCCCGAGCTCAACCCCCCCACCTCTCTATCTTCCGTGTCCCTCCTCTCTCTCTATCCCTCCCCTCTTTCTTTCTCTCCTCCCATTCCCCATGTCTCTCTCTCTCTTTTACCCCGTCTTCATGTCTCTCTCTTTGTTTCTTTCTCCTTCTCTTCCTTCTCTAATCTTTCTCGCTCTCATTTTCCCTTCTTTCAAGCTCATCTTGCGTCTCATGCTCTCCTATTCCCTATTACCCCCTCCACCCTATCTCTTACCCTCTCTACTCCCCCACGCTCTCCTATTCCCTATTACCCCCTCCACCCTATCTCTTACCCTCTCTACTTCCCCCCACGCTCTCCTATTCCCTATTACCCCCTCCACCCTATCTCTTACCCTCTCTACTTCCCCACGCTCTCCTATTCCCTATTACCCCCTCCGCCCTATCTCTTACCCTCTCTACTTCCCCCACGCTCTCCTATTCCCTATTACCCCCTCCATCCTATCTCATACCCTCTCTACTTCCCCACGCTCTCCTATTCCCTATTACCCCCTCCACCCTATCTCTTACCCTCTCTACTTCCCCACGCTCTCCTATTCCCTATTACCCCCTCCACCCTATCTCTTACCCTCTCTACTTCCCCCACGCTCTCCTATTCCCTATTACCCCCTCCAGCCTATCTCTTACCCTCTCTACTTCCCCCACGCTCTCCTATTCCCTATTACCCCCTCCACCCTATCTCTTACCCCCTCCACCCTATCTCTTACCCTCTCTACCCCTCCACCCTATCTCTTACCCCCTCTTCTTCCTCCACGCTCTCCTATTCCCTATTACCCCCTCCACTCTATCCCTTACCCTCTCTACTTCCCCCACGCTCTCCTATTTCCTATTACCCCCTCCACCTTATCCCTTACCCTCTCTACTTCCCCCACGCTCTCCTATTCCCTATTACCCCTCCACCCTATCCCTTACCCTCTCTACTTCCCCCACGCTCTCCTATTCCCTATTACCCCCTCCACCTTATCTCTTACCCTCTCTACTCCCCCACGCTCTCCTATTCCCTATTACCCCCTCCGCCCTATCTCTTACCCTCTCTACTTCCCCCACGCTCTCCTATTCCCTATTACCCCCTCCATCCTATCTCATACCCTCTCTACTTCCCCACGCTCTCCTATTCCCTATTACCCCCTCCACCCTATCTCTTACCCTCTCTACTTCCCCACGCTCTCCTATTCCCTATTACCCCCTCCACCCTATCTCTTACCCTCTCTACTTCCCCCACGCTCTCCTATTCCCTATTACCCCCTCCAGCCTATCTCTTACCCTCTCTACTTCCCCCACGCTCTCCTATTCCTTATTACCCCCTCCACCCTATCTCTTACCCCCTCCACCCTATCTCTTACCCTCTCTACCCCTCCACCCTATCTCTTACCCCCTCTTCTTCCTCCACGCTCTCCTATTCCCTATTACCCCCTCCACTCTATCCCTTACCCTCTCTACTTCCCCCACGCTCTCCTATTTCCTATTACCCCCTCCACCTTATCCCTTACCCTCTCTACTTCCCCCACGCTCTCCTATTCCCTATTACCCCTCCACCCTATCCCTTACCCTCTCTACTTCCCCCACGCTCTCCTATTCCCTATTACCCCCTCCACCTTATCTCTTACCCTCTCTACTCCCCCACGCTCTCCTATTCCCTATTACCCCCTCCACCCTATCTCTTACCCTCTCTACTTCCCCCACGCTCTCCTATTCCCTATTACCCCCTCCACCCTATCTCTTACCCTCTCTACTCCCCCACGCTCTCCTATTCCCTATTACCCCCTCCACCCTATCTCTTACCCCCTCTTCTTCCCCCATCCTTCCCTTACGTAAATCCTATTATAAATTTTCTTCCACAAGAAAACAACAATAGACAAGGCGATCTCTTTTGTGAGAATTATTATCATCTTTATTGTCAAGAATATAAACATTCTCATATCACATAGTATACCATCAATAAATGTTCGTACAGCGGAAAAAATAACTTTTATCATATACATGTAATTATATACTCGAGCAAATGAATCTATAATAACCTACTCTATTTCTGTGCATGAGTTACAAGGCAAGACTTATGTTATAACGTTTTATCGGAATGCATGGGCATTTACATTTCAAAAGATACATACACTATACTACCATTTAGACAGCTTTAAAAAGGACAAATAACATGAATGGAGCTAACGGATGTAGTACTTCTCTGTTCTCCTTCTCTCGGATCTCTCTCTCTCTCTCTCTCTTTCTCTCTCTCTCTCTCTCTCTCTCTCTCTCTCTCTCTCTTCATTTCGTTTTCATACTTCAGCGTGATAGGTTTACCCTGAAACAAAGTCACATGAAGTAAATCATCATCACCACATTTGATTACAATAATATTTTCCTGCACAAATATTATCCATTTAACGTTGGTAATTACATTGTTTCTTGAAGTCTAAGAAAACATATGACCCGCTTTCTAGTCTACAGGTAGTTTTGACATATGTAACAAATACATACTCGTACTGATATTTATACACGATGAGCTTGGTATCAGAAGGGAGTTAACTCTGTAAAGTATGAGTTAACACCCTTCTCGAAATAAACGATAATTACATGTGTATAACAAGTATACATTAATTCAATTATTTGATAGTGGGTATACAATACTATCAAAACAATGGAAGCAATATTGCTGTCATCATAAGACAAACATATATGATATTTAGATTATATAAACACAACTAGATAATTGGGATGAGAGCATCTTATATCATAAAATAAAAACAATGGAAACATACCGCAATCCAAACTTAACTTACCTATATACACACTAAAATTTTCTTTAATGTGGGCACAGTTTTCGGTAAATACAAATGGTTCATTTTAAGAGATGCAACAAACTATCGAGCGCAACGTCAAAACAGTGAAAGCAATAACGTTTATACAATAACACACTGAAATCATGAAAGAATTTTAGCTGCATAATCTGGATTGTTATACGGACTACATGGAGGCAAAAGGTCAATTAAAACATTTCCCTGGATCGTCAAGTTAAAGTATATAGGTACAAAGTACATTTAACATGATCACAAAGACTTTCAAAAATCAAACCAAGGCAATTGCACTTTTCGAAATGTGTGAACAGTACCTTGGCATATTACATAATCATTTCTAAAGGCGATATAATAGGGTATTAACATTGTTCTTAACTTGATTTCTTGAAAGTCTTTGTGATTGTATTTTATATATTTTTTCTTCTTCATATAAACGACCTCTAAACTACATAATACAACCATCGCATCAATCGCGTCCTAATAAATACACACCCACATTCAGCATTACAAACATCTCATAAATAGAGGCCTCTCCGTTTTAAAGCAATATTCTCGAGATCCATGAAGTTGCAAACACTAGAAATGATGGCTAATATTTAAACAATAAGGCATCTGAATAATGTTTCATGTAAACGCACTTTGCAGTATGAACACAACCATGTCATATGATGAGTAAACCAATGTGTTTATCATATCACACAAATAGAGGCTTTTTCGTTTGAGCATACACAACAAAAAATGGCGATTTTAGTAACAATTCTCAACATTCTCTACAAAGAATACTAAAAATGACAACCTTCATACAAACCATGAGGCATTAACTGGTTGCTTTAAATAGAGTGAACGCATCATCAACTACAACACACCATAATAAATACACATACACATACAAGTCCTTTCACAAAAGGCACTTCAAAAACAGCATACATACATAATTATTAAAAAAAAACTTGACGAACCCGATGGCTCTACGCTTACATATTCGGCAGTATACAGCAACATAATGCTCTAGCATTTCGTTTTCCTGATAACACCCTGTTTTATTAACCCTTTACTATTTTTCTTAAATAATCCCTTTTCGATGATTGCATTGTTTGTGTATAATGCATTGAAAGAAACACACAAAGTATATCAATAATATTATTATGAAACTATATAGCACCTAATACACACTCGACGAGTCTAAGCCCTTTATACAGATACATTACTCCAGGCATATACTTCAGGCTTACCTGCATACAATGAATGCACCTTCTCCACCTCAATTCGTACCGCAAATATGCCTATTTCATCGCGAGATACACTAATTTTAAATAAAATGTTGGTCCGAAATTAATACTAAGTCGCCTTTTATACCCTTCACCCTCTCATCATATCAACTGAAGCAGAGATCATAAAAGGCAAACATTTCTTGTTTAAAAGCAGTTATTCATCATCATCTTCAGGTCTTGACTGTCGCGTTTAAAGTCACCAATTTTTCATCGTATAAAATTAGGAATTATCCACTCATCATCAGAGCTGGAGAGAGAGGCATATAACAGCAGACTGAAGAGCGACATCTCACCTTTAATCACTTACTTATTTTTTCATCGAGAGTGTTTTTGTCTTTTTCATGTCAATCTGTGTATCTCCCTCCTCCCAATCTGATACATACTTTCCTCACCAAATTTTTGACATAACTTGAGGACATTTGTCTTCCTTTCTTACTACGTCGATTCTAGTCTGTATGCTTCATCTCTTATGGACAAGGTAGCTGCCAAAACAAACGCATAGACCTCCGCATAAGGTCAGGGAAATTTGCCTCAATCCAAATCATGAACTGGTTAAAAAAAGGTGTAACCTTTCACACAGTAGAAACCTTGTCGACAACAACCGTATACTCTTGAGCAACGACCACCGCCGAGTCTCTGACGTCGGCTTTGAGAACTTCAAGCGCGCCCTCTAAATCGACTCCCTTCTCCGTCAATGCGTGCGCGACGGTGAGCGGTGTACACGTTTCGACCTTCAACATTGACGCGTTCTTGTCGCTGGAGCGTCGACGCACGGCCGAGTAGCGGTCCATGCGCAGACGGTTCTTGCGGTTCTTGAGACAGTAGATGGCGAGATAAAGTCCAGCTGCGATCAGCCACAGGACGGCCCCGCAGTAGTTGGCCGATGTGTACGACCCGGTCAGATCAAAGCTGAGACCTAGACAGAGAAACAAATAAAATCGTAAAGGATGAGAAAACATTTTGTGCAATTTTGAGAACTTGAAAGACACTTCATTTCGTCATACTCCGCCTCATGATAGCAGCATTAATTTTTTCTCTTTTTTTCTCGAGAAATGTTTCGACAAAATATATTTGACCATCAGTATTCTCATTCTTCACAAATGAATTTAAAAATGAGCATCTATAAATCTCTCTCTCTCTCGCATTGTCTAAACATTTTTCTTAAAACATGTAGTTTTTCACGTAGATTCTTTTTGAGCAAACGGCTGAGGCATAAACTTTGTTGACTGCGAAATACCAGTATGAATATCATTGTGTCGACATGGGATATTTCTTACACTTTCACTGTCTTTATCATGGTTTGCTATGTTCTCTGTTCCAAAACAATTAAGTAGTTTTTATTGTGGTCAAGGTGTGACACAGCGTGGTCAAGGTGTGACGCACTGTGGTCAATGTGTGATGCAGTGTGGTCAAGGTGTGATGCAGTGTGGTCAAGTTGTGATGCAGTGTGGTCAAGGTGTGACGCGGTGTGGTCAAGGTGTGACACAGTGTGGTCAAGGTGTGATGCAGTGTGGTCAACATGTGACGCAGTGTGGTCAAGGTGTGACGCAGTGTGGTCAAGGTGTGACGCAGTGTGGTCAAGGTGTGACGCAGTGTGGTCAAGGTGTGACGCAGTGTGGTCAAGGTGTGACGTAGTGTGGTCAAGGTGTGACGCAGTGTGGTCAAGCTGTGACGCAGTGTGGTCAAGGTGTGACGCAGTGTGGTCAAGGTGTGATGCAGTGTGGTCAAGGTGCGATGCAGTGTGGTCAAGGAGCGATGCAGTGTGGTCAAGGTGTCACGCAAGGTATGACACGGTGTGGTCAAAGAGAAGCTATAATTTCAGCACAGGGTAAATATGAATTTGTGCTTTTATCATTGTCTGAGATTCTCCTTGTTGCTACACTGTGGCAACATACAAATAATTTTCTTCAGAAGCTTTTCTGTGCTGCCACATGTAGAGGAAATCTGTTGGAAAGAACTATCGGCCAATATTTGAGACACTACCTTGATGTTAGCTATACTTTGTGTTCACCATCTTACAGCGTGAGAAACGATGATATTTTCAGGTAGAGGGTGTTTAACTCACCTGGTATGATGGCGGCGAGGAGGCAGCCGACACCGTACGATACCAACAGCATGGAGAAAGACTCTTGGTGGACGGAGTGACCAAAAGTCTCGATAGATGCCGAGAAGATGATAGAATAGTTGACCGCACGTCCCATCCCGGCAACTAAATAAAGAAAACGTTAAAGGTAAAGACCAGTATTGGAAACGCCCCAATTTCAAAAAATGAAATGGAAGCTCTCATTACCAATCATGTGAAAGAATATGTTTTGACTAATACATGATGATACAAAATTTGCCGGGAAACCGCCTACTAATTGATATATTTGGTAAATTTATTTCTCTCATGGTCTGTGAGAGATATAGAGTAGTCCCATATACATCTTTCTGTGTATAGTGCTTGTAACTTTACGAAGAATGGGCCAATTTTCTTATCATTTTGATGATTCCAGAACCTTGCAGATGCTAGATGCTAGATGATCAACCTTTTCTGATCGATTCCACAACGTTTCTTTCACAATGCAATTGCATGACCATAACTGGTCTTTACCTTTAACTTTAAATATATTGACCAATAAATGATACCCGATAGATCCTGCTCGCCGCCGCGGGCCTTTTTATGAGTGGAAATCAATGTAAAACTGAAATTACATTTATCTTTAAAAAAAAAAAACATCGATGAAGTGGGTAAAGCAATGATTAGTATCGGATAATGTGGGTCAAAGTTTAAAGGGACTATTTACCACAGACGTAAATTATGATGACCGCAGTACTCGTGCTGAGCGTCAGGGAAAAAGTGGCGCATGCGCAGATGATACACATGACGGGGAAAAGAAGAGTCCGAGCGCATGGCAGCCGATCACCGAAGATTCCCGTAACAAGCCGAAAGCCCGTCTCCACGAAGCTCAAAATAGACATGAATGTGGCTGACCTTTGTGGCGTGTATCCTGCAGTATCCATCAACTCGACCTATCGAGACAGAAAGTGGAAAAGAAGAAAATAGAAAAGGAGAGAAAAAACGGTTAATGCTATGTCCCTGGTATGCAGGGAATGGACCTACACCAAAATATTACATTAACATGCAGCGTGTCCACACATAAACAAAATAATCCCAAATCTCTATAAAGAAACGTTTTATAAAGAATCATCGTTAGCAAACAGGGCGTCCACACACACAAGGTACGAAACATCGTATAAAGAAATGTATAAAGAAACTGATTTTGACGGGATCGGTTAACATGACAGCCGGCCAATCAAGAGTTAAGCCCCGCCCAGTTATACCGTAATCTAGTTCGACTATACGTCCACACACACAACATTCCGTGATTCTTTATCGAGTTCTAGTTCGAAATGATGCCCAGGCCCAAATTTCGTTATACGACCTTTCTTTATACGAAGTATCGTTAGTTAGCGTACACACATACGATGTAGCTATACGATGAAATTCGTGTGTGTGGATACGGGGTTAGAGGTTATGTTTACATCCAAAATGTTTACATCCAACACGTAATAAAATTAGAATGACAGACACCATAGCTCCACATGACTTATAATTCATTACGATCGGAATGATGAATAATGTGAGACAGAACGAATGATGACCCGAATGTTTAGTTCCCCAAATGCAGAAACATAATGGTGTGATAGGTCAGAAATATTTAACGACCACCGCGAATTTGTTCCTACTTTAATTACTCACTTGACCAAACTTTAGAATAATAAGCCTTCGGGCATTTTGAGAGATATGTATAAATCGACAGTTTGCTTTCAAGAAATGCATTCCTCGCATTTCTTGAATCCCCCCAAAATACTGATATCATTATAAATCAAACCATTATCGATTTTCCATAATCAATAGCAACCGTTTTCCTGTTTTATTTCTAAAAAGATTGAAAAGGTAACCATGTCCTCTTTGAACAATGTTGCGATCATTTAGGAACGCTTGTAAATTTCACCATGCATTCAGTCATTTTTCAATCAATCTTGTTTGGCATTTTAACAAATTTCGAGAAAAATATTCTCCAAAGCGTACGATTTCAGAGTCACGTGACAACTTTGTTTGACCTCATATTTGCTCCAAAATGGAGAATGTCTGGATTTAAATATATAAACAGGTATAAGCCTACCATTTCTTCACCGAAAACAACTGAGATAAGAAGCGAAGGATTAGTATTAAAAAAATAAAGCTACAAATCCCGTACAAAAGTTGATAATTGCGTTATATGGTTCCCACGCTAAATTGCAAGGCTGAAAACATAATGCACGATCATAAAATAAAAAAATAAATAGATAAAATATACGAGCACAAAATAAAGTTCACACGCTGATGACGTCATTGCTCGTTGCGTAATCACCGCTAATTCAAGGTTCAATGAAATCGGGAAAACGGTTTGATAATGGGTAAAATAGTGTTACGTTTTATTTTTGAAATGTCTTTTCATAGATATTGTACAATAAAGTATTTCCAATGCATTAAGGATAACTTACAATATCATGGAAAAAGATTCGATAGTTTATAGCATGTTAACAGTCAATTCGTCTTTCAAATAAGGAAACAAAAATTCATTGCATACGTTAAAAAAAAAATCCACATAATTTGCAATATTTTCTGGCGATTCATTTCAACGTAAAAACTTCTGATGACAGGACCTAAACTCGGTGGGAAGAACGCCCTCTGTTGGCGGATGGCTGAGACGGGCATTCCCCACTACCAAGTCATGGTAGAAGCCGTATTGACGAACTCCGGATGAAGTGGGGTATGATGTCGACGATGACATGGAGAAAATACAGGGTATGAAATTTACAAACCGACTATCAAAAAGATAGTGGTATAGAAATGGAAAAGGCCCGGGTTGTCAGTCCAAATCTTTTTTTTTTCAAAGCCGTCATTTTGTTTAGTTTTCTTTTTCATTTTTTTCTTCTATCCAAATGATAGAATTGTAATGCGTAATTATCAACAACAAAACAGCAATGCATCCATGTACATTTTCTCGTGATCCAAATTGATCCCCTATCAAAGTTCTGCATGCATTTTCTTTTTTAATTAAAACAGAGACGATCAGTGGTATCCCTAAACCCTCTTCGCATCAGTTTTTTCATTCAAATCGTGAATATGACATTCTTTATTATCTAGTTCAAAAACTATTTTTTATTTCATCAAAAAATTGTTAACCAGTATTGCAAAAATTTTGTGATAAATATCACATGTCTCTCCAAAAAAAAAAATGTATTGAGTAGAATTAACTTTTATTGCATTTTTAAAAATCTTCATGTCGACTTCAAAATAAATTGAAATGTATGATTTTGGAATCCAAATACAAAATTTCGACTCTAATCAAGAACTCTTCGATGAATTTAAAACGTGAAGCGAGGAGAGTTTAATATGACCATACAATATGGATTGTATTAGGGGTATTAAGCCAGAGTAAGCAGACATAGCATGAATTGTTTGTTTGTCAAAGGTACCCTTTAATATGTGATAGACGAACGGGAACAAGGAAGAAATAAAATCTTGAAGAAATCTTGAAGGAAGAGGCATAAAGACAGAGAGAAACAAACAGGTAGAGAGAAAAATAAGAAGAGAAAGTAGATCGCGAGAGCGGGTGAGAGGCAAACAAGCATGCAGACTAAAAGGCCCGAATTCACAAAGGAGGTTTGTGACAAACCTTGGGTTTTCGTACGTCATATGACGCGTTTTACGCGTTTTTTACAAACCTGGTTTGTAAAGAACAAAAGGAGGTTTGGCGAAACAAAAGGAGGTTTGAGCTCAAACCTTGCTTTGTGAATTCGGGCCATTGAGAGCGACAAAGGGAGAGTGAGTGTTTGTAAATGTCGGCATTGAGAGAGAGAGAGAGAGAGAGAAGTGGGGGGGGGGGGGGGGGGGGGGAGAGGCGAGAGACGGCGATAGAAGTGGGAATGGGAACCGGTGTGGAGAAGATAAAAGAAAACCCCAGGTGTTTTGACTACCTTTTATTTCAAACCACTACAGTGTATTTTTATTTCTTTTCTTTATGATTCATTCACATTAATGTGTTGTCTACTGATAAAAGCCAAGGACGCCATCAGATTTCTTTCTTCTTAGTGAGCCTGAGGCGCGTCCTCTAGTCCGTGAGCTATCTTTTCAATGGTTTGAAATGAACCTCTGATCCCTAAGAATTGCACTTTTCGACTGGATGTTCTTTTCCCTTTTTACGACAGAGAATACCTTTAGACTCTGTTCATGCTATGTCTGCCTAAAGAAATATAACTTACGATTTAGTCTTGGCTTTATCGGGATTGTGGAAAAAGGTCGTTGAATCTCTGGGGACGTTGGTCAATTAATGGAGATGGACTTACTCCTTGATCGGCCCGACGATTTTCTCTTTATTTTCCCCAATTTTCCAATCTTCTTTATCCAATAAAGATGCTCAACCTCTGTACTCGACGGCGCTTTGGACTCGATGTCATCAGTACCAGACCACGTCCGTGTAGCTAGCGTCTGCTTTGCACTGCCCCTCAGAATGAAACTGAAAGGTTGATGAGGGGTTTTAGCCAGGAGCTCTCCAGCATCTGGGATGAATATCTTCTTCTATCCATAAGACCACTGCCATTTGCTGCTTGGACGGAAATGAACTGCTTCAGAGCCCAACAGGAAATGAGACGGGTAAAGCTTCGGGGACTCTCGAGAGCATTCGGAGAGCTTAGGAACAGCTTCGTCGTCTCCTCGGCAGGAACCCACAGAGGCCTCTCTGTTCTGGATTTGAAGCTCGGCAACCACAACTCATCCTGGCTAAATTTTGTTTTGAAATAAGAGAGATACATTTGCTTTGACAAAAAGGCCAAATTGAAACTAAAGAGGGAAAAACAGGAAGGTGAATCTCCTCTACTCATATTGAAAGGACCTGCACGAATCATCTGTTAGCCAAACCCGCATAACTTTTGAACTTATATGATGACAATACTTATATATAATATTTTAAATATTTTTTTTAAAGAATGTATTATCCCCCCATAAAAAGATTCCTTACTATGAGTCACAGACTCACAGTTTTGGAATAAAAAAGAGATCCTAATGATAATGATTCCTGCTAAAAAAAAAATGAAGAAAGTTTTGGGCACCATTTACCTCATCGAACAGCAGGGCATAACCTATTGATGACGGATGTTAGATCACCAAACCTTCAGTTTAAAGACCAGTCGCTGTAGCCAATCTATTCTGCCAAGGTCATCACACTAAACCCTGTTTCTTACTTAACTACCAGAGGAAAATCATTAGTTAGCCATTTCATAATTCTGTGTTAAATTCGTAAGAAATAGTGACGATTCCTATCATGAGACATGAGAAAATAAAGTAATAAAAAATGATTTTATGGATTCCGAGATTGAGTAATGGAGAAGAGGTATTGTTGTACTTACCAGGTTTATCACGTTGAATACCATGCACACATTGGACAACATGGTAGCCAAACAGAACATCCAGTGAATAGGATCTTTGACGAGAAGGATGTAATTTTGTCTGGACTTTTGCCTTCGCTCCCTTTCCAATTGTCCTTCACCCTTGAACATCTTGACCAGAATACTCTTCCTCTTCTGGGAGTTCGCTGTGGCTACTGTAGCAGCACTGGTCGACGGGATGACCGATGCGGCCAACAATGCCTTCAAAGAAGCGTCCTCAGTGGCAGATACGGTTGCGTCAGTTGTGCGTTTCTCGGAAGCGGGTCGCTTGTAACATATAGCACAGGTAAGGCCGATGACGAAGATCAAGGCGGAGACAAATCGAAGCGTGTTTCGCCAGCCGAAGTGCTCATAGGCGATTTCCAGTATGGGACAGTATATAAGTGTACCTGAATTGAAATAAAGATATCACGTCATTAGAAGTGAGTACCAGTTGAGATAAAGTATTTTTCGGGTAAAGGTTTTTCTTAGAAAAAACTATGTACTTTGCAATAATAAAAATCACAAGTTTTCATCTCATTAAGAAGCAAACAGCAAATTACATCTGGGGTAATTTTCGAATCAAACTGAATAACTTCAACCCTGGACCCCACACTATCATTACCCTAACCCGAACCCTAACCAAACTCTTATTGAAACCCTAACCCTAACAGGGTGATCCTAAACTTTTTGACGAATTAAATATCACCGCAATAGTCGTGACAGCACCAGACCGCCAACTAGTAGCACGGTCTTTACACATAAAATTGTCGCGTTTAATTATTTTACCAACTTAGAACAGTTCTCAGAAGCAATGGTTTATATTTGGTGCGGATGCAATCTAGAAGTACCATGACTGGACCGACCCTGACGCAGAAGAGAGAGAGAGAGGGGCACTTACCAATAGCGGAACCAACTCCTGGGAGGGTGGTCGGAAGGGCGCTATTGTTGCTGTCAAAATGTGAGGTGACAACACTCATCGACCCTGTGATAACCAGGTTGACACCAAAGCCGAATACGAGACCGAAGGTCACGAAGAGTGGCCATATGGACGTGGCGAAGGAGGACATGAGGAGTCCGCTAGAGCAGAACAGAGCAGCAAGGATGGCAATCTTACGAGGTCCGAACCGTTGGTAGAGTGTGTTAACGAATGGCGATGTGATCCCGACGGACCAGCCAAGGGATGCTACCCAACCTGCAATCAGAATCGGACAAAATAGATCATTAGCTCTTAATTCTCTTGAAGAGACTTCAAATTATAATTTGCTAGATAATATGTGTAGTAAAGGAACTATTATTATTGTTTATTTCTAATCTTCTTCGGATACGATCTATGAATATTGACGGATTGGGGAGGGGCATTGGTGTTTTGGAAGGTTCGCTTATTGAAAGGCTCAATGATATTCATTAATACCCACGTTGTTTGTAGTTCCAAATGTAAATAAGTACATTGTTATAAGTTTCGTAATTTCGGAAATGAATGAATCGTTGTATTTACCAGTTGCAATGGCCGAAGAATTCAGGTCTCTCCTAAGGCACATGTATAGCGGACCAAAGGCGCTGAAGAAGCCCAATATTGTTGCGAAGGCTATAGAGGTGGCAATGGTCACTACCCATCGGAAATACCGAGGATTTATCCACAATGCCCTGAAGAGATTGGTTACCTTGAGGGCGCCCTTCTTGGAGCCACCACGCGTCCCTGCTGCCTTCACGTCCTGACTGGCTGACTCAGTCAAGGCAGAGGTGCCCATGGGATTCGCCTCAAAGACGGCTGGAGAAGGGTCATCCTTCCAGGAGACCAGCTGTCCACTGACGGGAGTGCAGGCATCGTAGAGCGAATTACCATTCGGCTGGGGAGACATGACTTGGTCGACTCTTTCTGTGGAATATCAGAAGAGGTCAAATCATAAGAATTGGATATCAAAGCTTTCATTACAAAGAGATGTAAATACAAACCTTCTTAAAACACCCTAAAATTATTGATCGGTTGAAAAGATTTTGGAGTCGTATACTAAAGTCAGGAGATTTCTTTTAACTCGTACATTATCTCCGATAAAGCAAAACTATGAAGTATTAAAGAGAAGGTTGAGTTCTGGGAAAAGGGAAAAATAATTTGTGAGCATTACTCATTCTTATTATGCAAGTGTGGAAGAACATAAGTTAAGACATGTTCCCTGAAAAGCATGGCTCTTCAAATGCCTTCATATTCTAAATATGCATGTAACATCGTAAAAATCGGGGGCCGGTTTTTTACTGGTCGGTTCCACACCGTTTCTTTCACAATGCAATCGCATGACCAGAACTCAACTTCATCTTTAAAAGAACACAAATTGCTACCTATAAAATAAACTGTCGGCATTAATGTAGAGAGTGTTATCATAAATCATAATTTTTTAGACTAATTGAAGTTTAATAATTGCGGAAGCGCGGAGGTAGGATTCAGAAGAATAAGAATAAGTTTTTAAAAAAAAAGGAAAGGTGAGGCACAAGAACACAATCAGGAATGTACATCTTAAGCACGTATACTAAATGTATGGCAACATGGGTGTTTAAGGGATCACCTACCCCTTTTTACCCACAGCCCCCCCCCCCCCCCCTAATTCGCCAAAGGCCTGTATAAACACCTCACAGGTTATCGTGTATTGCAACACAATGGCCCGAATTCACAATTCACGCGTCATATGACGTACGAAAACCAAGGTTTGTCGACAAACCTCCTTTGTGAATTCGGGCCATTGTGTTACTTCTTGATAAGACGCTCGGTCGCTCGTAAGAGAAAACTAGTTAAGACCAGTTTCTATTAGAAGAGTAGATGAGTAGGACTGGCCTCAAGTAATTAACACATTCAGAGCGGATATTGCACAATGCAATATGATAATTTGCATTTCATGAAAGATAAGGGAATTCATTGCCACAATGACAATAGGTGCATGAAACCCGGGAAAGGAAAGAAACTCTGCATTACGTCATCTATGCAAATTTTGATCAATTGTCTTTAAAAAGTACGCTGTCAACCCACAAATATGAGTAAATGTTCTATTTGGTTACGTAATACGTATACCTTCATCAACTGTACACAATCAATATTCTCTATCAAACCACAACAATGAGTATTTGGTTAGATAATACGTGCACCGTCATTTCAGCTTATTTCAGCACAAACTAGCGACTGCCAATTCTGATTTCTTTTTAATTTGTGTTTCCATTATGTTGCAATCAGCTATATTTTTCGTATTCGTGCTGATTTATTTTTCAGATTAAAGTTTATGCTATGTTATATAACATTGTGTGTTATTAATTTTGTTTGAAAAATTTTGTAATTCGGCTAAACGCCGCGATGAAAGTTTTATTTGAATAAATCCTTTTGAATTGAAATGAATGATCATTCTTGTTCATTTAATTCACTTAATCTTCGTGTCCGTTGTAATGGTTCATCTCTCTTTTTTGTTTGCCTGTTTAATCAATAACTATGTATGCCTTTTAATACCGGGAAACCTTACTCGTAAACCCGCTTATGATCACGACGGAGTAATACCAAAAAAGGGATCCATTGTTTGTTGTTTAAAGACTTGGACAGTACCCTCTCAATAAATCATGACGAACTTGTGAACTGTTTGCATGGCTTCACTAATAAAAGCTGGCTTCATTGAAGGTTTTATTGTACCGTTCGTTCATTCCCTCCCTTCTTACGGCACCCGCCTCCATCTCTGTCGAGCTCCCAATCCCTCGCTTCCCCCTTTTTCTCTATATCTCTCCCTCCCCCTCTATCAATTCATCTTCCTCTAACCTTTTTCTCACTCTGATTCTGCCCATCTTACCCAACTCTCTGGCTATTTCCTATATTTTTGCTTCTTTCCTCCTTTCTCGACCTCTCTCCCCACTCTTGCCCATGCATCCTCTAATCCATATCTGTCTATCTCTCTTTCTCTCGATGTCCTTTTTTCTTGTTGTTGTTTTCATCCCCGGGTCTGCTCTATCCCTTTCGGCCCATTCCAATCTCTCTCTCTCTCTCTCTCCCTCCCCCCTCTCTCTCTCTATCTCCCCCTCTCTCTCATCTCTCTCTCTCTCTCTCTCTCTCACTCGGTCGATCGATCATCCCTTTTTTTTCTTCCTCTAGATCTTGTTCTTTCTCACCAAGTTCGTATCATTTCTCTCCCTATATCTTTCATTTCCCACTCAATAGTTTTCGCTCTCTCTCCATCTTTCTCTCCCCTATCTCCTACTTTAACCCCCTTCTTCTGTGTAACTCTCTCACCCTCCCTCTCTCTATATAATATAATTATCTACAGCCTGTATATAATATATATCTCTCTCTCTCTCTTTCTTCCTCTCTCTCTTCCCATGTCAATGTCATTTTCACATCGTCGAGACGTCACTTTTCATTTGCATCTGGTTGCCTGAGAAACACTCCCCAACATGAGGAGAAAAGGCCTTCATTAGCATAATTTATGTTCTATTCTCCGCCTGTATATCCCAGGGACGCCTGCACGCCACAGTCCGTCTCTAGCTCCAAGCTCCTGCAAGCACCGACACCAGCGTATAGTTATCACCGAGCGAGCGAGCGGTTGTAAACAAAATGGACGCATAGGCAAAGAGGAAGAGAGTACATGAAAAGTCCGCGGTGGTTTTCAAGCCTCACATGCTCAACAGTAATGTGACACTTCATCCCATTTGATCGGGGAATTTCTTGCTTGACTGTACGTTGGCTCGATGTTATGATGGTTTTCTGCTCATTAAAAACTATGATTTGGGGCGGGTAATGTAATGGTGCATTGATTGACAATACAATAATTGCGCGGTCATAAACAAAGCTAGGTAGGCCCGGCTTTCATCGAAAGGGTGCGGTGCGGCGCGGCGCGGTGTGGTGTGCTCAACGCACCCATTCGATAAAAGCCCCCCGCTTTTCTCGAAAGGGTGCGTTGAGAGCGGAGTACCGTTTTAACACACCCTTTCGATAAAAGCGGGGGGGCTTTTCTCGAAAGGGTGCGTCGACTAGTCTTTCGCATCAGTCGTTTAAAATGAGGATCTGGGACAGAAGGTAATAGTTGCCAATTTAAGTATATCGAAAATGTATTAAATAAATTTCGTTATTACTATGTTGATGGGGAGACAGAGAGAAGGAAAAAAGGGAAAGGGAAAAGGAAGATAAAAGGAAAGAAAGAAGAATAAAAAGAAAAGAGGGAAACGGGGGGGGGGGGGCGAAGGGCTCTTGGCTCCTCCTCACCCCCCCCCCCCCGCCAAAAAATGAATAAGAGAGAGAGAGAAGGGAAAGGGAAAGAAAATATAAAAGGAAAGAAAGAAGAGGAAGAAGGAAAGAGGGAAACGGGGGAAAAGCGAAAGGCTCTTACCTCCCCCCCCCCCCGCCAATAAAATAAATAGGAGAGAGAGAGAGAGAGAGAGAGAAGGGAAAGGGAAAGAAAATATAAAAGGAAAGAAAGAAGAAGAAGAAGGAAAGACGGAAACGGAGGAAGGGCGAAAGGCTCTTACCTACCTCCCGCCAAAAAAATAAATAAGAGAGAGAAGGGAGAGGGAAAGAAAATCTAAAAGGAAAGAAAGAAGAGGAAGAAGGAAAGAGGGAAACGGGGGAAAAGCGAAAGGCTCTTACCTCCCCCCCCCGCCAATAAAATAAATAGGAGAGAGAGAGAGAGAGAAGGGAAAGGGAAAGAAAGAAGAATAAGAAGAAAAGAGGGAAACGGGGGGGGGGGCGAAGGGCTCTTGGCCCCTCCTCACCCCCCCCCCCCGCCAAAAAATAAATAAGAGAGAGAGAGAGAGAAGGGAAAGGGAAAGAAAATATAAAAGGAAAGAAAGAAACGAAGGAAGGGCGAAAGGCTCTTACCCCCCCCCGCCAATAAAATAAATAGGAGAGAGAGAGAGAGAAAGAAGGGAAAGGGAAAGAAAATATAAAAGGAAAGAAAGAAGAATTAGAAGAAAAGAGGGAAACGGGGGCGAAGGGCTGTTGCCTCCTCCCCGCGCCCCCTTGCCAAAAAATAAATAAGAGAGAGAGAGAGAGAGAAGGAAAGGGAAAGAGAAGATAAAAGGAAAGAAAGAAGAGGAAGAAGAAGAAAAGAAGGAAACGGGGGCAAAGGGCTCTTGCCTCCTTTCTTTTTTTTTCTCTTTCTTTCCTATTCTCCCTCTTATTCGTTTTTCTCTTTCTTTCTTTTCTTTTTCTTTTTTTCTTTTCTTTCCCTTTCCCTCTCTTTTTTCCCCTCCCCCTTTTCTCTTTTTTCCCGACGGCAGCGCAATTTTACCGACAATATCCTGACAGGTGTTGGCGACCACAAGGCTATCAATACAAATTAAGACATATTAATGAAGATTCTTTTTTAATGTTGCAGAGAGATAAGTATTTTCTCTATGAACTTGTTTAATGGAAGGATAATAAATAATATTAAAAACATGAATACTATAGCGGTATAATGATGAGAGAGATGATTTAAGTCATACTTTTTTTTCAATGTGATTGGAGTAGACTTAAAGGTGGGGGGGGGGGGGTCCCCCCTCTAAGATCTCGGCCGTTTTACAGCCGATCGCCGCGAAAATGTGCATGCATGTCAAGTGAAGTGTATACAAAACTATGGTAATTTCAATTTTTTTTGAAAAATTCACTCATTTGCATATTTATGGTAATTTATGCAAACAAGATCAGAGAATTCACATTTTTACCCATAAATCATATATAATTCATATTCAAGCGTTCTTTTTCACTACATATATTCGTTAGAATAATAATACGACAACAAAGTTGGAAGAGCCAGTTTATCCCTATGTTATCTCTTGTTTTGATAATTTGTATTTATGTATTATATTGTTTTCGTTGTTTTATTTCATTTCTAAGCACAATTCAACTATTTTGACCCAAAAATAAACACATTAACTTGAAACAAGACCAAATAACCAATGTTTTCTCTTTTTTTTAAAGAATAAATGGTATTTCCATATGTTTGGTACATAAATCACAAAAAATGAGCGATTTTAGGGCTGACATGCAAAAACAAAAGGTCACGTGACTCCGCAACTATACGTCCAATTTTCAACAAAAAAAAGTTTCAAAAGATGCGTAAGACTCGAAAGAAAAAAGTCATGAAAGAAAAACTTTATATCTGCCGCGGTTTCGGGGTAGTCGCGAAATTACTAGAGAGCACTAATCTTTTTGGGGGGCCCTCGAAAATTTGAAAAATCGTACCACCCCCCCCCCCCCCTTGAACGCCAAGGAGGGGGGGCCTATCTCGCCAAAACGGTAAAATTAACGTGTTTTTTTACACGGTTTTTCACAGGGCGGAGCCCTCAGAAGCTCAGGGGTATTAAACAAGTACATTAAATTATTATTATTTTATACCTTATTTGTGACACAGGGGTCACGAATTGACGTGGGGTCCAGGGGGTGGAGCCCCCGGAAGCTCAGAGGTTTTGGGCAATAAATAACGGTCAGATGAGCATATTTTTATATCTATTTGTGACACTGGCAGGACGCAAATTGGTGTTGGATCCAAGGGGCGGAGCCCCAAGAAGGTGAAGGGTTTTATACATCAAATTATCGTCAGATGAGCATATTTTTATATCTATTTGTGACACTGGCAGGACACAAATTCTTCTTCCTCTTCTTTCTTTCCTTTTATCTTCTCTTTCCCTTTCCTTCTCTCTCTCTCTCTCTTATTTATTTTTTGGCAGGGGGGAGGGAGGATGCAAGAGCCCTTCGCCCCCGTTTCCCTCTTTTCTTCTTTCCTTTTTCCTCTTCTTTCTTTCCTTTTTCCTCTTCTTTCTTTCCTTTTAGCATCTCTTTCCCTTTCGCTTTCCAATCTCTCTCTCTCTGATTTATTTTTTGGCGGGGGGGGGGGGGGAGGCAAGAGTCCTCCACCATTCCCCCTTTTCCCTCTTTTCTTCTTCTTCCTCTTCCTTCTTTCCTTTTATATTCTCTTTCGCTTTCGCTTTCAAATCTCTCTCTCTCTCTCTCTCTCTTACTTATTTTTTGGCGGGAGGGGGGAGGCAAGAGTCCTCCGCCCTTCCCCGCTCTTTTCTTCTTCTTCCTCTTCTTTCTTTCCTTTTATATTTTCTTTTTCCCTCTCCCTTCTCTCTCTCTCTCTCTCTCTCTTATTTATTTTTGGCGGGGGGGGGGGGGTAGGTAAAAGCCTTTCGCCCTTCCTCCGTTTCCCTCTTTCCTTCTTCTTCTTTCTTTCCTTTTAGATTTTCTTTCCCTCTCCCTTCTCTCTCTCACTCTCTCTCTCTCTCCTATTTATTTTATTGGCGGGGGGGGGGGTAAGAGCCTTTCGCTTTTCCCCCGTTTCCCTCTTTCCTTCTTCCTCTTCTTTCTTTCCTTTTATATTTTCTTTCCCTCTCCCTTCTCTCTCTTATTTATTTTTTTGGCGGGAGGTAGGTAAGAGCCTTTCGCCCTTCCTCCGTTTCCCTCTTTCCTTCTTCTTCTTCTTTCTTTCCTTTTATATTTTCTTTCCCTTTCCCTTCTCTCTCTCTCTCTCTCTCTCTCCTATTTATTTTATTGGCGGGGGGGGGGGGGGAGGTAAGAGCCTTTCGCTTTTCCCCCGTTTCCCTCTTTCCTTCTTCCTCTTCTTTCTTTCCTTTTATATTTTCTTTCCCTTTCCCTTCTCTCTCTCTCTTATTCATTTTTTGGCGGGGGGGGGGGGGGGGGGGTGAGGAGGAGCCAAGAGCCCTTCGCCCCCCCCGTTTCCCTCTTTTCTTTTTATTCTTCTTTCTTTCCTTTTATCTTCCTTTCCCTTTCCCTTTTTTCCTTCTCTCTGTCTCCCCATCAACATAGTAATAACGAAATTTATTTAATACATTTTCGATATACTTAAATTGGCAACTATTACCTTCTGTCCCAGATCCTCATTTTAAACGACTGATGCGAAAGACTAGTCGACGCACCCTTTCGAGAAAAGCCCCCCCGCTTTTATCGAAAGGGTGTGTTAAAACGGTACTCCGCTCTCAACGCACCCTTTCGAGAAAAGCGGGGGGCCTTTTATCGAATGGGTGCGTTGAGCACACCACACCGCGCCGCGCCGCACCCCACCCTTTCGATGAAAGCCGGTAGGCCCTACTAGAAATTTACTACATAAGTTGGATTTGCAAGAAAACTACTTTGCATTTTACCAAGAAATAAAAGGAAGGAAAAGAAAAAAAATGACCAAGGGAGATGGGAGGTGGGAATCGAAATAAATCGGAAGAAAAAATAATAAGGGCCTATAAATCAAACAAATATGCAACGATCTACACATATGCGGGTTTCTTTGGGAATAAAAACTGGCTATCAACGATTGACGTTATGTCTCAGTCTAGTCTATATGTAATGGTGTATTCTTTTTGTTTTCCTTCTGTGAATCAAGTCAGTAGTTTAATTCAGTGAACCTAAACTCAACACGCCTAACTTTAAGGTTCACTTTTCATTTCCGTTTTCATTTACAGAACAGCCTTTTGAATTATCATTAATCACTATCATGGATCAGGATTATTTTTTATAGATATACTTCCATATTACTAAAAGAAATGTTAATGTTTGGTCAAATGTAGGCCTATCATACATTGTTAATTTTGCATGGAATATGAATAAAAGCAAGCAAATAGAATATATATATATATATATATATCAAGGTAATTATAAATATTAATGGGGGGAAAGACTGAATAACAGAGCGGTATTCAATTTTCAATTGTAGAGCAATGACGGTTCTTTTCTTGTATATAAATTAATCTTTGCCAGGCACAAGTAGAAAATCAATTCAAGAAACCCCGAGCCGCCTCCCTCCGCCCCCCTCAAAAAATCTTATTCTTCTAGAACCAAAGAGGAATAATATGAATCAGGAATACCTCGTCCAATGTTGTACTATACAACTATACGAGTGAAAAAAGGGGCTTAATCTATATAATGATCAGGGGATGATATAATTCATTTCTCTTTATCAAGACAAGTCATTTTGTAACTACGTGTACTTTAAGTGCAACAATACTATGCATATTAAATCTGTCTAAAAGAACCTAAATGCAATCTAAAATAATAATATAATGGGGGCTTCGGGTCCTTGCATTACTTTAGTAAATGTCCCTCGATCGCTTAAGCTCATTTGTAATCAAGATTTTTTTCAAGATCCGCTCCTGCATGCTGAGGATTATTAGGTACGGTAAGACATATGACAGTGATAGCTAAAGACGTACACCATTGACAAAGACACTCACTCTTTTTAAAATATAAAGTTAATGATTCATAATCATAGGCCTACATAAAATAAGGTAAACAGCTTCGGTTAAGTTAAAGATATAACTTTAGGCCTACCCGCAACTCTACACTGTCTCATACAAGCAAGGTTATCGCTCACGCATCCTCACAACTATACTTCCCCATGTGATATGACATTATCGTATAAATAACTCATAACATGCACATTAATACAAGGATGATGGGGAGTTGGGTGTCCGGACACTAACATAAGAAATATAAAGCTTTCTATTTTGCCTTCGGATTTATAACGAAAATTATTCATCAATTACATGTAGCACTAACCACCATGATTATTTGTCCTTTATAATACCGTCCAACAAAAATCTTTGAGGATTTGTGAAATATTGCTTGTAAACTTCTTCAAATTGCTGTTTTAAATCGACAACTCGGACACAACCTGTCCGGACACACGTCTAGACGGTCTGGGTATAATATCGATTTGAAAGGGGGAATATTGGTACATTTATATTTAAGCTGTTTTTACATCTGCAAATGGCAACCATAGATCTTTCAAGCCGAAGGCAATAATAGTCTTATTCCACTAAAATACAATTTCAAGCAAGCAAAATGCAATATAGTATCTAAATCCTTAAAAGGAACAACTTGTTAATACAGCTGTACTGTACAATATTCTTCTTTATTGACGTAAAAATATTGAAGATTACTTGTTAAGTTTATCTGAGCTATATTTCGCTCTTCTATACGGCTATTTGTTTTCTCCGAAATTTAAGAAACCAAACGATACATGTTTTCTATGAGCTAATATCTGACTTACCTTCCAAATCAACAACGAGATGCTAAGAAATGATGCTCTCTGAAAACGAATCTGTGTTGAGGCACGGTGTGAGTCAGGAACGCTTTAGCAATGCTAGAACCGGTCAGTGCCAGTGGCTACGGCTTGCGTGTATGTGTGTCCGTCAATGTAAGCTGTTTCAAAGCTAACTGTTCAAGAATAATTTTGAGTTTATACCAAGGCATATAATAATTTATCAATGCGATGATGAAATTTGTAGTTGGAAAACCATTTTGCGCATGACCGGTTGGTTCCGTGCAATCATCTGTTGATTTATCGTTGTTGTTTTTGTCTCTTTATCCTCTGAGTATTTCATCAGATCAGCTGCTGTTCGCGTAAACAAAGTAAGCATGCTCCTCCGTTCGCTCATGAATATCCATGTCAATAATACTGCGGTCTGCCCTCTTGGGAAACTACAGCCAATCAGCGTTCGTGCCTACAGCGTGGCAACAGGCACGTCACAATGGAGATCGAGTGCAGGAGGCGGAGAATAAGAACCGGATCGAATCAGATTCAGAATGGTTTTTGCTTGGTTGCGTTGCGCAAGAAGAGTGCGAGTAAACCAGCAAACCAGACGTCTGAGCTGAGATGACATTGATTCGCCATATTTTTGGTTGCAGTTTGTTTATGATATAATTATAAACCCTCCTCTCTCTGTCACTACAAGGCTCCTGAATCGCAATTGTCAATGGGTTTTTTTTTCCTTTCCGTGAGTAATAACATAGAGATCCCAGCTGGAAATAACCAGTGTACACAAAGGCCACAACCTTTGTACATAACTCCACTCGTATTGCATGTCGTGTTGAAATGAGCGTGAACTGAGGGGTGAGCGAATAAAAGGCAATTTTTTTGGAGCTGAAATGTTATAAAAAAAACTGCCATCCGACGGCATTCAGAAATTAATAAAGAGGGCAGAAATTCATATTACAAGGTCAGAATACACCCTAAATCGGGAAGGGGGGGGGGGGGTAAACCCGGGCCTGTGTGGTCATATAGGAGACTTTACTTAATCCTTTTCTGTGTCTTCAACATGATTAGAATGTCTTGTATTTTGATTAGACACGGCCAGTGGGATGCTTTCAACAGACTTGAATAGAAAGACCTTGTGAATTGTGTATTTCCTCTTGCAGGTTGTATGGTTGTATAGCTAGGCCACAGTGAATAAGACGGGGAAAGCAAACTGAACACTTATCTAAATAGTCGACGAGCTGACGTGTGATGGAAGCTACCATGCACCGCCCCCTGTTTTTGTAAATATCAAGCACACCACCATCATTGCCTCCTCCGTCAGCTAATTAGGATCATTAAGATCCACTCCAAACTTCGAATCATTAATTGTATCATTCAAATTTTCATTCATTTTAAATGTCTCGCCTGACTAGAGATGGCTCTTTCCGACAAACTCCCTGGTAGTTATACTGGAATGCCCAACCCAAGCTTGAGACTATTATACAGAGAGAGAAAGAGAGAGAGAGAGAGGGGGGGGGGGAGGAATGAGAGAGAGAGAGAGAGAGAGAGAGAGAGAGAGAGAGAGGGGGGAATGAGAGAGAGAGAGAGAGAGAGAGGATAGAGAGAGAGAGAGAGAGAGAGAGAGAGAGAGACCGGCGGAGTAGGGGGCACAGAAATATAAATTCATTTCGCCTGCACCAAGCTAGAATAATGTTAAAGGTAAAGACCAGTATTGGAAACGCCCCAATTTCAAAAAATGAAATGGAAAACGGGAAACCGCCTACTAATTGATATATTTGGTAAACTAGTGTATCTCTCGCCTGTTGAGAGATATGAAATGCACGTGTCGCACACGTGTGTGTAGTCCCATATACATCTTTCTGTGTACAGTGCTTCTAACTTTATGAAGACTTGGCCAAATTTCTTATCATTTTGATGATTCCAGAACCTTGCAGTACATCTATGCTAGATGATCAACCTTTTCTGATCGATTTCACAACGTTTCTTTCACAATGCAATCGCATGACCATAACTGGTCTTTAGCTTTAACGTCTTCTCTAAAGTCTAAACGAATGGCACTGAATAGGAAATTAGCCCTACTCAGCCCAGAGAACTGTGATTCAGCCCCCATTCACGTCTAGGAGGATTTAACTGATATATATCCGGAGCAGAGTCGTTTTCAAACTGTGTTAATTGCTTTCTGATTGGCACATTTCTTTCAAAATTATTGACAAAACACTTAGTCACATTAATTTGCAACACGGCTCTTTATTTTTCACATGATAAAAAAAACATCTGTTCTTTCTTGAAAAGGTTTTCTATTAAATCCCTTTTCTTCCTGTCTGTCCGTCCGCTTTCTGTCTCTCTGTCCCCCTCTTCTACCCCCTGTCTCTCTCTATTTCTCTTTCTCTCTTCTTTCTCTCTCTGTTTCGATTGCGTACATGTATTTCATGCCCATCCCTCCCTGTTCTTTTCCACGTTGATTTGGTAAATTTCGAACTTTTTTTTAAACCCTATCCAGCCTGGGCTTTTTTTAACTGCATAGCCGGGGGTGGGGGGCTTCTAATGCCCCCTTTGATCTCGGCCGTAAAACGGCCGATCGCCGCGAAAATGTCCATGCATCTCAAGTGAAGTGTATAGAGTTCTAAGGTAGTTACAATTTTTTGGAAATAAAACACTCATTTGCATATTTATGGTAATTTATGCAAATAAGGTAATATAATTTACATATTTACCCATAAATCAAATATTCTTCATATTTAAACATTAGTTTCACTGCGTATATTCTTTAGACCATTAGGAATAATAATACCAACAAAAATTGGAAGAGCGAGATTATTCCTTATGTTATCTATTGTTTTTGTTATGTCTGTTTGTTTTTTTAAACTTATGTATTTTACTGTTTTATGTTGTTTTATTTCATATCACCAAATAACCAATGTCTTATCTCTTTTTTTGAACTCCGAGATCAGCGATCGCGATAGCGACGACGAAAGCTCGGAATCCACGCTATCAGCAGAAACGCCACCAAAGGCAGCACGGGAGAAGAGAAAAGCAGCAAAGAGAAAAAGAAAGGAATCGAATAAGAAGAAGTGAGTTGAAACTGAGATATATGAAGAAAATGCTGAGAAGTTCTTGATTAACTATGATCAATTCAAATATACATTTGATATCCCTTAATGTAAGGGGTTTGCGTAATAAATTGAAAAGAGATAAGATATTTCTGTGGTTGAAACATCAAAAGTGTGACATCGTACTTTTACAAGAAACTTTTTTGAAGCGTGACAATGAAAATAGTATAAATCGTGAATGGTCAGGGCATTGTTTTTTCGATCACGGAACCAACCACTCAAAAGGGGTAGCAATTTTGATTCGCAGTGGTCTCCCAATTGATATAATTAATGTTCATCTAAAAGGAGATGGAAGAGCGATAATTGTGGAATTCTCATGTAATTTAAAAACATATTTTTGTATAGAAAAGGAAACATTCTATAAATCACTTGACCAATGGATAAAACTTCATAGGCCCGATAGTAGTATTATGATTGCAGGTGGTGACTGGAATTGTGTGCAGAACAGAACCCTAGATACTTACGGGATATCTCACGCATATTTACCCAAATGGAGGAATTTTTTTCCAGGCAAGAAACAGTTTACTTGGCGACAGTTGTCATTAAAACTTTACTCTCGTCTGGACTATTGGTTAATAACAAAAGATTTTAAATGTTCAGTTTTCTCGACAGATATTCGACCATGTTTAAAATGTGACCACAATGCAATATCTTTGAAAATCAAAATATCCCAAGAAAAAAGGGAAAAGGTTATTGGAAGTTAAATAATTGTTTGCTGGATGATAACATGTATGTACAAAATGTTAAAGACTTGATATGGAAGATTAAGATTGAAACAAGTACTTTGAGTAAACAACTACAGTGGGAAGTTTGTAAGTTTAAATTAAAAGAATATAGTATATGTTACGCAAGATTAAAACAAAGAAAAATGAAACAGTATTATGTGAAAATGGAAAAGGAATTAAGACAGTTGTGTTCAGTAGAAGGTGAACATTTAAATGATACTGATAAAGAAAAACTAGATAACCTAAAACGAGAGCTAGACGAATGGTATACTATGAAATGTAAAGGAGCTTACGTCAGATCAAGAGAAAAATGGCTAGAACAGGGTGAAAAATGTACAAAGTATTTTTTACAGCTTGAGAAGCAAACAGGAAAAAAGAAAGAGTTACATTATATAGAGAAAGATGATAACAGAATTGTGAACAGTGAAGATATTTTAAAAGAGATTCAACAATTTTATAAGATGATGTACAGTAAGACAGAAGAAAGTGGAGCAAATTATGATGATCATTTCAGAAATGTAAACATGAAGGCCCGAATTCACAAAGCAAGGTTTGAGCTCAGACCAAGGTTTGAGCTCAAACCTCCTTTTGTTTTGCCAAACCTCCTTTTGTTATTTACAAACCTGGTGGTTTGAGCTCAAACCTCCTTTTGTTTCGCCAAACCTCCTTTTGTTATTTACAAACCTTGTAAATAACAAAAGGAGGTTTGGCGAAACAAAAGGAGGTTTGAGCTCAAACCTTGCTTTGTGAATTCGGGCCGAAGTGTTTAACAGAAGAGGAAGCCGAGAGACGGAATGTTGGAAAGCATTGTCTACTATGAATTTGAATAAGTCACCTTGGAGTGACGGTCTTAGTGTTGAATTCTATAAATGTTTTTTGGGAACAGATAAATATGGTGGCCCTGAAGGGACATCGCGAATAGACTAAATCGTGAAAAATATGCGATAAAATTCACGATATCGTCAATTTTATCGCATATTTTTCACGAAGAAATTCACGAAATTGACGATATCGTGAACTTTATCGTGAACTTTTCACGATGAAATTTACGATATCGTGAATTTTATCGTGAAAAGTTCACGATATAAAGTTCACGATATCGTCAATTTTATCGTGTACTCTATCGTGTACTCTATCGTGTACTCTCCTGACGGGCGCTTCGTAAACAAAACCAGCCCTAGCTGGGGGAGACAGAGAGAAGGAAAAAAGGGAAAGGGAAAGAGAAGATAAAAGGAAAGAAAGAATAATAAGAAGAAAAGAGGGAAACGGGGGGGGGGCAAAGGGCTCTTGCCTCCTCCTCACTCCCCCCCCCCCCCCGCCAAAAAATAAATAAGGAGAGAGAGAAGGGAAAGGGAAAGGGAAAGAAAATATAAAAGGAAAAATAGAAGAGGAAGAAGGAAAGAGGGAAACGGGGGAAGGGCGAAAGGCTCTATACCTCCCCCCCCCCCCCCGCCAAAAAAATAAATGAGAGAGAGAGAGAGAGAGGGAAAGGAAAGAAGAAAGAAGAGGAATAAGAGGGAAACAGGGGAAGGGCGAAGGGCTCTTGCCTCCTCCCCCCCCCCCCCCGCCAAAAATAAATAAGAGAGAGAAGGGAAAGGGAAAGAAATATAAAAGGAAAGAAAGAAGAGGAATAAGAAGGAAAGAGGGAAACGGGGGAAGGACGAAGGGCTCTTGCCTCCTCCCTCCCCACCCCCGCCAAAAAAAATAAATAAGAGATAGAGAGAGAAGGGAAAGGGAAAGGGAAAGAGAAGATAAAAGGAAAGAAAGAAGAGGAAGAAGAAGAAGAAAAGAGGGAAACGGGGGCGAAGGGCTCTTGCATCCCCCCGCCCAAAAAATAAATAAGAGAGAG